AGTCAACAGGATCGACGTTGATCTCCCTGCAGTGTCTCTATGCCTTTTCCACGACGGGTATATCGACGACTTATCCCTATCCACAATTATGCTCCTTCGGGGGACCCTCACGGCTTTTGATCACGAGAGCGGCGATGATATCCTCTCCCTGCCCAAGCAACCCGCCCGAAATCCGAAAGCTTCACACCCTCCACTGTCCTCATTCTCGTGATTGACCTCGTAATCCGTCAAAAAAAATTAGACTCAGCTTCTAGACACCAGACCAGGTCCTGAGTATTAGATGTCGCAATGAGATCCGTCGATGGCCGGCCGGACAGGCTCGGCCCTCGCTTGGTTCCTACAGCATCATTTTCGAAGGAAGCGTCTAATCAGAGGCGGCAGGAGATACACAATCACACAACGCGGGCGTCCGCCCCTCATGCCACTCGACATGCGACTGGGAGAACCGTGCTGGAAAAGGTTCTGTCACATCGTCGAGGCTAAACTTTTCTCGATCGTTGGTTCTGGGAACTTTTGCACCTTCTGCAGTCAAAGTGGCAGGAGTTTCCTTGCAGCTCTGGAGCAATTCCACACCATGTACAAAAGCGACGCCCAATAAGTTGTCGGTGTGGTCGTCTCGTGGAGAGTCAAGAGAGCCAGAGGGCGAGAGACCAGTACCATTAGGCGCTTTGATGCACCACTGAGGGCCAGAGCACACTAGGAATAGCTGCCTGTTGTTTGACTGGCCCGATACTTCGAAACAACCTCAGTGTAGCCTGATCAGGCTCTGGATCTCTTCATTCGTCCGGCCTGCTATGCGCTGACGACGATAACGCCAACCAAAACGAGGTGTTGTGGCAAGCCAGTCTGCCGGTCTGGCTTCGCAAAACCCGATGGCTACCAACTTGCATTTCGTATCTGCTTCTGTCCTTGTCTTCGGCACTCACATATCACGGACGCCCGTCTGCATGACCAGTCCTTCTGCGTCTGTGCTCCGTCAACGACAGGCCAGGCTTCTGACCGCCACTCTACAAATGACAATTCCAGGCTGTGCCTTCTCGCGGTCTCGACCGATTGACCAATGCTGATGCATGAGCCGTGTGACACAGAATGCTGCACGAGCTCGAGCGGGAATATTTCTCAGTCAAACACACAAGTTCGCCATTATTGACTCAATCTGAGGGTGGTAAGAAACCCGCTAAGCAAAGAATGCTCCCTCTTTGCTGCAAATCTAGGGCGCATTGGTCCATGGTCACATTGCTAGCGTCAAAATCAGCTGCAGCTTCGGAGGACCTCATGACCGATGCTGAGAAAAAAGTGGTGGCCTTGTTACCAACCACCACTCTCCCATCGGATCAGGCTGCTTGATTTGCGCCGGATGCAGGCTCAGCAAAGGGGGGTTACAGTTTCAGCATTTCGTTTTACGTGCTGAAACCCCGAGAAGTCTGGGACCTACAATTCCGAAGCAGACAGAACTCCGGGCTTTGTTCTGTTAGCGAACTCTGGGGGAGAAAGGGCACCAATTCTTGCATAAAAAACCAGGGAGATCTGTAAGTCTAACCTCTGGGGCAAAATACGAGTAGTACCCGTGTGTGGGCTGCAAATCGCTTACTGAGGGCTGGTTCTTGCGCTTCCCGCCACTTAGGAAGCCAAGTGTGGGATGTAGTGCGGACAACCGAGAAGCCTTTCAGCACCAAACGAATTATGCTGTGTCACAGGAAGATCGCAGGCAATGGAAGTGTTATACCATTGGTCCAATGAAGGGTGTTTCGGGGGCACAAGATTTGATTCTACGTATATCACTGCCTGAGGTCGGATTCCGGCTGCCGAGAGCTTCGAGTCCTGCCAGTCAAGATTGGAACCTGCTTGCAGGTGCTTTGCGGGCGACAACGAACGAGACAAGCCATCAGTGCCCATTTATTTGCCCCTCCAGACTGTCTCGCCTCCATCGACACCGCATTGACGCCATTCTTAGCTTGGATGGGGTCCCTCCAGCACCCTACTCGTACTACTGGTTACTTGTCGGTAGCCACCTAACTCCACTGGAGTTGAGCCCAAGTGCACTGTTAGCTTCAACCATCAAGCATTATTTCCTGCTAGCACAACCCGTCCTGTGAGTGATTTGAAGCGAGCAACCAATGGCACACCCGATCCCAAGCTGGAGCTACACCTGAAAGAGGCTGCGAGGGAAACGAAGGTAAGCAAGGATTTTCACATGCTTGATATTATTGTTTGCTCCAGCTGTACTGGGTACTTGGAGTGGTACCAATTGAGCTGAGAAAATAGATGGGAGGGAGGGCAGAAAAAGCAAAAAGAAGAAAGTTTCCATTGGGTACCCCAAGAGAAAGAGAAACTTTACTGGCATTCTTGGGGGAAACAAACGAGGAAAACGGTTCGAAAAGCCACGGCGGGTTGAATGATAATTATGCAATGACTGCCTTATGCCAACAGTCAATCAGCACGGATTGGCGAGGGCAGTGAATCCTTTACAAAAAAGAGACAATGACCAAAATCCCTCTTGAGAGTACAGGAATACTCGGTCGGTACCATGGAACGATGGAAGCATCCTGACCTGGCTACAAGTACAGCAACACGGCAGGTAATATGGTCCAGTGCGGCGCCGCACCGAGGTCGCCTAGGCAAGAGATCACTAGAAGCAGATATGCATCCAGGGATTCCAGGCTATGTTAGCGGCAAAGCTGTAGTGGATTCAGGTTGCATGCCCACGACATCTTGCATCACTTCCAAAGCTCTGCAGGGCTCCAAGTGGCCTAGAACTCGTCGCTAACCCCCACAGCGTCAAGGAAGCACCGCGCCCATAGTTCAACCGAAGGACAAGTAACTGGTTTTTTTTATCCTTCGCAATTCACAAATGATAGTCGTACCCTCGGGCAAATGCTTCGACGATCTACCACTTTTGGGTTTCCGCTCGGCACAAAACGGGGCCTCCATAACCATCAGGAGTCACATGGAAACAACAAGCGGAGATCTCCCTTTTCTCAGTGGCCCGTTCGCCTTGGAAACTTGTTACAATGATAGGCATGGCAGATGAGCTGCTTGGCAAAACCGTCGTGGGAGGAGGATTGTGGAGGACTGCGTTGCTGGGGCCCGCTGGATTTGGGACCCCGTCGTGCGATGGAGGGGCAGAAGCGACTACTGTAGGTATGATGTCAAGCCCCGACAATTATCCACTGGGCAATTTGCGACAGGTAATGCGTTGCATATGTGTCCAGCGCTGGCAGGCTGGAAGACTGGCAACGCTGACCTTTGCATTGAAGATCAGACAAAGATTGCTCCATCATCTGACCAGAAATGTGTTGATCAAAACCCTAATGACTCTCAAGGAGGGACGAGGTAGCTGAGATGGAATCCTCATTGATGCCATGCGAGGAGGGGAAGAAGAGCGGTGTGTCCAAGGGAACGTGTTGGGAACGCGTGGGGATGGGGGGAGATTGGATGATTATTGATGATAGATAACAACGAAGCAAGTTGTGAACCACACTTATGCACTACGTCATTGACTCTACGGACTTCCCTTAGTAGGTAACTCTGTAGGTATGCTCGTAGAATAGTAGACAGAGCCTCGACACGCTTTGGGCCGCTTCCAACATCATGAAACAAGTCAAGCGCATTCAAATATCCTCAAAGGCACTGTTTTAGATTGTTGTTTATTTCAACTTGACAACAAATACCTCCCACAACACCCCGTAATTTGTACGGTTGGTCATTCCGACCCCATGTTTTGCACCATCGTTGAACTTTACATCGACGCGTGACTTCGTGGTGGTGCATGATGCACAACGGGAAAAGTTCAATCTTCCCAGGGGATATCACGTATATATTGTCCTTGCAATGGTAACCTCATGGTATTCAGGTCGATCCTTTTCATCAGATTGGTCAGGTCGTTCAAATGCCGCCGCATACGAGGCTGAATCCACTGACCGAAATACACACAGGCCCTTTACCCAACTCGTTGCGAGGCTGATCGAGATTCAGGGGTTGCTCGATTCCGCTCTCACGCGATTCACCGTCTGCGTTTATTCCACTAGACCTACACCCTGGTGCAACAGATTACGGTTTTACACGCGTCCTTTAACCCACTGTACTGCAAAGTCCATCTACATACCTTACTTGCACAAACCAGGCAGGATATCAACACAGACAGAGTCCTACAGAGAGAAAGATGCTCACGCTGACATACAATACTGCCTGATTGACGCCTGGTTACATTCCTAGCAGGGCATCACTTTGATGTTTCACTGGTTCTAGAATGCCGGGCCGATTTAATCCAGGGTTATCAGATGTTTCCGCACATGGGATGCCACAGGCGTCTACTCCGCGACGACTTTGGAAATGAATTTTCGCCAAACCACGGCCTGCGTTAAAAATTCAGGAGTGAGTGTGAAACCAGTCGAGAAACTAGTCATCGAGGAGGGTTGAGTCGCGCAAAGAAGAGCAATGTTCGTCGAATACGTGATCTCGCTGCTAGGATGCACTCGCTGTCCGCTGTTGGTCGTATCGCGAAACTGGATTGGACATTGTCATTCATACATGAGTACATAATGATCACGCATAGAATAGACCGTACCAGCAAGGCTTCTTGAACGCATATGGTCCTCATCTGCTAGGTCGATACCCCAGCTCGTTGCTATATACTCGTTGGTTCGATGCATGTATTGTGCCACCGGTGCTTGTCGAGGTGTTGTGGCACTGTGGCACTGTGGCTCGACAAGTGTGGCGCTTTCTTAGCATGTTGCCTGTTTAAGTGGCGCTAATGCCAAGCCCCTTCTCCGAGCCTCACGACGCTGGTGACTTCTTTGGCGTTCCAGGCACCTGGTGACCCCAACAAAAAGACATCATCATCATAGTGGAACCACCGTGCCACCTTAATATCATCTCTCCACCGGTTTAGACCTCCCTTGTTTTATCCTCACATCTTCCCTTTTTCATGGTGGTAGTCCTGCCTTCGTGATTCTGTAATGGACTTGGGCTAGGATTGTGACATCGACAATGTCAGAACGATGACATCTACCCCACAAAAGACCGATGCAGTTGCATCAACGCCAGCCTCTGCAGGCACCTATGATATCCGCGAATTACCAGACTATGACACTGATTTTATTCGACGCGAAGATCTAAAGAGTTTTGCAGAAGCCCTAACTGCCCCCAGTACCGAGCCCGTGACGGCTTTGAATGATTGGGGTCCAGTGAGACAGCGTGTGAAGAGAAGTCGAGTCCGACGGAAAGCGGCGCCGCGATCCAAGGATGAGACTCGCGAAGGCTTCGTCTATACGATCCTGTACTATCCTTTATTGCTCATTGTCTGTGGCTGGATAGTGTTTCTCTTCATCATTTACAATTTGACCCGGCTCTACATCTACGCTTACGAGCATGTATTTTCATGGACCGGGGAACGCGAAAGACTGCGCAGACAACTACAGCAAGCGACTACCTACGACGAATGGCAAGAAGCCGCCCACCGTCTCGACCAGTATCTTGGGAATGAGGAGTGGAAGCACTCCGACCCATACTCCTATTACAACCACCAAACCGTGAAAAAGGTCACCGCCCAACTGGCCGAGCTACATCGGAGAGCGATAGCCGAGTCTCAAAGACACCAAGGGGGAGATGGCGGCCTCGTGGCATTGAATGAATTGAAGTCACTGCTCGAAAGTTGCGTCAAGAACAACTTTGTTGGCGTGGAAAATCCACATCTGTACAGTGAGACTTATATTGGTACGAAGGACTTGATACAAACCTTCGTCGATCAAGTTGAGCGAAGTCTTCGATTCGTGCTCGAGAATAAACAAATCACCGACAAAGAAAAGGTATCATTCTTCCGGCATCTCGAATTAAACTATGGGCGCACGGCACTTTGCCTTTCTGGGGGCGCGACCTTTGCGTATTACCATTTCGGTATTGTCAAAGCCCTGCTTGACACAGGTCAGCTTCCTGAAATTATCACCGGTACGTCTGGCGGCGCTCTGGTGGCGGCCCTGGTGGCGACCAGAACGGACGAGGAATTAAAGAAACTCCTGGTACCGGCATTGGCATATCGTATCAGGGCCTGTCACGAGGGATTTGCCACATGGATTCGCAGATGGTGGCGTACTGGTGCGAGATTCGATTCGCTTGACTGGGCGATGCAATGCAGCTGGTTCTGCCGGGGCTCGTTGACTTTTCGAGAAGCATATCAGAGAACTGGCCGCATCCTCAACGTCTCATGTGTTCCCTCTGATCCCCATTCCCCAACGATCTTGAATAACCACATTACGAGTCCCGACTGCGTCATTTGGTCTGCGGTGCTTGCGTCTGCGGCTGTCCCTGGAATTCTCAACCCAATCGTGCTAATGCGAAAGACGAACGACGGAAAACTGGTGCCTTACTCATTTGGCAACAAATGGAAAGATGGAAGCTTGCGTACAGACATTCCCTTGAAAGCACTCAACATCCACTTCAACGTCAACTTCTCCATTGTTTCTCAGGTCAACCCGCATATCAATTTGTTCTTCTTCTCACCTCGAGGATCACCAGGTCGGCCAGTCACACATCGCAAGGGCCGAGGCTGGCGTGGAGGATTCCTTGGGTCCACCATTGAGACCTCGGTGAAGCTCGATCTACAAAAATATCTCAAGATTCTGCGACACCTTGAGCTGCTGCCTCGGCCCCTGGGTCAGGATTGGAGTGAGATTTGGCTACAACGATTCTCTGGAACGGTGACCATCTGGCCCAAAACGATCATTAGCGACTTTTGGAACATCCTCACCGACCCTACTCCTCGTCGACTGGATCGAATGCTCATCGTCGGGCAGCGTAGCTGCTGGCCAAAGATTCGCTTCATCTCCAATCGCTTGAAGATTGAAAGGGTCATTCTGGAGGGGCTGCGAATGGGAGGTCCCATTGACGACGGCGGGCGTGTGCCAAACCCTGTCCTTGAGCAACAGGCTCAGGAGGCTCTCCTACGCGCCCGGAGACGACCTGGGACCGATGAAAACTCGTCGTCAACAGAAAACAAACTCCTCAAACCAGCAATGTCGCCTGTGCGGAGGCAAAGCAGTATCCTTGAGGAACTCACAAGACAGGCTTCCGTGCTGTGGCATGACGACGGGGCCACTGAGGGAGAGGATGACGCTGTGACAACAGATGACGCGGAGGGTGAAGACGGCCTGGTACAATCCCCTGCAGAGATGACACAATGACCCCAGACCGATATGTATCATTAGAATGAACAAGCGTTAGCGAGCATGCGCAGGTGCTATAGGACTATCTATCAATAAAAACCCAAGTGAAGTAGAAAAGTCGAAGACTGATGTCCATCACGTGACACACAAAAGTACGTTGCCCTGTGCGGGCGCCAATGCAGCCGACGAACCGGCAGGGAGGTTCTGGCGAGGCACAACCGAGATCTGACGTCGATCTTTGCAGCCACTGCTTGGGGTGAATAAAATGTTCCTACAATTCGTTCCTCGCGTGATACGGCCGGTGGCGGCGGGGAGAAGTGGTGAAAAGCCCAGCGATGGTGTCGCATGCCTCTCCGGTACCAGGTCCGCACAGTTTTGAGGCTTCTAGGACACCAAAAGTCGATGATCGAGACATGTTGATATTTGATGCTTCTCAAGTGCTGCTCGCGACGAGATCTCTTGCCTGTTGGGTTTATCAGCGTCAGTGACTGTGATTGGCTGTAGCCCTACAAAAGTGGAGGTCTTGGCTGGACTTGGCGCGGTGAGTGGCTCTCAGCTTTGCCTGCGCTAGCCCCAAAACACGCCTTGCGCCTCTGGGAACTGCGAAACCCCCCAAAAAGCCAGAGGTTTGGATCTCCCACCAAACCATCAAAATATCATCGCTCAGAGTGCTTGGAGGCGATCGTGCATCCTCTGCCGTCGCAGAAATGACACTGAAGTCTCTTTGATATCCCTCGCCCTGTCTCCCGTTCGATTCCTCCCCTGGATCGCGCCATCGATCCGCTTACTGACTGACGCGCTGCGATCCCTCCATACAAAGTCATTCACCATCCAACAAATCAGACATCTTTGATCCCTTCCCGCGTGGCTCTTGACCAGACACAAATTCTTCGAGTCGGCTAGGTGGGATGCTGTTGTGCTACAGCCAGCGCCGCAACATAACTTGTTGAGATACCCTACCACCCACCCCGACACCCCTCCCGTCAAAGTACCCCCCAAAGCGAACCACCACTATGCCTGCAGGACGCGGAAGCAAGCGGACGCTCGAAGAAGTCGTCAACTATGAAGATTCGGATGATGAGGATTATGATGACCGAGCAGCCGGCCCCTCCAAATCTCGCTCTGCGAAGCCTCGGCGGCGAGGAGCTCCTGCTCGCAAGAAGCGCAAGAGAGGATATGCGGGCTCAGATGTCGACAGTGACTCGGACGAAGTCGTGTCGGACGAAGATTCGTTTTCTGACGAGGACGAAGATGACGATATAGAGACAAATGCGATAGGCCGACCTGTTCGCAGGGCAGCCAAAAAAGCTGCAAACAAATATGAAGAAAGTTCCGAGGACGAGGAAGATGAACTTGCCAATTCCTCAGGAGAAGACCGTCCACGTCGCCAAGCCACAACATCTCCGCGAAAAAAGTTGATCATCACTCTCAAGACCACCCCTGCTCGTTCGGCGAGAAGCCTGCGAACTAGGAGCGGAAGTTACGGTATCAACCAACCCGCCACCTCATCTGCACCTCATCCTACAGTCACACGGAGAAGCAGTCGCCTCTCTCATGACCCTGAGGAGTCTCTGGTGAAACTGACCGATTCGGGAAACCACGTAGAGATTGTGCGCGAAGGATCACGGGATCCTGAAGGTATCCCTCCAAGAGCAATGAAGGGCGGAAAGGGCCTCAAATACCCTTCGAAAAGCACCATTGACGAAGAGTCGCAATCACAACCCAAGGAAGAGGAAGTCGAAGAAGTACTTGAAATACAGGCGTCTCAACATGAGCTCTTGGAAAGTGACCCTCAAACCATGGAAGAACATGCCGCAGAAGAGCTACCGAACATTACTTCGGACATTATCAACATTGCGGAATTTGAAGGTGTTGAGAGTGACGGCGACTTCAACCCTGAACCCGCTGCCACACAGGAAGAGGCCGCAGTCGAAGTTGAGAAAGAGGACATAGAGGAGGAGCAGGAGGAGGAGGAAGATGAGGAAGAGGATGAAGTGAGACCAGCACGGGGTAGGTTGACCCGTGGCTCTTCCAAGAGAAAAGTAGACTCGCCTGAGTTTGAACCACACAAGTCGCCCAAGCGACTACGTGGACGGACTCTTGCAGGCGAAGCCAACTCGGGGGCTTCGGGTAGTCGTCGACGAAAAGCGCCGGACGAGAGCAGTGATTTTCATCCTGAAGATGAGACCGCCAACCAAGATGACATGTCGAGCTCCAGCGAGTCCAACGCATCTCCTCGCAAAAAGAACGGCGACGATGACGACTATGAAAGCGAGAATCAAGGTCGAAGGTCGAGACGCCTCCGTAGTCAAGCCGCTTCTCGCCAACGGTCTGAAGAAAGCGACGACGATCTAGCAGCAGAGGTCGCAGAGCTGAAGCGTGACGGCAGGAAGTCAAGGCGGCCGAGGGAAGAAGAAATCATCTACGAGCCTCGTGGAAGGCGAGGCGGTAAAAAGCCCAACTATGATCTTCTCAGGAATCTCGCCCCACTCGAGGAGGAGGAAGAAGTGGCCGCTCCGTCTCCCTCAGCACGAGCTCGAAAGACCGGCGGTGGTGGCTGGAGTCGAACTCTTTTCAACACCTACGGCCCCTTCGGCGGTGGCGGTGGCCTGCCACCTGTGCTGGGCGGAGGCCCGCAAAGGGCTCAAGGGGGTGTTGACTCCGACAGCAGCGACGACGAAACAATGAAACAACCAAGGCAATTGGGTGGTACAGTAGGAATGACTCCAACCACTGCTGGTGGCTTCAACCTCTTCCCACAAACTCTCAACGCAGATGCAGCTCAGGCTACAGCTGGCACTCCGGCCAATCTCGGCAAGATCAAGGACAAGCAGACCCTCGCAGATGCCGACCCGCTTGGAGTCGACCAAAATGTGACCTTCGACAATGTAGGGGGTCTCCAAGGGCATATCGATCAGTTGAAGGAGATGGTTGCTTTACCTTTGCTTTACCCAGAGATTTTCATGCGGTTCAAAATCACTCCTCCTCGTGGGGTTTTGTTTCATGGTCCGCCTGGAACTGGCAAGACTCTTCTCGCGCGAGCATTGGCTACCAGTGTCAGCTCTCAAGGCAAGAAAGTCACCTTCTATATGCGCAAAGGTGCCGATGCCCTAAGCAAATGGGTTGGCGAGGCTGAAAGACAGTTGCGTCTACTCTTCGAAGAAGCCCGAAAGAATCAACCTAGCATCATATTCTTTGATGAGATTGATGGTCTTGCTCCTGTACGGTCAAGCAAACAGGAACAGATACATGCTTCGATCGTTTCAACGCTGCTGGCGCTGATGGATGGTATGGATGGCCGCGGCCAGGTTATTGTTATCGGTGCCACCAATCGGCCTGATTCCATCGATCCGGCTCTACGAAGACCTGGTAGATTTGACCGGGAGTTTTACTTCCCTTTGCCAGGCACTGCAGCTAGGAAGTCCATCATTGGTATTCATACAAAGGGCTGGGATCCCCCTCTACCCGAAGCTATCAAGGATGAGTTGGCAGAACTGACAAAGGGTTATGGTGGCGCTGATTTGCGTGCTCTGTGCACAGAAGCCGCGCTCAATGCAGTGCAGCGCCATTACCCTCAGATTTACAACTCGAACGAGAAACTCGCCATTGATCCAAGAAAGATTGAGGTCACGCCCAAGGACTTCATGATTTCCCTCAAAAAGATGACACCCTCCTCAGAGCGATCGGCGTCGTCTGGCGCTGCTCCACTGCCGCCCAGTGTGGCGCCTCTGCTTCAGTCTCAGTTGGACCAGATCAGCCAGCTTCTGGGGGAGATACTGCCACAACGGAAGAGACTCACAGCTTTGGAAGAGGCTCAATTCGAAGACACTGCCGACGGTCACAGTTTCGGTCGGGAGAAAATGCAACAGACTTTCGAGACCACCAGAGTCTTTCGCCCTAGATTGCTGATCCATGGCAAGCTGGGCATGGGGCAGCAGTATGTCGCTTCTGCACTGCTCAATCACTTTGAAGGCCTCCACGTCCAGGCCTTCGATATTCCGACATTGTTCAGCGATACTGCGAGTTCACCCGAGGCCACGGTCATCAGGCTGTTCTCAGAAATCAAAATGCATAAACCGAGCGTCATTTACATTCCCAATGTGCAGGAATGGTACAACACCGTGGGCCAGGCCGTGATATCTACTTTCGTGGGTCTTTTGAGATCCATCAAACCCACTGATCCTGTTCTCTTACTTGGATTTGCCGAGGGCGACTATGATGACATGGATGATAACATGCGCCGCGAGTTCTTTGGCTACTCGAAGAAGAACCAGTTCCAGCTGAGAGAGCCTAATCTTGAAGAAAGGTCTCAATTCTTCCGCAGCATTAAGGATTACATTAGCACGGCTCCAGATGATTTCCCCGATCCAAAGCACCGAAAGAAGCGCGAACTGGAAAAGCTTGCCGTGGCACCGCCTGAGCCAGAGAAGCCGAAACCTCCGCCAACCAAGGAGGAGCTCAAGGCACAAAAGAGGCGTGACCGTCAAACTCTGAACATGCTCAAGATCCGATTACAGCCCATCATGGATCAAATCAGGACCAAATACAAGAAATTCCGGACCGGCGTGATCGATGAAAGCCACATTCGCTACCTCTACGACGAAGCTGATCCAGGTACTGTGACGTCGGATCTGCACACTGAAATTCTGGCCAGAGCATCCTATCGGCCTTTCGAGATTGGGAAGGACGCCCATGGTGTTCCCGGTCTGATAGATCAGTCTAATGGAAACTTCTATTACAACCTGGACTCTGTGACGATCGAGAAACGCCTGAGCAATGGGTACTACAAGCGACCGAAAGATTTTCTGGCAGATATCAAACGCTTGGCTAAAGATGCAAAGGCCATTGGTGATGAAGATCGACTGCTCAAGGCCAATGAGCTGTTGGCGAACGTCGAGGTCGACATTGGATCCATGGAAGTCAACGAACCTGCGCTGGCCGCGGAATGTGAACGTGTTTACCAACGAGAATTGGAACGGGAACGAGAGGCCCTAGAGAAAGCGGAGCAAGGCAAAATGCCTCCGCCTCCCAATGTGACCAATATTGCTCAGGGTTCGGGAACAACGACCACAAATGACACAGGCCCCATTCTGCTAGGCGAGCCCATGCATCGCCGCAATGACTTTGCTCAGCGGCTCGCTGCGACATCCACTCAAGCCAAGTCAACCGAATCCATTGTTACGAACGGCATACATCCTAGTCAAAACCACTCAGGACATTTGACAAATGGGTCTCACGCAAATGGCCACGAAATCGACGTGGAAGGCGACACTTTTATGGGAGGTGGAGACTCGCATCCATCGTCTCACAACAAGAGCAACGACACGCAGCAGACGAACACGACTAGCTCCTACGGTGCGCGTGCCTCTGCCCAAACAAGACCGTGGAGTGCATACACCGCACCCTCCCAACAGCTTATGAAGGAATCAGGACTGTCGGCGCCGCCCTCCCAGACTGGACCCTTCACTCCTATGCCTCAGGGAAGCCAGCCAGGGGAGTTCCAGAACGATGCTAGCACAACTCAATCGCCCAACGAGAAGAAGCCGTCCTCCAATAATACGCAGCAAGAGATTCACCAGGATTCAGGCCCTGATCTCTATCCATTTGACGAGAGACGATCTGCTGGAGGCAGTCAGATTCCATCCACGCAAGGTATGTACACACGACCCTCACTAGATAGAAACCCTCCTCTCTGTGAACTGTTCCATTGCCCGCGATCCTCTCTAATATACGTGAATCTAACGTTGAACGTGGTATTAGGGCAAAACTCACAATCGCAAGCTGCTGTGGGTGTCCGTCCTTCTTCACCGCAAGGGGCGAATCAAGAGTCCAACTCGCAGCCTTCCATGATCATGCCTCCCCCTATTGAGGCGCCGTCACAGCGACATTCCAACGCCAGCCGCATCGATGACCTGCTGAATCCCTCTTCATCTCCACGTCCGACATCGCCACCATCACCGACTTCTCGCCCTAATTTGATCCAAGTCGAGGAGCATGCGCTTGAAAATCTCCATACTGAAATCGCGGATCAGACTAGCGGTCTGTCCGTCGAACAACTGGAGCAAGTGAACAGCGTATTGATGGATACGATCTGGAAGACAAGAAGTGAGTGGGACCGAAATAAGGTCAAAGAGAGTGTGGCAGAGGCTTTCAATGAGGTTATGGAGGACATGGTCGGTGCTGGACAGCAGTTTGGGGACGGCAGTTGGGGCCGGAAGGCACAGGTCTGATCTTTGGGGGAATCATAAGGACGACGGGCCCAAAAAGGTGGTATATGTTGGAAAGATATAAGAAGATCAACACCGGGCTTGAAGAGACACAACAAAAAGGCTCACTCTCCCACGTTCGGAGAAAAAATTGGACAGCTCGTTTTGCATCAAAGACGTGTGTGCCTGTTTGTGATGGATGTATGTACATGCGAAGAATCAAAAGAACAGAAGAGAAGAAGAGATGAAGAGCGTAATCAATGTTGGGCGCCAAACAGTAGCCATCAAGGCTTTTTATGTGCGCTCTCCCTTTCCCTGTCCCTCTGATTTATCTGGCTCGTAAAGCGTGTAAGCACCAGCACCATCACCATCATCATCACCGTCACCATTAGGGTCTTAGGACCGGAGGATCCAGTACTGGGAGTAGAAGTAGAAGTAGAAGTAGAAGTAGAAGTAGAAGAGGAAGAGGAAGAGGAAGAGGAAGAGGAAGAGGAAGAGGAAGAGGAAGAGGAAGAGGAAGAGGAAGAGGAAGAGGAAGAGGAAGAGGAAGAGGAAGAGGAGGAGGAAGAGGAGGAGGAAGAGGAGGGAGCTCATTGGGGACGGCCTCAACAAGGTTCTGGAAAGGCACCGGAAAGTCTTGGTTGGAGAAATCTATGGCTTTTTACACGGTCTATATATGCCTTTTGGTTCGTTCCGGCTCTTTGAGCATCAGGGCCCCAAAACATGTCAAGCAAGTAACAGTCGCAAGTGACGCCGTCTACCCGGTCCAAGCTCCATATTCGTACACGTCCCCCTGACCAAGGTCATTCATTCATCGCGTCTTCGTCTTCGACTTGGTCTCCTCCCCCTTCGGCCCAGGCGCAGGCAAAGCGTACAGTGCTCCGCCCACAAACACGATCGTCGCGCCCATCACCACGCCCGTGGGGAGTTTGTTGCCAAACAGCCAGATGCTCAGGACAAGGCTGACGAGTTTCCTGATGTTGAGGACGATCGAGACCGTGAGGGAGGACGACTGCGCCGAGAGCCGGTTCACGCCTATAATGCAGAGGAGTTGCGTCGCGGCGTTGAGCAAGAGTAACAGGAGTGGGCGGGGGAGGGCGGAGGTTGGGTTATCAAGCCAGGAAGATGAAGCTATGTCCATCTTTGACTCATCACCGCCGATGTCGTGGCCTGGGACGGCCAGGAGATTCACGAATTCGAAAAAGAGCGGCCGGACTTGACTCACAAAGTATGGCAACGAGATGGTGTGGCTGTAGAAGAGCGTCTCGGCAGTGATGTCCCCCGATCGACCGTGCGTAGCATACATGTCGTCGGCGAAGAGCCCCATACACGCTGAGAGGACGAGTGCAGAGGCGAGAAGCACGAAGCCAGGGGCTTGAGACGAAAACGCCGGCAGTTTGGAGGACATAGACGCCGCCTCCGCCGTCGAACGGTAATCGTCCAACTCTTCGACCGCCGCCCCGATGTCAACCTGCTTGGACCACGTATCTGAAAACGCAGCCAACACCACCCCGCCGAAAAGTAGCATGACCGCGACCACCTTCTGCGTGGAGTACCGGCGTCCCTTCCAAATCCTGCCCGCAAGCATGGTGGTGACGGGGCCCGCACTCCTCAGTATGATGTGTAAGGGAATACTGATGCGATATTTAAACGCCCTGTTATTCAGAATGTTGATGGTCAGGAAGTAGGCCGTGTAGATCAGCCATTTGCGGATCGGGATGTTTCGTTCTTTGAGGTAGAGGTTCCGCAAGCCCCGGCGGGGGGAGAAGTGTCGCGGTAGGGTGAATAGGGCAACGAGGAGGAATTGGAACGCTGTGATCAGAGAACCGGATGAGGGCGAGGCATGGATGATGGATTCGAGGGTGTAGACATTGGAGCAGCAGCCGCCGAATATGAGCATGAGGGTCGGAGCCCAGATTTGGAGGATCGACGGCAGTGCGCTTACTGAGGTTGATGTCGATGCGGTGTTGGTTGGTGAGGACGCGGGTTTTGCTGCGGGAGAAGTCGCTGCTCCATTCTGGACATGCTTCTTGTCCACATCATGATGGTTCTCGCCGTGCTTGACCCTCTGACGAGTGCCTGTCGAGTCGACCCGAGCAGTCATGGCTTGCCCAAATAAGAGGCGGACGAAGCTTGTGTGTCGCGGACAATTTTCTGGGTTCTTGGGGTCATCATTGGAAATCGCGAACTCACGTGCCGCTTTTAAAGTGACCTGCAAGGTACTACCGAGCATTGACCCCCTCAAGTTCAGCCTTGTCTCGCTAGTTCGGATAATCCATTCTCCGGATTCCCGATTGATCCGCTCAGCCTCACATCCCCGCCTCTCCCTCTATAACTTCTTAGTCCAATGTGCTCGTTCGGTGGAAAAGCAGGATGAAGATATACCAGCACATGAATCAAAATTGCCGACGAGAACTGGACCGAGACTAGGCAGTAAACATGGCCGCGGACAGCGCAGGGCCTGCATCAATTTCCCCGATCCGGGATTACGAATCGGAAACCACGCATGGCAACGAGAGGCCTGCAAAGAGACAGAAGGTTGCTGCGGCGTGCGATCAATGCAGGGAGAAAAAGATCAAATGCGACGGGCGGAAGCCACTGTGTCGGCCTTGCGAGCGGAGACATGGCGCAGCAGCTCATTGTGACTGGGGATTGAGAAAAACGCGCAGTATCGGAGCCTCGAAACTCGAGATTATGCGCCTGCGGTCCCGGATCGACGAACTGGAAAGGTCTGGTCGACAATCGAACCAAACTAGAAGCATCGCCCGAGCGTCTACGCCTCCAGTAACGTCGGATGGGAACCACGATAGCGACGCCAATGCGATGATGGGACTATTGGGAGATGGTAAACCTGGTGAAGGTGGCGTGGTTGAAGATTCGAGCGCTGCGAGCTTCATGAATCGTATCAAAGCCGCTCTAGATCAACAACCCACCCCAAATTCCGCTTCGCAAGTGTCATCAACCGTCTCACCGGTAGCGACGGCTTCACCCCGAAGAAGACGGTTCAAAACGCCTGACTATGTCCTTCCTCCCAGACACCAAGCAGACCACCTGTTGGAGGTATATTGGAGGATTGTCGACGCCCTGTATCCTTTCGTTGACAAGGATGATTTCATGGACAAATACCAGACTCTCTGGACTGGGAATCCTTCAATGGACGACGAGGTCTGCTTCATATGTCTTCTCAACGCCATCTTTGCGATTGCCTGCATTTTGGACTCATCCATCCGCCCCCAAGATCGTATCACTTCCGGTGAGGTCTTTTACAAACGCGCTGTGGCACATTTCGACCTCGAGTTCTTGCAGTTTCGCTCGGTGCACACGGTTCAGTGCTTTCTTCTGCTCGCACAGTACCTCCAGAGTACCAGCGAGCCCCAGCAGTGCTGGCTGTTTACCAGCTTGGCCATCAGGATCGCTCAAAGCCTTGGGCTCGACCTGCCCTCCACCAGTGCCCTGACTTCCGATGGCATGCCAAATGACTTCCTCCGTAAAGTCTGGCACGGCTGCGTTCTGATGGACCGAACGCTGTCCATGACCCTCGGTCGTCCCGGAATCATCACTCCCCAAGCTGCGGCTTCAGTTCCTAGGCCTCATCCTCATCCCGGCTCCAAGGAATGCTCCTGCCACAGAGACCTTTGCGTTTTCGAACCGTCGGCTCCTGACCTCCATTTCTTCATCGAATCTCTTCAGCTATATGAAAACATGAGCGAGACGCTTGCGGCACTTTACAGCCCAATATCAGTAAACGCGCCTGGTCCCGAAGACAGCTATTCTCCATATTTTGGCGGCAGCACGGGCGCAAAAGCAGCTGGGACCGTGCTGGAGATGGACAGCAAATACTGGATCTGGAGGAGACGTCTGCCCCTCCACCTGCAATACCCCCTGGACTCGTCGTTCGGGTGCACGAACATGATCCACGGCCGCCAGGCAAAGGTGCTTTACCTCCGAGACTGCCATATTCGGACGCTACTCTTCCGGCCAGTCCTGTCTCGCTTCTGCACGGCAAGCCACAACGACCAAGAGTTCTCCACTAGTGAAGATGGCCTCGCGCGCAAGCTCGCACTGCAGTGCTCAATCATGTGCGTGAAGAGTGCGTTGGATACTGTCGACTTGTTCGGCAGAGTCCACGCAGAATGCCGCCTGGAGCTCCTCGACGACTTACTGCCCGCTTGGTGGTACAGCATCTTCTACCTGTACACTGCAGCGACTGTGCTTGTCGCGGCTCGACTCAACCTGGCCGTCGAAGCCGGTGTGGGTGGGGAAGAGGTGATTATGAGCGCCGCCCGTACTGCGACAGCCGCACTGCAACGGTACGGCAGTTTCGGCAAACACGCCAAACGGTGCGCCGCGGCCATAGCATTGCTTTTCGATCAGATCCCGCCACGACATGAGCCACTTCCTGGAGCTGAGGTCCAGGCATCGAATGAGGACAGGGTGACCGGTGTGACGCGAAAACAGCACGATGGCATTGACGGGGCTGGGAATATGCAACGGTCAAGTGTCGTACCTGCAGACGGCGACATTATCATCAACGGAGAACCTTCGGGCTGGACTTTCAACAATGACCAAACACATCATGATAGTGGTCCAAGGACGACAGGTCCCACCACTCGCTCTGCTAGTGTCAGCGCCAACGCCAATGGCCACTTTGCAACAGCCTCTCGCAACACCGCAGCACCAACGCTCTCAAACAGCTCCATCACAGCCACAGCCACAACGACAGCACCAGCACCAGCACCAGAATCTATGCCGTTCATGCTGACGAGTACCCACGGCGTCAACGACACTGGCATATTCGAAACCCACAACCAGCACCACCACGACGCGGCCGCCGCCGCGGTGATGACCGACTTTGATCACGATTTCGATCTCAACCTCAACCTCGATCTGGGCGGCGACATGTCCTGGCTGAGTAGCATCCCCTTTGATCTGTACGGGTAGCCCGTGACAAGTGACCTACCTACAGTACCTCCCGCGTCCCGTTTACTCACGCACACATATATTTATCCTCGGTCTATACCTATACTATGACGAAGGAATATCAGGTAATCTAGTATATATAATATATGTACCTAGGACCTACTGTAGGCTGAACACCTACATGGCTCGATGGGTTGTTTCAATCGGAGTGTAAACGTCTCTACCTATATTCTGTCTTTGTGTCTCTCTCACTCCAAACCTACCTACCTACCTCCCACCTCTTAGCCAGTGATGGGTTGGACAGGACTAGACAGATTTCTTTCCAGAGAACCGGTGGAGGTGTAGAGAGCAGAGTAACACTCATACTAGGCACTAGGCACCAGGAACTATTGATTCACCTCACCCACTCTAAAGCGTCTATGCCTCTCTTCTCTCTTCTCATCTCTTATCTAAATCAGAAGCTCACGGGTTGTTTATTTGCCTCCTCCAGCACGACACATAGACGGAGCATGAATGAAATCTTTGCTCTCCTTCTTGATGGCCCTCTTGTTGGGAAAGGACCCTTTTCGATAGCCACAATCCGTGTCTCGGGTGCTTCCATCCCTCCTCAGGCGCCATGCCTCTTCTTGTACCTCTCTAGTCTAGAAAACTTTTGCGTCTGTTGTAGACCTTTTTTGGTTCTGTGTCACAGTTGCTGTCTGCATGATCCAATTGCAGGCAGCCCACGTCAAACCTAACCAATTCTCCCTCCCCGTTGTGTAGTGTATGAATCGACTTTCCGTTTTATTACATCATCCTCGAACCGGCAAATTCCCTCCAACTCCTGACCTCTGGGGGAATTCCTTCATGTCGAGGAAGTTTCGCATTCATGCATTGAGCGAAGAGCAATGCAGTCTGTAAGTTTGGAATTAGTCAATCATCACACAATGACAAGGACGGGGTTGTCCATACCTTGGGTTCCATGAACAGAGGGACGCCAAAGTCCACGGCGTTCCTTCTCATCACATAATCCTCGTCGACGAGTGTCTTGCCTCGAGTCTTTGCCAGGTTGAAAACCCCCCTGATGTCGTACTTCTGGAACACTTGTCGTAGCGCGTTCTTGTCCGTGGTCGGGAACTCAATCACCTCGATCGATGCGCCGGACTTCTCCAAATGCTCCTTGACATTGTGGTTTGCCGTATAGAACTTGTAACCAAGGGGTCGAAGATACTCAACAATCTTGGGGAGCTCTGGCAGCTCAGTGGATCCACCAAGCAGGATTCCCTCGCCCGGCTCAGGCATACGGAAGTTCATGGTTGACTGGAGAGATGCCCAGTACGCCTCGATCAGGTCCTTCCCAAAGCACGCAATCTCACCAGTACTGCTCATCTCAACACCCAGGAAGGGGTCAGCACCCGCCAGCCTAGTCCACGAGAATTGTGGAACTTTGGTAGCCAGGTAGTCACGCTTCTCGGCCATGAGATCTTGGGGTTCGGGGACATCCTGATCAACCAATGCTTTGGTCGCAACGTCAATAAAGTTGGTCCCAAGCACTTTACTAACAAAAGGGAACGACCGTGAAGCACGAAGATTGCATTCAATGACCTTGAGAGCAGGTTCTTCGCCGGCTGCGTCTGCCTTGATGATTTGCATGTTGAATGGCCCGGTAATGTTCCAGGCCTTGGCGACTTTTTGCGCAATCTCCTTGACACGAGCCATTACCTTCTCGTCAAGATTGGCCGGAGGCAGAACTAGAGTGGCGTCTCCGGAGTGAACACCTGCGGGTTCGACGTGTTCAGACACAGCGTGCAGAATGAGTTCTCCTTTTGATGCGACAGCATCAACGTCTATTTCTTGAGCACCCTCGATGAATTTAGTAATCACCACGGGATGGTCGGGAGACACCGCCGAGGCCGATTCCAACTTGTCCTTCAGCTCTTCGTGCGTATAGATGACGGACATGGCAGCACCGGATAGAACATACGATGGTCGGACGAGGACAGGATAACCAACAGAGTCAGCGAAGGACTCGGCATCTGCAACCGAAGTCAACTCTTTCCACGCGGGTTGATCCACCCCAATCGAGTCGAGGATTTGCGAGAACTTGTGGCGATCTTCGGCCTTGTCGATATCAACGGGATTAGTACCAAGCACGTGCGCCTTGCCTTCCTCTTGCAGCCGTAGCGCGATATTCTGCGGAAGTTGACCTCCCACGCTAACAACCACGCCCGAAGCATTCTCGAGTTCGTAGATATCCATCACCCGTTCATACGACAGCTCTTCAAAGTACAGCTTGTCGGCAGTGTCGAAATCAGTGCTAAATGTCTCCGGGTTGTACTTTGACGGAGAAAACAGTTAGTATAAGCCTTTTGTAAAAGAAATACAAGAAAAAAAAAGAAAGGAAAGAAAAGACTAAGAGCCCAGGACGCGGCGGCGGCGGCGGCGGCGGCGAAGACATGACAACAGCAGCGGCAGCCACAGCTTTATGATGTCTGTCAGACAATTGATGCCGAGTCAAGTTACCCTTGTTGTGGAAACCAAGGTTGCATGGAGAGCATCTGAAAGGGTTACTCGATTCCTTGAGTTTTCGCTTGTGTTTGGCAGTCTTTTCATGGTCCTGCAATGAATGTTTGGTGCCAAAGAAGATATCACAGCGGGTACAATAGAAAGTCTTTTCTTTCAGAGTCTTTTCGACGCCATTGGCTTGCTGTTTGGCGTCTGGTCCAGGCATGTCAAGGAAAAAGCTCACTTACATTGATCATGACAGTCTTCTGACCCATATTGCGCAGAGACAGCGTTGCATTAACAGCGCACCAATCGAATTCGACCGAAGACCCTATCCGGTAGACTCCAGATCCAAGAATGATGGTCCCGTTGTCTTCAAAGGTGACGTCGTGAGATGATGCATTGTACGTTGTGTACAAGTAATTGGTATCGGCGGGAAACTCGGCTGCAAGCGTATCGATCTTCTTCACCCATGGTCGAATACCGAATTTCTGTCGACGGGCTCGGACTTCTCCTTCAGTAGATTTGACGTACATGGCGATTTGCTTATCAGAAAAGCCTTGTTTCTTCGCCTTCAACAGCAGCTCGTGCTTGATGCCGTTAAGAGAACCAATCTCTTGGATCTCCGTCATTGTGTCTTTGAGGTTCTGCAGCTTGTAGAGGAACCACTTATCAATTTTGGTCAGGTCATGAATCTTGTCCACTGAATAGTTTTCGTGGATCATGGCTTGCCCAACAGCCAGCCACCTTCGGTCGGTAGGGTTGCGAAGAACATCGTCGAGATCCTCGAATTTGTCACCCTGGAATCCCACATACCGGGGATCGACTTGTCGAATGGCTTTCTGGAAGGACTCTTCAAATGTGCGACCGATGGCCATGACTTCTCCCACGGATTTCATGGCACTGCCAATGTCACGCTTCACGTGTTGGAACTTTGACAGATCCCAACGAGGGATCTTGACGACGATATAATCCAAGCTCGGCTCGAAGTTGGCGGTGGTCGTCTTGGTTACGGCGTTGGGCAGTTCGGGGAGGGTGTGGCCCAGACCGATTTTTGCAGCTGTATACGCCAAAGGATAGCCGGTTGCCTTGGATGCGAGCGCCGATGATCGGGAAAGACGAGCATTGACTTCAATAACGCGGTAGTCGAGACCGTCGGGTTGCAGTGCGTATTGGACATTGCATTCACCGACCACCCCCAAATGACGGACGATTTTGATCGCCGCTGTCCGCAGCATGTGATACTCCTCATCACTCAGGGTCTGGCTAGGCGCGACGACAATGCTGTCTCCGGTATGAATGCCCAGGGGGTCAAAGTTCTCCATATTGCAGACAGTGATACAATTGTCCTCAGCATCGCGGACCACTTCGTACTCAACTTCTTTCCAGCCTTTCAGGGACTTCTCGACCAAGATCTGGGGCGACAGAGATAAAGATCGGGATGACAGGTTGCTGAGCTCCTCGGGGTTGTTGGCAAAACCTGATCCCAGGCCACCAAGTGCGTAGGCTGAGCGGACGATGATCGGGTACCCAACCTTTTCAGCGGCGTCAAGAGCTTCCTCGACGGTGCCAACAGCGATGGACTCAGCAATGGGAATATTGATCTCGTTGAGGGCTTTTGCAAACAGGTCCCGATCTTCGCTGGTCTCGAGGGTCTTGATGCTTGTGCCCAGCACCTTGACGCCATAGCGGTCAAATATACCCATCTGATTCATTTTGACACCCAGATTGAGGCCGGTCTGGCCTCCAAACGTGAGCAGAATGCCATCCGGCTTCTCCCTCTCAATGACGTAGGTTACGTATTCGGGGGTGACTGGCAGGTAGTAGACCTCGTCGGCGAGCTTGTGATCGGTTTGTATGGTCGCAATGTTAGGATTAATGAGGATGGACTTGACGCCGGCTTCTTTAAGAGCTTTCAACGCTTGTGACCCTATTGCAGCTGTGAGCGTGTGATCCAAGACTGCTGCCACCACATGCCACTTGGCTTGGAAGAATTTTGCAATGGACTGAGTCATAACCGTCTGCCCTTTGCGACGACGTACCAGAATAGTCAAACTCTCCTGCCTGTCCTATACTCAAACCACCGCTGCCGATGACTATGACCTTCTTGACGTCGACCAGGTTCTTCCCATAGTCAATAGCACCACTTTCCAGGTAGGCCTCGGGGCGAGGGGCCTCTTGTACCAGAGCACGACGTTTTGTGGACCTTGTGAATCTCTTGACTTGCTGCCATGAGGGCGTTTTTGGGTTTACCAGGTGTTGTCGGACAGCGAGAGAGGGTATTCGAGTAGACAATGACCGTGCAGAGAGTCGGGGGACAGGTGCGTAGTCGCGCAGCAAAAGGCTGCCGGCCTGGCGAAGAGCTCGCGTGGTCGCCGCCATTGCGGTCGAGCCAGTTGACTGGATTGCTGTTGGCAGGAGAGGAGGAACGAGTGTTCCACTCGATCGCTGCACAAAACCAGCTCAGGATAGTGTTGTTTTGGTTGAGAGGTCTAAAGCAGTCACCGTGAACAGAATTGTTCAAGAAAGTGAAGCTCGACTCACACGCCCCAAACACTGACTGGGGGGAGTAAAAAAAAGTGCGGCTGGCCGCGCGAGACTTTCAGATTGCGGGATCCAATCGATAAGCTGCAGCCAAAGCAATCTGGGTCCTCAGACGTCAGTGTGGGATCAAGAGATAACAGTTTTTTCTCTCTTCCTGCTTGTCTGCTTCTTCGATCTCCCTCTCTGGAACTATACAAAACACAGACTACTGAGGTGATTGAATGTGTGAGATCTGCTTTACTACAAGAAAATACTGAACTATTAGGTCTCATCAAGCGCCAAAGATCCATCTTTCACCCTCCACTAGCCATTCGATCTACGCAACGCCCTTGAAAAATTTCTCCCTGTTGCGTGAACAAGTCGGTTTTTTTTTTTCCCTTCGCCCTGGTCAACCTTAGATCACCACGAAAATTTTAGTCTGGGGAAAGAAGAGGCGTTGGATGCGGCAGAATTGGGAAAGGCTGCAGACAAGGTGCATGTTTCTAAACTCTTCTTGGTCACCGCCTTCACATTGTCCACCAAAGGAATCCAACTTTTTTGCAGCCACTTGGTGCTACCATCACTTCACTCGCCTTCGTGCCTCCGCCCCTCTTTCGCTCATCTGCCAACCATGCCCGATCTTCTCGCAATGGTACCGCTATTAAAAATTCTTTTCCTTGCGTCATTTGATCTGTGCTGCATGTGGTAAGACACAGACTGCGGATCTGGCTAGAAAAAACTACTTTTTCGTTCCGCTTGATCTACGGATTGTCTATTCTCAGAATGCCAAAATCTTCCCATGCATTCCTCGCATTCAGTCGTTTAGTTTGGTATAGTTGGCAGGGAAAAGTCCAGTGTGCCCGTTGTACTCGCCTTGCCACCAGTCTTCGTCAGGGAACGACTAAAGGGGTCCGTCGTCAGTAGGGGCTCAAGTGGACACTCTTGTCAAGCCGACACTTACCACGTTCATGATGATTGCGTTCTCGGGGAATGACAATTCGTTGTCCTCCCCAGCCTCGTAGTCGTAGAGCGCGGTCGCTGTCACCCCTTTAGCCTCAGCAGCTGCTGGAGCCGGTGCAGGAGGAATCGGTTCTGCCGCAGGGGCAGCAGCAGGAGCACCGCCAGCATCGTCATCCACGAGTGTGAGATAATTGCTTGGTACTAGGCCCGTCTGAATCTTCATCAGTATCACTGGTACTCTTCCTTGGAAGAGCCGACTTACTTGTCCTGCCTCATTCTTGACAAACCACCAGTCTGGGTCGATGCGTTGAATGTCCGTCACCAGTTCACCTAGAATGGTCAGCAACGATTCTGTCTCTCGGAAAACAAAAGGATAATACCTTCACGCAGTGATACTTCATTATCTTCAGCTGCCTCGTAGTCATACTCGGCCCGAGCGCGTTCACCCCCAGCTGCAGGATCGGGGGCTGGAGCAGACTGTACAGCCTCGGCGCCTAGCGTGGTGGCTGCCGCAGCCACTGCCGCTGTTCTGCCCATGTCGGGACCTCGTGCTGGTTCATCATCTTCTTCTCTCGCCACGGGTGGAGGAATGGCCCGCGCCATGGAGGTTGCTGGCAGCACGGGTGGAGGGGACAGTTGCTCCTCGTGCGCGTCAGTAACCGCCGCTGAGGCGCTGACTGGCATGGCGATCCGAATAGGAGAGCCACGAGGCAGCTCTGGCTCTTCGTCGGGGGTGGGACTTCGTGGTTGAGCGGGCGGTGGAGGTAGCGCTGGTGCAGACTCTTCCTCTTCCTCCCTAGGTTGCGACGGGGTAAAGCCTGGGATCGGAATGCCACGGTTGGGTTTGCTGCTTGTATCAGGTTCCGGAGCAGGGGGTGGTGTTCGGTCAAACGATGCTGGAGCTCCCATGGGAGGCGCTCCACTAAAGCGATCTCGAATCGAGCTGATTCCCCCGATTGCAGAGGTTGGAGCCTCTTCTTCCTCGACTGGTTTCATATCCTCGCCCGTCACTTGTTGACCAAGGCTACTGCGGCCAGTATGCGTAGTTTGCACAGGTGCCCAAGTCTTGCCTGTATAGCCACTTTTCCAGCCGCTATCCCCGCTCTTCTGGGCGACGACCGGGGACTGTCCGCCATAACCAGAAGGCGACACTGGGGGTTCACCAGAGCCGCTCATGCCTCTCTCACGAGCCTTTTTCTCAGCCCACAGCTGGGCTGGCGTTTTCCCACCTTGATCTGCGAATGTTCTACTCGCCGTCCCCACGGGAGCAGCTGGTGCCACAGGTTTGGCCTCGAAACCACCGGGAACGGGTGCTTTGGTCCCAGTGAAAGTTGAGCCACCACCAAACTTGTTGGCCACTTTAGGTTTTGGAAGAGAGGTCAGACGTTCAGGCCCTTGCGAAAAGGCCGCTGATCTCTCTGCCAGTGAACGAGTGGGTATTTCTGATTCTTCCGAAGGTCCAGTCGACAGGCTCGACACAGGAGGCGGCCGCGAAAAGCCGGTTGAGTCTTCAGGTTTCTGCGCTTTGGCACGAATGGCCGCGATGTCAACCTTGCCGATCGGCTCATACGCACCCTTCACGGGTTCCGGCCTGTCGTCTTTCAAGTTGCCTGATTCTTTAGCCTGACGTCGGATCGCCGCAATGTCAACCTTCCCAATGGGCTGGTATGCACCTCTGACCACTTCAGGCCGATCGTCCCCTTGACTGCTAGTGAAGGGCGACGGAGCAGGCCTTTGTGAAGTCAGGTCTCTCATGTTGACCTTTGTAGGCTGATAGGCTGGCGCTACTTTTTCCAGCTGCGTTCTCGTGACCGGAGGAGCGTCCGCACCCCAACCATCCTCATCCAAAGCGGCATCTCGCTTGGGCAGATTGCGCGCTACAGGATTATAGCCAGCTGAAACCCCGGTACTCTGGGTAGGCGTGAAGACAGGTTTTGAGGCAATGGTCGGCTTTGTTGCCGCAACTGGTGGGGGAGCTGCCGCACCAGAGGTGCTTGAAGAGTATTTCGAGCCTGAGGCATCGGCGACTTTCTGGATGATACTCTCTGGAGTGAGGTCACGATCTGATCTCGCCGTGATTTGGACGTGGTAACCATGCAGTAATTTGGCGACCGTAGTCAGGTGGCTAGTAAAATAACCTTTGGTTCGTTCAGGGACACCTTCACCACACCACGCGATAAGGGCACTTTTAGGGAGACCTGTGTTGGAGTCCTTGACCTTGACGAAAGCAAATTGAATGCGGCCATCGGAGAATTCGTCAATCAAATCAACAAGCTCGCCTTCTCCCGTGCTTTGTACCTTCAAAACGCTCTCTTTATTGCCCGAGTCCTGCTGAAAAGCATTCGCGAGCGGAGCCGAGACTGAGAAGACGGCCCATTGTCCGTAAGTAGGGGAGGCTGCGGCGGCACCGGTTGGAGGAGGAGCATTGACAATTGACTGATAGCTCTTTGAGATAGACGGGCCGTTCGTCGAGGTGTTGAGAGAAGCCATGGCTACCCAGAAAAGGTCGGAGAGTCAATATGGTCCAAATAGACCAGGCTGCTCTTGGGCGTCTGCCTCCTCGTCTTTTTGGAGAGGAACTGCGTGCTGCCTGGGCGATCTAATCAGGAGATCAAAGAAAGACACTTGCAGTAGATTTTGCGGAGGGTATAGGATTCAGTAGTGAGAAGCGTGGACAGCAACGATGAAGAATGAAAAGGCAGCTTACTCTGCCTGGTGGCTTAGTGCCATTGGAAGTTGGAGTACGAGGTGCTGGAAGCAACAGGGTCCCTCAGCTTCGCAGTTCTGATGATGGCATATGCCAAGCCCCTAAATCCGAAGAGCATCATGTGACCAAGCTCAACCGTTGCAAGCACTGGCACCCCGGGAACCGCAGGCTGCACTTTCCCTTCCTTCTCACCTCGCAACTGCGCCCTCTTTCCATCCCCACCGCAATCGTTTACAGCGCCCAGGTTAGACGCAGCAACAAGGGATCATTGATGCTCATTGACCTGCATCTAGGATCGCCTTGTACATTCCGACTTGACCACTGCAGCCCTTTCGCGGCGACGACTGGCGCTGCCACGCAACGCCACTGACCGGCTCGACCTTGCGTGTTCCTGATCCAGTCCGAATATCCTCCCAACCATACCCGCAACGGACGCCCACGGTTTTGGTCGATGAAAAGCGTGTCTGGAGATCGAACAGCTCCGGTTACTATCACAAGCAAATACCCAGGATTCGTCGATCTTTGTCGTGCCGACAACTTCAGAATTGACAAGGAAAAGGTTCTGCCAAAACGAGTCCCGTGAAGCCGTGCTCCTTACGACCACACCACCATTGCTGCCTGTTGTTCGAGCAAAGCAATTGCTCTGCTCGAAATGTTTTTCTTTCTCTCTTCATCAGACCCAGACTGGCTAGCACACTTGGCTACCAGCTCCTGGCGCTGATATTTTCGTTTCTCAAACAGGTTTCGACTGTTGAGCATTTCCTATTTTACTTTCTGCAAATGGTCTCCATAGCTGTGTGACATGGAATTCAACGATGGATCAACTTTCGCTCCTTGGAAAGGCTCGCGAAAGAGACCCAGGTCTCCCGACCTTGCAGACCGTTCTGCCCACGAGTTGGACTACAGACCCGTGGCTATGGAGCGTCCCACAACAGCCATTTCCTTTGGCGTCGACACGGAGCGGAGTAAACGGCGAAAGCACTCTATCAGCACGCAAAGTCTCAGCTCTCCTGCACCCCCAAAGCGAGCCCCTTTCCGCCGGCCCTTAATGCTGGTGGACCTACCTGGCGAAGTTCTGCAGCACATTTTCACTTTTGTTGATCCCATTTCTCTTGGACGGTTGATCAGTGTCAACCGCTGCTTTCGTTCTCTCCTTGATCCCGCATGTCTACTGCCACAAAAGTCTGCATCTAGCTTGTCCATGCGTTTGACCATGCGCAGTCAGGACCTTGTTTGGGCCGCATCACGAAGATCGTTCCTTCCAGGTTTTCCAAAGCCGATGGACAAAATGACAGAGCTGGAAGTGTGGAGACTTGTTCGAGGCCGTACATGCCAATTCTGTGGAAAGAAAACGACTCACAATCAACCCCTGTCGGTGTCTGAACTCTGGGATTCCGGGCCTGGATTAGATGGTGTTCGGCCTATCTGGCCATTTAGAGTCAGGACTTGTGGCCGTTGTCTGCAACCCAGGTTGATAAAGGTAAGATCCTTGCTCTGAACCCAGTGCAGTGTCTGATCTCCAGTAGGACGCAGAGTTGATTGTCTCTACTTATTCGGCACTAAGGCCCGCTTTGCCTTTCGCGATCCTGACACAAGAGTTGAATTATATTCCATCCACGGTAATCCCGCAGAAGCCACCACCCCCTCATCTGGAACTGGTCAAATACTACTTCCGGCCTCAGTTCGAAGCACTTCAATCCGAGTTCCATGATGTAAAGGCTTTAGGTGCTGCTGCGGTCGCCGAATGGTATAAAGGCCTCGAGACTCTGGGTCATCGAAGTAACACCGACGCTGCGCGCTTTGAGCAATGGGAACTCCAAGGTGGATATTCCAGGTTGCCAATTGCCAAAAGCCCCAGCGGAAACGGGGTCGGTACTTCGTTGATGAGTCTTACGAATCATGCAGACCCTATGCAAACATTCGACAACGTGCAACAACCATCTGTGCATTCTGCCGATGGAACACCCTCTTCTGGCAACGTGGTTTCAGGGCTCTCCACTCCCGGCACCCTCGAAGGTAAGCGATTATTTGATTTGATTTGATTTTTTGATACTTGGGATTGTCTCATTCTCTCCAGTCGTAGTAGCTTCTGGATGCTCTCGTCCGCAGCAGAACTAATAGTGATCCCGTGCAGATTCTAGACACCCTGCCGCTCAAACACAATCATGGCCTCTTCCACACTTTCCTGTTGCGTCAGGGCAGCAGCCCCTCACAGCCATCGGCCCCCTTGGTCCTTCATTGCCATCTGGCCAAATGCCAGGGCGCCCTCCGCGCCAAAAGACTGAACGTAGTCTGAAAGAAGCAACAAAGACAAGGGCTGAACGCCGCAAAGATATTGAGAGGCGCTGCCTTGCCCTTGAACCTCCTATAATGCCGTCAACGTTGGTGCATATGGATGCGTTTCAGGCGGCGATCTTGATCTCACGCCCACTCGACGATAAGGCCTGGGAGATATTGAAACCGCGTCTTCTTGCACAACGTGCAGACGCTGAACATCGAGAGAGCAAAATTTCACTTAGCGATCCTACGATACAACTCCAAAAGCGCCAGCAACTGGAGGAAGAGCAGCGCGTGGCACAGGCAAATGCAAGCCACATGTGGATCGAACTGAAGGTCTCTCCAAGAGATAAATTACAGAAATATGCGCAAGATTTTATACATCTGACATGGTCAGATGGTAGTGCGGTGACCAAGGCAACTGCAAGCAAGTTCGCTGCAGAGGTTCTTTGTCATGTGCGACAGCGCTTCGACGAGGTGGTTGCTCAAGAAGATCGAATGCTCCAGCTCAAAGGAACCGCCTTTCCCCAAGACGAGGCGTCCCTTGCCTGCAGGAAATTGAAACTTGAGGATATGAAATGGGTCTATGAAGAATTTGTGAAGCCTCACGCGGAAAGATTCGGAAAAGAACTTTTTCTCTGCCACGTGTGTGACACCACACAAAAGCTCTTCGCATTCGAAGCAGTCATCCAGCACTTTGCTGCGAAACATACGAGCTCTCTCAGCAGCGGCAACAGCATCGTGTACTGGAAAGCCGAATGGCCCCTGGAACCCCCCTTCGACCCACATCCGAACATTCCCTGGGCTCTCCAGGCTACAGGCAGCATGGCTAGCACACAACCACCTCAGCAAGCTCGCCTGGGCTTGCCTCCTCGCGGCCCTCCATCATCGATTGAGGGAGGGCTTGGAGGTCCATACAATGTTCCGCAGCCTATTTCATCATCACAGTGGTTTGCCGACCCATTGCAACATGTTGATCAGAACAGTTCTTCGGGTGTATTGAGAACGGACTCGCTCAATACCGGGCGTCCCCCTCCGAGGCTTGAAAAAGGACATCTCCGTGGTAGCGTCGCCGGCTCTTCGATTGCCAGATCTGAGACCTCCGGATACACCAATGAAGATGAATACGGGCCCCGTTATCAGCCCTATAAATTTGCCCGCCCGAATGCTCCTATCATTCAATACTACCAAGGGTCACATGCTGGTGCTAAAATTGGCGACGAGATGGATAGGAGTCATTCAGGCAAATCTGCACCTCGACGTGAAGAACACCCTCATCTTTTCGAGACCGGACGTGGCTGGGAAGCCTGGAAGCGACCAGGGCCGATTTCCCACGGCTCCATGATATATTCGTACGGAGACAGCTCTTCGAGGTTCTCGTACGGAGAGTCTGTACAAAGAGATGGCGGGACCTCAGTCGACGGAACATCTGAGACTGGTGGTAGCAAGACTACCAGCCACATCTCTTTGCGGCGGGAATTGGCTTCGGAGTCAAGAGCGCCAACCAGCGACCTCGAGTCATCGAGAGAGGAAGCCCATCAAGCCGCAACCCATGCAGCCGTAGAGAATTTTCTCAACAACTTCAGTCCTCTGGTTGGTGATGCGGGCACGGATAGTGCGAGAGGCGTTGGCACGATAACGCGCCCGACTGACTTGGAGCAACCACACAGTATACCGGGACTGCATCCGATTGATGCGTATCCTCAGCAGGGTGAGACCTGGGAGAGCTTGGGCAACCGCACTGGGGGCCATATCTCTCCTCCTACTCGACAAAGACCTGCTCCACCCCTAAGAGAGCTTGAACGACCGCCTGTGTGGACTGACGACCCTCCAGCACAGCTCCGCTATAGCCCTTTGGTGCCACCAGATCGTGACCCTGAGATTACTCGGGAGCTGGCTTATGATGATAGATACAGGGAGCTTCCCGGACGAGCACTCCAAGCCCGCTACGACCGCCAATTTGAGGATATGCGGGGACGAGGTCCCGCATATCCAGTGCCTCCTTACGAACCTCAGTATTTCTACGGTCATGACGGAAGACGATATGTAGAAGTAAGGGAACAGAATGCGGAGAGGTATGCACCTCGAGCCGACGACTTTCCCGAACGATATCACAACCCCACGGATAGTTCTGGCTCGCGTTATTTGGACAGCAGGCGATACGTTCCAGAACGACAACTTGAACACGACAATCGTATGCATGGTCCATTGAGAGAATACGAACTTGGCGATAACGATTACCGCCCTGCTCAGAATATGGGATCGTCGTGGGGGTATGATGGCCGCCACCCTCACGAGCAGGCTACTCTTGAGCCACATCCACGGAGTGCAAGAACCAACACTCGAGAGATCACATATGAGCCGATCGAGCAACCAATGAGATACACCCCGCGATCCTTCGGCGCAGAGCGCCCCGGTGAATGATCGCTTCCTGCTCGAAGGAGCTGGATCGGGATCCCGCGATTCCAATGGAAGTAAATTGGAGGTAAAGCTGATGGATTTCTTCTGGTCTTGCAACTTTCTTTTCGATTTATTTGCTCGGGCATTGTTTGGGAGCAAGTGAAACATATTGCATGGCTCCGTCTGGGTCGGCATGTGTGCTGTTTTCTTTGTTGTTTCGAAGAGATACCCCCTCCATGTTTGTTTCAATGCCGAAATGTTTTGATGCCCTTGATTTACAATATTGCCGAAAGGAAAATTATATATTCGATGACCACCCGGTATTGTTGAGGGAACCGATCAAGTCCCCTTTTCACCAGCTAGTCAAATTTTTAATTTTTTTTTGCTGCTTTCGGGGAAGAATGTGAACGGCACGGATTTCTGTGTGCCCTCTACTTTCGGCATCATGCACACTCACGCAATACCTGGAGCCTGGACGCAACATCAGGCTAGCACGTGGGCCAGCAGCTTTGCATCATACGAGTCTGGGACGGTCTGTGTTGAGGCGGAGGCCTAGCGCACAACCCATGTCTATACCTATGCGTGCATGCCCAACGTGAGGCGGGCTCCCCACCCTACCATGTGACTATTTTTCTGAAATCCTATATCTGCAACTATATCCGATCTCGATGGCGATGAGTTTGATCGGAAGAGCAGAACTGGGCGAGTTGTAACAGTCACCCAATAAGTGTTCACGCCGGACTTTGTGGAGCTCAGCCGTTGTTGGGGACTTTTCTGCCTTCGTGCAATTATTATTTTGGACCACCTGTCAGGATTTCGTCAACGTCACGGGCCCTTGAAGCCAGGATTCTGGGGCTGTACGAGGACTCGTAGAGGGTGCTACAGCGCTTATGCACGGGGTGAACGGACTCAGCAAAGGTATTTCCCGTTAGTGAGGCTTGAGATTCGGATTGATGGCCCACCGCCATTGTCGATGCCCGTGATTGGCGAATCGGGTGCGTCATGGCCCCTTCATGTGATACAGCGCCTCTTGCCGCTGGTTGGTGACCGTCACACTTCATGGGAAATGAAGCAGGCGCCGGTGCTCCTCGTCTTTGAGAACTTCACGGTGATGAACTCGAAGAGGCTGGGATGCGGCAGTTAAATTGAGATTGCTGGGTGTTCTTACTGCCACTGCCACGAGAGCGCGAGGAGATGGTAGTGGTGGGCCGGCTTCACCGCGACTTCGGGACCTGCGGAAAAAGCAACAGTGATTGAGGGGTTCGGGTCGGCCGTGCTTCGTGTCTTTTTTTGGCCCATACAGGTGGGCTACGTACGGGCTAGGAGGAATCAAGAGGGTCAACAGATGTCAAGTCAAGAACCCTGATGGTGATGCGAGACGGTGACAATTCAGATGGCAAATTGTTTGGTGGATGTCAACATGTCTGGCGTGGCTTGGGCATGGTGGGCGAAACTGCATTGTGGAAAATAAGGCGGGCAAGGCATATTCAAGCCCATTTGAGAGCATACCAGAGTAACGGTTCAGATGAAGCTGATGGCTTGCAGGTATTAGGCGAGAGATGGTCTGCAGACTAAGCGAGGGTCAAGAGGTGGTAAAGAGAATGATGCAAGTAGTCACAGAGACGGGTGATGGAGGGAGGAGGGAGAAAATCTCGAGCGGACATTATTGTTGGCTTTGTTTGTTCGAGGCCACCAGGCTGAGTATCCCCTCGCAGACTTACTTGAAGGCACCTTAGGTACATTCTCGTAGGTACCTACGAGTACCTCGAACGGGTAAAGGCACTCGGTAGGTTACCTAGCTAGGCTGAACATACTCGCGCAGGACCTTCTTGTTTGTACCTACAGAAGGCAGGTAGGTGTCACACGTAGTGGACAGATGGGCAGCCACGCAGCTTTACGTGATGGGCATTTTACAGGCAAGGCGGCCCCCAAGTGAGTCAGTGACAGTATGTAGGTGTGTAGGACGAGGAACAGGCACCCGAAAGAGACCCAAGAGCCAGGCATACCCCCATGAGCCACTAGGCAAACCCACCAACTCAGGCTAGTAGGAGGCTAGCTTTAGCAACCCGAAGAGCTCAAGTTGCTGTTTTCCTTGCCCCCCCCTCGGCTTGCTCGCATTCCCACCTTGCCGTCACCCTCTCTCTCCACCCCACCAAATACCTAGGTACTGCCCGGCTGCGCAGCAGCTACTGCTACCGCTGGCTGTGATGCTGCTTTCTTCTAGCTGGTCTCTCCACCTTCACCATCTTGTCTATCCCAACCGTAATCCATCCAACCATCATCGACGTCTCTTTCATCCACCAACTATCCATCGTCTTTCAACCTTGTCCATCCTCTTGTCGTGTTGGCACCTGCAGCGCGCCCCTTTACTATTCTACTATAGGATCCTTAATAATTCTCAACAGCTATCCGAACTTCATCCAATCGTCGCCCACTCCCATCGGCAAAACAACAACAATCATTCGTTCCACCATCTGTCTGCTCCCGCACGCCTCGCCTCGCGCATTGCATACCACTGTATGTCTCAATCTGGTTCTACCCTTTCTCGGTCCATTAGATGTCCCCGTCCTAGGATATCGATACTAGCCTGGAAATGCTAGTATCGCTAATGAGCCCCGTTCCCAGCGCACTGACCGATGGACTGACCAAACAATCTAGACCTGCAGCAACCGCGCCGACCCAAGCATCTCATCTGCAGCTGTCCGTCCCGGCCTTCGACTCGCGCAGCAGCACCACATACCATACCAGTCGCCAGTCGCATACCATCACTGCGCAGCCACTGCACGGCGCACTCTCTCGTGTGCCGCATCGCCTCGCATCACGATCCTGCTGGCTGGTTCCCAAAGGTTCCAGCGATCGGGTCTCGCTTCAGCTGCGACTAGATCCTCTTGCCTTTCGAAAGTCCGTCATTTGTGCGTGCCCGTGGTAGACCGCCTCACATCCCACCACAACCATTCGACGCTTCTTCCGAAAAGTCCCAAGTCTCAAAATTGACGGTTTCGCCTGCACGACAACGCATCCCCCATCCTAAACTGTCCCCTGGTTCCCCGTCAGCCCTGGGAAACGTGCCGACTGGTAATCATTTTGGGCACAAACAAAGCAGGAGAAGGGATCGTCTGACCTCTTGCGCCGGAAGTGACGCAGGCCAGCATTAGACATCCTGCACTGGTGTCGCCCCAGTGTGACGTGGTCATCAACGCCAGCCAGACAATCTTCGCCTTGCAATTCGGCCGCTGCGGCTATCCTCCAGAGTACAGGACTACATCATGTCGGCCTCCCCACCCAAGGAACCCGATGTCGAACAGAACGCACATTCTGGTGAAGAGCAGGATCATATGGATCGCGAACAAGAAGGAGCTCAAGGTGCCGGTTTGGACTTTGAAGTCAAGGAACAGGATCGATGGCTTCCCATCGCCAATGGTGGGTGAAAAAATCTCTCTTTCTTTTTGTCTTGATGTTTTGCAGGTCATACACACACTTTTCTCTCACTGGAGGGAAGGCACCGTGTCACCAGACGCACAGTCTTTGGAGTGTTGGCATTTGATTTGTTCGACCCTTGCGTAACAAGCCATGCATCTTTGCGCGCGCCAGCAACGTTGCTTCTGGGCTCTGTGCGAATCCGAATGTGCGACGCTGCAGCTGCTCTTTAGCCAGCACCGTCTCATTCGTTGCTGCTTCTCTCCTCCTCAAGCCATGATTTGCGTCCCAGCTCTCCTCAGCGCTGACTGGTGCGGCATCTGGACCACTCAGAGAGCGCTGTCAACGTCTCACTCGACACAACAAGATCCCCAATATGCCTTCCAGTTCTTCTGAGCATGAACGCAAACCATTGTCATCCTCCTCCAAGCACCATGGCGGTCGATCAACATCGTCGTCGTCTTCCTCCATGTCAGCAATGTCAGATGCTAACATCCGGAACTTTGCACCAGTGGCCCGAATCATGAAGACTGCCTTGCCCGACAATGCCAAAATCGCCAAGGAAGCGAAAGAATGCATGCAAGAATGTGTGAGCGAGTTCATCTCATTCATCACCAGCGAAGGTATGTGAGCTTCCTGTTACCGATACATCATCGCTTGCGGTCCGTTCATGCCGGGGGAGCTTTGGCTAACGTTGCACAGCGTCCGAAAAGTGTCAACAGGAGAAGCGCAAGACGGTCAATGGGGAAGATATCCTGTTCGCCATGACTTCGTTGGGCTTCGAGAACTATGCAGAAGCACTCAAAATCTATCTCTCCAAGTATCGCGAAGTAAGTTTTGTGTCTTGTCCCCCTCCCTTCCGAATTCTCCTTCTCCTTTGTCAGCTCGACGAGGATATCAATCTGAACAATTGAACTGATTGGGATGAGACCCAATCCACAAGGGGCGAGAACCAGAACAGACCTACCAGCAGTGGCGGGTATGGGGGTGGCGTCGGGCCCGGCAATGTCCAGGGCAATGCCGCGACAGGCCCCCCCGGCTACCCAGGGGGGCAACCCGACAATGCCACCGAACTATTGAATCAAGGGCACGGCATGAATGCAAACGATCACGACGCGACCGGTCCATATGGTTATCCCAGCGCCGTGTCCAGCGGCCACAATGGCATCGCCAGCGACAATTTCTGAGTCGGCAGGAGAGGACGTCCGCGCATGTCAAGGGCGCCGTGGGCCAACAGCGGACAGGAGTGCACTATCTGCCAGTTCCTCGGGCACGGCCAGATAGTCAGGCACGGTGGGGTGAGACGGACGGAGACGGCGAATACGGATGAAAGAAGGCACAGGGTTTTATTCGTGACTGAATATGCCAACTGTACATGAGTATCGGTGCTGAAAGACGGAAGGATATTGTAAGAAAAGGGCCGGGCTGTCTGACCATGGAAGAACACAGAATGCATTGAGGTTAACCAGGACTGATCGTTAACAAAAGCCTGACGTGGGTGGATTGGGGGGTCAGGTAATGAGGAACGAAGGAGCTATAGGAAGGCTGTAGACTGGGTTGTTTAAAGAGATCGACAGGCGTGAACGAATGAATTCATGTTTCGAGGGAACGAGGCCTTCATTATCGGAGAGCGGAGTCCCTGACACGAACTGGGCTGAACAAATCAGCTCGTTCAAGGGGACTTCCTTAAAAGCCAGGTGTCTTCGATGCTTTACGACGCAGCATTACACACAGGCGTTATCAACTAACGGCGGCCGATATTGAGTGATCAACCCCCACTAACAAAGTCCGAGTCTGGCTTTCCAATGCGATAAGGGTTTCTTTGAGGTACCAAATGTATGCACAAGTACGCCCTTGTTTGACAATAGGGCGGAGGGCGGAATGCGGAATGGGGCCGGCGCCAGGCCATACTCAAAGGAGATAGTCACGTGTAGAGACTTGGCCAAGCTAAACACAGATAAGGTATTGTGATTGGCCAGACTTGAACCTCATACGAGTGGGCCGACGATAAGCATGTTCAAGCGCACATTTCCTGGACCGGGCATCCCTTAACTAATTCTGGATCTTTTCAAGCCCCGTCGTTCCTTTTATTTACCTAATATCGTCCCCAGTCCATCCACTCCCTGTATTCGTCGTATGTAACGTTTAAATGCTGGAACGTCACAGGATCATTGCTCGTTCTTCCGACCCTGCGCTTTCGTTTATACTTTGGACTCGTCTTTGGTTAATTGCTGCTTGTACCCCATAAAGAGCCTCCCCTCCTGTTCTACCCTAGAGATTCATTTGCACTTGCACACCTGGAGATCCAAAACATCCGACCTCACAGATCACTATGGCGCCTCACGCTGAACCCGAGGCGGTAACGGATACTTCGTCCTTCGTGTTGGCAGACCCTGTGCTCGCCAACGGGGATACACACTCGGTCTTCACCGTCGACCATGTCTTACCTCATCGCCAGAAAACAGGGCCGCCCCCGACGACGGTGGCTGCCTTCTCGAGTGCGGACATGTTCAAGAGTAAAGGATGCTTCAGAAAACCAGAGGCTAAACGGTGGGATCATCGTCTCTCAGTAGAGAGCAAGGCTCGACAAGCTTCGTCGTTGAAGGGGGCGATGAAGTATTTCCGAGCAGATACTATCAGCCTCTGTGGCGGGCTACCGTCGAGGTAAGTTTCATTAACAGCTTTGTATATCTGCTCTGTGTTGATCTGTGTCTAGCGACTATTTCCCTTTCGAGGAGCTCAGTGCAAAACTCCCCGTCTCACCTGAATTCTCAGAAGCGGAAACACACGAGTCCGGCCGGGTGTTTTCGACAGGCAAGCATGACGCTCGGGATGGCAAGTCGCTCCTCGATCTATCGATTGCCCTCAACTATGGCCAGTCGATGGGTCCTGGGGCACTGATCCGCTTCCTCACCGAACACACGGAAATCGTCCACAACCCGCCGTACTCGGATTGGGACATCTGCATGACCGCCGGCAGCACTTCGGCGTTGGAAATGGCGCTCCGCATGTTTTCTGAGAGGGGACACTACGTGATCACCGAGGAGTATACGTTCAGCACCGCCATTGAGACGGTCGCTCCCTTGGGATGCAAAATGCTCGGCATTAAGATGGATGCCGACGGAATGCTTCCTGCGGAATTGGACGACGTCCTGTCCACCTGGGATGAGAGTGTAAGGAAAGCGCCGAAGCCGTTTCTCGTGTACACGGTGCCAACGGGGCAAAACCCGACGGCGAGTACGCAGTCGCTCGAGCGCCGAAAACAAATCTACGCGGTGGCCGAAAAACACGACCTGTACATCCTCGAAGACGAGCCTTACTACTTTCTCCAGATGGAACCATTTGTTTCTGGCCAGACGCACGAGGTTCCCAAACCTTTCAAGCCGGCGCCTGTGGCGGAATTTTTGAAGAACCTCGTCCCTTCGTACCTGTCGCTCGACACGTCGGGCCGGGTGCTCCGCCTCGATTCCTTCTCCAAGATTATCGCCCCAGGCAGTCGCTGCGGCTGGGTCACGGGGTCGAAGCAGGTGATTGAGCGCTTCATCCGGCACAACGAGGTCAGCGCGCAGAATCCCGCGGGTTTCGCCATGGTCCACCTGTACAACCTGCTCGAGGAGAACTGGGGCCACCAGGGGTTTTTGGAGTGGCTCATGTTCATCCGCGCCGAGTACACGCGGCGCCGGGACATTATCGTGAACGCCTGCGAACGGCACCTCCCCGCGCAGATCTGCAGCTGGGTGGCCCCCAAGGCGGGCATGTTCCACTGGATCAACGTCGACGTCACCAAACACCCGCTGTACAAGGCGCGATGTACGTCCGGGGGCCACGTCGACTACGCGACGCTGTTGGAGATCGAGGACTCCGTCTTCCTCGCCGCGGCCGAGCAGTCGGTCCTTATCGCCAAGGGGTCGTGGTTCCGAGCCCAGCGGGGCAGCGACACCCAGTTGTTCTGTCGCACGACGTTTGCGGCCGCCCCGGCCGAGAAGATTGTCGAAGCCATCAGCAGGGTCGGCGCCGCGCTCAGGAAGGAATTCGAACTGGACGAACCCGAAGGGGGCGAGCGCAACGGTCATGCGAGGTGATTGCGGGCTGGATGTGGATGTGTGTATGGACTCGGGTTTCCTCCCTTATCCCTCTCGCGCTTTGGGTTGGTATATGGGGAGCGAAGACCTCTCACAACTCGTCGTCGGTATTCTCGCCAGTGTCACGACAAGTCTCAACGCCGAAGCCGCCGACGACATGGGATTCAAACGGAGCAAAAGGCACACCGTGATTGTCGGTCGTCGGTCTTCGATAATGATGGCAAAACCACAACGTACCAACAGCCCGGCCACGCATGGCCTCGACACCACCCCTCGCGCTACGAATCTACGAACAACCCATTCATTTCAACCTGATCGGCGTTGTATTGACGGATTTTCTCCTTTTTGTTTAGAATATATTTCCTCCTTCTAGCTACCTGCCTGCCTGTGGTGGCCCTTCCCCTCCCCCCCCCCACCCTTTTCCCTTCAATGATTAGCATGGATTGGGTGTTGGATCATGGATATCAAATGTTTAAAACGTTGGGTTGATGATTGGCCTTTTGGTTTATTTCCTGGATCTTGTTTTTCCAGTCCGTGATGGATTTGGACTGATCTCTCTCTCTCTCTCTCTCTCTCTCGTTCGATCTGACCGTTCGATCTGATCCGAACTGAACCACCACAGACTAGTGACAGGACCACCTAAAACACCCACACGGATCATGTCCCATAGAGTGTCGGTGCTAGCAAGCAGATCATATGTCTTGCCAAGGGATACTGGATAAATAGGATTATCGATCGATAGATGATACTCGCCGTGGACGTGACACCGTACCAGACTTTTGAATCTATTCGTGAAACGACTGGCCTAGATAAATAACGCGGACAGCCCGGACACGGTAGACAGGAAGAACCCTTGGAGAATTCAAAGTCAAGAATGAAACAAAGAGATATTTTTCCCTACCGTGACAGAGACGGGTAAGACAGCTAGATGGCAGGGTTGTAGGGTTGTAGTACGTCGGGATAGCAGGATAGCAGGATAGCAGTATGGAATGAATGAACGAATGAATGGGTGAAATGGGTGAATGGGTGAATGGGGTCTGTATATAGAAATGATATAAAAGCCATACATGTCGTCTTGTCTCGTGGCGATATCTTGAATCTTGAAAACTTGCCAAACCCCCATCGATCGCCGTCAGATGGCACAATATCTCTCAATCTCAGATAATTCTCTCGAGCCCCATCGTCATCGCTCGTCCCGTCAATCCTGTCATTCTATCCGTCTATCTAATCATTACTGACCCTCTCCCGTCCCCTTATCTCCCTTTCTCCTCTCCTCTCTATGTACTCACTCACTCACTCACTCACCCACTCCCCCCACTCACTCTATACTCGCTCGCTCGCTCGATCGCTCGTGTACGGCGCCAACAACACTCTACTTCTTGACGACCTCAAACCCGTCCCACGTCTTGAGCGCCTCCTTGGTCGCCGCGTCGTACGCGTCCACTCCGGCGAGGTAGAGGAGCTGCTCGCGCGGCTTTCCGGGGATGTTGGCGCCCCTTTTTTGACGGAGGTGGTTAGTCAAGAAATGAAACGGGAAAATGGAACAACATGATTACATGATGGAAGATGGAAAATATAGAGCTAGAAATGGCAAAAGTGACGCTTGAGATGGGCATGGGCGTGAGTGGGCCAATGTAGCCCGCGACGTGGTGTATCAAGAACATGAACAGGGGACAGGGACAGAAATAGAGAGAGGGAGAGACTCACATGTACCAACTATTCGACTCCGGGTGCAACGTCAGGGCATTCATCTTCTGAATGTCCTCGCGCCACTTGCTGGCGGCCTCCTCCTTGGCGTCGACGTACCGGATCCCTTCCTCCTTCATCTTCCGAATCGCGTCGCAGATCCAGTCGATCTGCATCTCGATGATGGGCGGGCCGTTGGACAAGCTCGTGGGGGCCTGCGGCGAATAGACCATGAACATGTTGGGCATCTTGCTGATGGCCAGGCCGAGGTGCGTGTACGTGCCCTCCTTCCACTTCTCGGTCAGGGGCACGCCGTCGGTGCCGATCAGACCGATGTCCTTGAGCGAACCGGTGACAGAGTCGTAGCCCGTGGCGAGGATGACGATGTCGAACTCGTGTAATTTGTCCGAGGTCCTGACGCCTGTCTCGGTGAACTCGACGATGGGCGTCGCCTTGAGGTCCACCACCGTCACGTTGTCCCGGTCGATCATCTCGTAGTAGTCCTGCTCGAGCGACGGCCGCTTCGTGCCGAACCAGTGGCCCTGGTCCAGCGGCGCCAGCACGTCCCTCTTGAACGGGTCCTTGATCCGCTCGCGCACCTTCTTCGCCCAGAACTGGTAGATCTCGCGGTTCACGGCCTTGTCGGTCCCGTACTCGCGGTAGTTGGAGATCAGAAAGCTGAACCCGCCCCGCTGCCACAGGTCTTCCCAGTACTCGAGCCGCTCTTCGGGCGTGGCCTCGAAGAACGTCTTGGACGCCGGCGTGTACGGAAACCCGCTCCGGCACTGCTTCGCCGCGAGGAGGTAGGCCTGGTAAAAGTTCTTCGCGTCGTCTTGTTCCTCCTTGGTCAGTTTGCGTTGGTGCATCGGCAGCGCCACGTTCGGGGTGCGGATGAACGCCGTCAACTGACAATCCTCGCGCGCGAGTTCCTGCACGATCTGGACACCTGTCGCGCCGGAGCCGATTACCCCGACCTTTTTCCCCTTGACGTCGAGACCCTCTTCCGGGTACAGGGCCGAGTGGATCAGCCGGCCTTTGAACTTGTCTAGATCCTTGAAGTCGGGGTAGTGCTTCTTGTAGGACGACCCCGTGGCCAGCACGAGGTATTTGGCCTTTGCGAGGCCGCCGTCGTCGGTGCGGACGTGCCACTCGTCAGTCTCGGTGTCGAACTTTGCCTCGACGACCACGGTGTTGAAGTACGCGTCCTTGCTCAGCTCCAGGGTCTTGTCGATGTGCTTGAAGTACTGCCTGAGTTCTTGGTGTCCCGGGAAGCGCTCCGTGAAATACCACTTCCTGTACACCTCGGGGATGGAGAGACTGTAGAAGGGCGTCTCGCTGTCGACGCGGGCCCCCGGGTACCGGTTCCAGTACCACGTGCCACCAAAATCCGAGCCAGCCTCGAAGAGCTTGACCCTCAGTCCCATTTTGCGGAATTGGTAGAGGCCGTACATGCCCCCGAACCCGCCACCCACGATCAACACATCGGTGGTGATGTTGTGGATGTTGTCCGTGGGTTGCCCGTTGGTGAGGGCGTCGCTCGTCCCGTTGGAGACACCATTGGGAATGCTTTCTTTCTCCGTGTGCGCGGCGGTGTCAAAGTCCGAGGGACGATTGGGTATAGCTGCCATGGTGCAGAGAGTGACTCCTTTCTGCCAGAAAAGCAACTGCCCAACTCGCTTTTTTGAGAGAAACCGACCTCGACAGGGTGGGACACGGGTATAACGTTATATTGGGAAGATGCACTGACAGCCATTCGGACGAGTCGAGCCGCACAACTTCAACCTCGGCCCGCCCATCCAGCACCGAATTTCTGACCATGGCAGACCATGGTTACCCCTCCAGGCAAACTTGGCCCTGTACACGTCGTCTGGTGCTGCTGCCGTCACTCCCGTAAGCGCGGGAATCTGGGGAAGCGGGGATTTTCGTTTGAGCGGATTGGGACTTGGTTAACGTAAGCAACTCATGTTATGCAATACGGAAGGAGGAGATCCTCGGTAGTGAAGCCTCGGCATTCTCCCTGACAGCGTCGGATCCGACTCATGATAATTCTGGCTGTCGTCGGTCAATCTCGTTAATGCAGGAGAAAGACCACAGTCGGATCCGAGAAGTGAGTAATAGAGTAGGAGCCGTGGGTTGAGGCCACCCAGTCCTCGGATATTCGTGGCCAGATTACAGGTAGAGGTACTTACATCGAGGTCAGTCAGTTAGTCACTCAGTGGAAAAAGGGAAGCCGGTTCTCACAATTGCGTATGTGCCTGTATGTTGGTGCAGGCTCGATTGTGCATTGATTTGATATATTCAACATCCACATATCTCTCTATTCTTTTTCCCCGAGTCTCAATTTCTTGCCTCGCCATGTCACATGGCCTGTCCCTGATTTGACCGCCGACCTCTGATCTCTCACTCTCACTCTCAGTAGATGTACCGAAAGTTCAGATTCTCCCGATCTGTCAAGTCGCCAAACGCGGTGGCGTCGAGGTCCCGTTCGTGGTGCCCCTGAATCTTGTCGCGACGTGCGTTTTCATACTTCATCAAGACCCAAAAGACAATGATGATGCAGACTTCGAGAAGATGACTAAGTTTATGGCATTAGTTCCCGCCGCTCCCGCGCATGTGGTAGGGATGTGAAGTTCGGGGGGCTTGCTGGCGCATACCTGACAATCATGCTCCAAATGCCCAAGGTGTATTCAGGGGCTTGATCAGTCTTGTAGAAGAACGGTCCGGCAATGCTGTTTTTGTGGGAAGAAACACGGTCAGTCATATGCTCAAATTTTCAGCTTCGCTTAGGAGAAAAAGACTTACTTTCCAGTACAATATCCCAAGAACAAAACAGCGTTGGTGACCACTTTCTATATTGTCACTGTCAGTCAAGCGAGCCAAAAACCACCAAGAACCCAAGATTCAGGTCACTTGAAAGGAAATAATCCAATCTTTTCACGCAACATACCTTTGTATGCCCCGCAGTGTTGGCAATCTGGAGGGACAAAATCATCACAAACGCCGCATTGTACGGCCCAGTGAGCAGATAGCAGAAGTACCGCCCAACGTGGTGCTTTTCGTCAACAAAGCAAAGCCCAAAGGCGCCTGCGATGTTGGGGCACAGGAATAGCAAAATGAACTTGCAGCGGTTGTTGTTGGGGAAGCGATTGTTCAAGAAGACGCCTGGAACCCATGATATCAGCAAGACCGTTTGAGAACGGATTGATTCATAGGAAAGGTTGGAACAGCCAAAGTGCGCTGTGCGCTGTGCGCTATGCGCTAGTAGGAGAAAGAGTGCGAACGTACATGTCAAGATCGACAAGATAATGAAGAAGCCATATGGGATCTGCATAAGCGTGGTGACGAGGGTCGAAAACCCAAAGCCTGTAGAGCCCGTCAGTTCTCGGCCGCGTATCGTGTGGGTAAAACCGAGTCACCTTTGATAATGAGAGTGCCAAAATTCGAAATGCCGCCGTTGGGTATGTTTCCAACAACGCCCAGCATGAAGAACAGGTACAGTTTGATGTCCGTAAAGGCTTCCCAGATCTGGTAGGGCTGTTTTCCGAGGAACATGTTAGCCGGGATCTCATGTGTGACCAGGTCTTTGCATGCCTTTAGAATTTTACATTCCACACCGGTTTGATTGCTCATGAGCCGCTCAACAGCAATTCTCTTCTCGCGATCATTCAAGAATTTGGCCGTCACTGGACTGTCTGGCATGAAGATGGCAATGACAATTCCCCAGGCGCAACATAGCGCCCCGATGATGATGAACTCGTACCTCCAGGATGCCAACGCTCCTCTGATGTGACCGATGGCGTAGCCGAGAAGGCCGCCTAGGGCAATGCCGAGACCATTTGCCGTGTACCAGAGTCCGATGCGCAGTGGCTGCTCTCGTCGGGTGTACCACATGCAGGTGATGAGCATGAAAGAAGGATCCGAGCAGGCTTCAGCAGCGCCGGCAAGCGCTCTCAGCACACCGAGGGTGGCGAAGCTGCTACAAGCAGCCTGAAGCATGAGAAAGAATCCCCACATGAATATACTATCCGGTGTTAGTCGACTGAAGGTTCAACGGAAGAATATGGCTCGACGTACTTGACGCCAAGGTATTTGCCCAAAGGAAGTCTTTGCATCAAGAAATTGGTGGGAAATGCCCACGCCAGGAAGCCAAAGTAGAAAAGACCTAGAAGTTCTCAGCCCAAAAGCCGTCGATGCATGTCCAGGTCAACTTACTGCTGAGCCAACTGTACTGGGTTCCGTGGAGGTTGAGATCGTCGCGGATGCCGAAGATGGCGGCATATGACAGGGTCGTCTTGTCGATATAGAAGAACGCATAGTTGACAGCGATCAGCGGAAGGATCAAGAAGTCGATCTTTCGAATGAGTTTCTTTTCTTCCGCCTCGTCAATCGGGATATGTAGATCGTCTGCATCGGTGAACAGCTTCAAGGCGACATCACCATCCTGGTGCTTGGACTTTTCCGAGAATCTGAATTTGTGTGGAGTAGGGGGCAGGTTCAGGCTCTCGATCTCATTATGCGCCGAGATGGCCTTGTTGTCGATGTTATCTGCCATGATGTTGGTCCACAGTCCACAATCTGCAAAGTTGGAACCTGGTCGCGTGCTATCGCTTCAGAGATTTCCCCTGCAATGGTGAGGAAACGAACAAAACTCCAAAGAGACAATTTAAGGAATGAGGAATCGGGGAAGGAAAGCGAGGAAGGGGAGGACAAGGAGTGGCAACGATCTTCTCCATCGCTTCTTTGACTCGGAGACCAGTTCGAACATATGATGATATGTATGATGGTGGACCAGCGAGTCCAGGGTATGCAATGACGTTCCACCTTGTTGGCTGTTTGGTTGAGGACGAATTCCGCCGTTGCATCTCGTATCCAGAAATTGGCTTGAATTGCTTGGCTTGCTTGTCATGTTATCGAATCAGAACCTGGACTCGACGTCTATCCTTGTAGACAATCTCCAGGATCCCCTATCCGGGCCATAGAAGTTTGCGGGGTTGGAAGGCTTTGTGGAACTCAGTGGCCAGACGCTCCGACGGGACACAGTCCTTCGGCCGTTGCTACGCCGAGCTGATATTGGAGACGGATGTTCTACCGATCTTGGCCTTGTGGACTGGACAGCATGGATGTTATTGTGCCCTGCAAATTCTGCCATATCAAAGTCCCCAAGCTATTGTTGTCGATGAACATGACATGGCCTCGCAATTGATTCCAGTCCTCAGACTGGCTATCGTCTCAGGACCTGGGTGTCCAGCTCTTACACCAGAAAGCTGGTCGAGAGGTCGACTTCTACCTCATCCTCAAACAGTAAATTGAGTATTGTGTGGGGGAAGAACTGGCCCCACGTGGAGAAGAGGGTAGAGGGAGGCATGCATGCAGATCGCCATGTCTGTCTGGGCAAGGTCGACATTCCACCGGAACGTCTATCCCTTGGTCCTGGTGCCGTCGGTTGCGCATAATAGCCACATCCAGCTTACATCGTCCGTAAAGAGGCGACGGCTGACCGGTCCGGCACGGCCAAGAGACCGTAAGATGAGCAAGGCCATCTATCAGATGATCGTGAATGTGGGAGAAGAGAAGATTGCAGCTGGTCCGTCCGAGATCAGGCCGTAGAATCAGCAAAAGTGCTCGGTGTTGCGTCCAGGGGTAAAATGTCAGTGCGTACAGCCATTTGTCAAGGTAGGTCTAGTCAGCCTTGACGCGTATCCCTAGCTGGATTGTAAGTTCGAAGCAGATTGAAGAGTATTAATGCAATGACTCGACTTGACTCGGAACATGTTTGAGAGATGGTGGCATGACTGGGGCAAACGAGGCCAGCGGCCAGTTTGTTTGACATATGCTCTGCTTTCGTCAAGGAGATTCTGCTTGGGGTCATTCTATCTGTCCAAAAGCATTCGACTTCATGACATTGACAAATGTAAGTAAACGAATGATATTAGGGCGACAGGTGAACGAGTGCGGGTGAGTGACTGAAGAAATGTGAAGGGCGGAGTAGCGCTGGCATGCTGAATGCTCCGACGTATTCGGAGGAGCACATGGCCGGAATGCACTCTGGCCAAATCACTACTTCATCCATCCTCCACACTTCCTCTTCCTCTGCTCTACTGCATACCCCTTGAAATGAGGATGACTCTCCTGCTTCTTTCGAAATTTAGGAATACATTCTGTTGGTATCTAATATACACTGCTGCACTCTCGGCTCCCTAGGTCTACACTTTCCAATGCCAGTGCTACCTTGACCACTAGAGCGTTTCTATCCCTCTCACTCTCCTGCGCAAGGAGACAACAGGCACTTAAAATTAAAATGGCCGAAAGAAAGAAGAAATTGACCCATACTCGCTCGCTCACATGAATGAAATGCTCTCGAGGGCATTGGCGTAACCCATTCTCCCAAAGCTGTCAATAATTTCAACTGTCCAAAACGACGTGAATGTTTAACCTTGGATCTTGAACCGAGTTGACGAACCCAGCCACAATGTCCGCCGAGATGCTCTCAGTAAAGTTTGTTCCGTTGGGCAAAACCACAATATGTGCAGTGCCTGCGCTCCCGTCGAACACTACTGCGGCCTTTGTGAATCCGTTGATGGGCCGCTGGAACCAGTTCGAGTCGCCTTTGGCTTTGACCCCGTGCCAGGTAGACTTGCACTTCTGATTGCCGGGGTCCAGAACCTCAAAGACATCGAACTCACCGCATCCGGAACTCCAGCACGAGCAACTTCCATACTGAATTGTGCGAGGAATTTGAGCGTTTAAGATCCATGCTGCAGGCATGTCGCCGTTGAACCCAGTGTTGCCGGACAGGGGCATACTGAATTCAAGCAGAAAGAGCTTGGAAGGACCATCGAAGCCATCTGTCAACCTTATTAGACGAAGGCCCCTGTACAAAAATGGGCGGACCGAACTTACGGTAGGCAACAGTTCCATCCCGGACTGTCCCACAGGAGCCATCCGAGCATGGACGGTCGGTCATGATGACGTACTCGCTGTTATCCGGGACCAAAACGTCTGCCAGTGGGACCGGAGACGAAACACCCGCACTGTTATCTGCTGAGGCGTAGGATAGCGACAATCCCCATACGCTATCAAGTTATCAGCAAGGTGAGACTCCGCAAAGAGGTTTTGCGAGAACTCACGTGTCAAATACACCTGAACCCTGTCCGCCGTGGTGGTTCAAGAAGACAAGTCCATCCGCAACGCCTTGTTCCGCAGCATAATAGGCCTGTCTTCCCCACTGGCCCGAGCCTGCATTCATACTTGCTTTGGGAGGAGCGGGAGGGTGTGCAGGACTTCCTGACCCAGGTGCAGGTGTTGCAGCTGCTGCTCCGGCGCCGGCCCCTGCGTACTGATTCTTCCATGACACGACGTCTCCATTGATAGTGGCCGTGATCCAGTCTCCGACACCACGTTTATCCTCCACATGCCCTGCGCCACCGAATTCATTGGCCCCGTGACCCTTGTGATTGTGTAGATGTCTGTGCAAGTGTGACCGCTGTTGAGGGTTGGGTTCCAGCGACCGCTTTGTGTTATCGGAGCCAGGAGTGTAGAATGCGAACTGTTTCAAATGAATCGGCCCACGGAAGTGCCATGATATCTAGCAAGTAACCAGATGTAAGTCGAAATCACACCTCTCAATCAGAATAATTTAGACTGTGCCTTACCTCTCCATCCATGGGCGCCATCCCTCCTCCATAGCTCTGTGCTGCGAAATCACAAGCCCCGTTCGCTCCCATGCTTGCCACCCTCTGGTACTGGCCCGCGGTGCCGAAATTCGAGTATGAGATGGCCTGGACCGGATCGCAGTACCAATTACCCTTTTCTTCATAGCAATTGTTGTTTTGAGCGAGAGCCACGCTCGCAGCCGCGACGAGCAGGGCACCGACCCTACCACCGCACTTCATCTTCGACACCGATTTGTTTATTTTTTTTTTACTTCTTCACAAAAAGATAGGGGACTCGCCGGCTTCTCTTAAGATATACTGAGTACCGTGTCTTGCGCGGCGGGTGCTTGGAAAAATGTGGGCCTTGTTTCAATATGGTTGATAGTCTTTTTCTGTCGCGCACAAGCTTCCGAAACGTTGCTGTCGTGTCACTTTTGAAGGACGGGAATAGGGAGAAGGGAGATCAAAAAAGGGGGGGAAAGGGTTAATTTTCTTTATTGAAAGCGTGCAAAAGAAAAAAAGGACAGTTTCTTTGAAATGGCAGTACCTCTTCATACTAGAGTGACGTGCAAACGGGTGCCCTCACCTTGTCATCCACTTACTGTTTGCAGCGAGACACAGAGAGATCTTTGCTTGCGTGCGCTGGGGTTGTGAAATCCGAGGGCTGGTCAAGCTCTTGGCGATAGCGAGCACAGATCACAGGGTTGGCGATGGTCAGGGTGACGGACGCCGTGTGCATGACTGATGAGAGAGATTGTGTGTGTGGAAGCACCCCAAGTGACTCTGGGGCTTGGAATACCTACGGGAGTATGTGAGTGGGAGGGGGGAAGAAAAGGGAAAAAAAGGGAAAAGGTGAGGCAGCGCAACCCAAACCAAGAAAGTCCAAGACCCCATGGAGTCAAAGTGACCCACCAACCACATATTCAAGGGGCCAGACAAAGAACAAATCCGAACGCGATTGACCAAAAGGGCATCAAGGCCATTGGACGGCGATCATGGCGCCGCCGTAAACGAAACAACGGGACAAAGGCCAAGATCAAGTCAAGACGGACACATCCAGACCACACGACCTTCCAAGGACCTCCCAAGGACCTCCCAAGCACGTCCGGCTGGAATACTTGTATATACGGTTTGATTGCTCCAAGACTCGATTTCTCGTCGCATTCCACAGAGCCGCGTGGACTCAATCTGTCTGTGCTCAGTGATCAGTGCTGCTCACATTCCATACCAGGCTTGTGCCTGAAGTCTGGACACTCGGCGCTGGCCTGATGCGGATAAAGAGTCGATCCCGTGGACTATTTCAGGCGGGGAACTCCCAGTCTTGACATGGCACTGAGAGCGATGGTTATCATGGCTATTTGACATGGGGTATCATTCATGCTCATCGTGCTGACGACGGCTAGCACTGCAGGTGCATATTGCGCTCGTTCTCTATCAACCCACAAACACCCTCCAACGCCAATTTCCCAGCCTCCTGCTGGCCCAAGTATTGCCCCCCAGCTCCATGCAGATGCCCGTATTGTTGGTTCGTGATTCGTTGTGCGTGACGCCGCCCTTCCTACTCCTTTTCTCGGTTCTTGAGTTTTGTCCACCCACTCTTGCCCTTACCCCGGACCCCCTCCTCCTCTCCACCAGGTGTCATGATGCTTCTCGCATCATCGTACTCTTTCCCATCCATTGGTCTCGTCTTGATGAAGACGGCCTCGTCCATCTTCTCCCCCCCATCATTCCATTCCTGCTGATCTAGCAGTTCCCATTCGGCATTGTTCATCTCGGCGAGAAGATGCTTCTTCAAAGGGTCAGAGATCTTGGAATATCGGTTGAGGTGCCAGTGGCGGGACGGATTATCTCCGGCCGCAGCGGCAGACCCAAGGAAAGTGTGGGCTGAGTTGTGTGAATACGAGCCAAGACGTGCTGGGAACGCGTTGACCTTATCATCAATGACTGGCGACGACGTGCTCTGAGATCGGTGGTGACGATTGCGAGCGTTGCGTTGGGTGAGGACTCGGGTCACCGCAGTAGATTGCGCAGGGGCTAAAATCATCTGGAACAAATTGCGACCAATGTCACAGGCATCCTCCCACGTTTCGGTGCCTGCAACGAAACCTTGAGTGCGAGAAAGCCACGCAACATCCCAAGCCAGGAGAGAGACGCCTTCAATAAAGTAGCTGAACGCAAGGGGTTCCTTCTTGGCAAACTGAGCGACAGATTCGTTGTGGTCGTCTGAGCCAATGTATAGCGGACGGGGCTTGGGAGACGAGCTGAGATCCATTCTGGAAGCGGTAGGACTGCCGGGTGCAGAAAGACTCGATCCACTGCCGGGGAAGGTGATGCGTTGTCCAAGGTACGAGGTAAGCGGGGGGTTAATGGTTGCAAGTGGGTAATCTCGGTGAGGCAGGGTGATTTCAGCAGGGAGTCGGATACCCAGGTAAAACGAGCAGAGGAAAATGAGCCGAGTGACGTTAGCCAGGGCGGCGGAGAGTTCAGTGCATCGCATGTCTGTATGATCAGTTAGTTGGGGAATTGGGGGACGGCGTATCAGTGGTCTTACTATTGATCTCCTTCAAATCTGGCAATAAGAGTCCAGCAATAGAGTGGCGATCCTTGATAGTACCGTTTTTGGTCTTCTTCCTCGAGTGATGGAGCCTCAACAGACCGGCAGCTTCTCGACAGAGAATGGCACGAGTATCGACTGTCTTCTCATGAAGCGCGTCGTATTGTGCCTTCAGCTTCTCACCATTTTCTTTGAGCTCCTCCATTCTCTTCTTGTAGTTCCTAGCCTGGGCTTGTTTCGCTGCAGCGAGGTTGGCTCTCCGTTCCTCTAGGTTCTTCTTCAAAGCCTGTGCATGCTCTTTCTTTTCTTGTAATTCCTTCTGCCTGACAACGAGTTCGCGTTGCATATCTTCTTCTTGTTCCTTGGCCCGCTGTTCTTCAATTCTTTCCTGCTGTCTTTGCCAGGCCTTTCTCAATCTGGCAGTTTCTTCATCGAGGGGTTGTTCAGGCTCAGGACCAACAATAGCTTCCACTTTCTTTCCGAGGGACTCCTTCTCGAGCAGAACTCGCGCGAGGTCAAAGCGACAATTGTAGAGCAGGTTGTTCACACAATTTGCGCAGTTGGCGCTCGTGTTTTCGGTCAGGTGTTTGTGACAGACTGGACAATCCATCTTGACGGTTTCTACGTTGATGTACGTAGAGTCGGTAGAACAGCCAGTAGAAGTCAGGGGGATCTCGATCTCATGTTCAGTGGTCTCGTCGTCTTTAACCTCCGCATCCAGCGATTTCGGCGGTGGCGCGGTTTCACTGGCAAGAAATCTGTAATCATGATGTTAGAATGAGGCTTGTCTCATGAGCAGTGTGCATCGAGCACGATTATAGCAACGGCGCTGGCATTGTCACCAGGGCGACATCAAATCGTCAAAGAGAGGCACGGGAACTGGAATAGGCACGACTCACCTGTCGCGAAGCGATCTGAGGCTTAGGCTAGGCCTAGACCGTCTGGGCTGCGACATGACGTAGACGTGGAAGAGAAGACAGTGCACGTGATTTGGCGAAAGACGCCAATGTCAAAGCGGTTAAGCGTCTGTACACGCGTAATGCCGATATTTAACCGAAGACGGACCAGGCGAGAAGGCTGTGAGGTCCTTCAAGCGTCGAATTTTCATCTCTCAAAGTCTACCAGCAGCCTCGCCAAGATGGACGCACCGAATAGCGTTGATGCTGATGTTATAACTTCTCCGGCTGCGAACGAGGGGAAGCAAACACCTCCTCCTCAATTGTGTACAGACGCGACAACTGTAATCCATTCCTCACCACTACCGGACAGATCCAGGTCCAGACAAGGCAGTCGGGCTCGAAAACGTACAAACGAGGAGATCTATCAACCACCTGAAATTGCGAAGTCGAGTCCTACAAGTACAAGGCTCCAGAGAACTGCAACTCTCCCAACAATGCCCGAGGCTGAAGCATCCCACGCTTGGACCAAGACTTTCGAGCATCAAGGCCCGCCTCAAACCAGTGAGAACACCACGTTTCAGCCAACCGGTAGAGAGATTGTTGCAGTCCCTGCTCCGTTACCCCAACGCAATGGTTTTGTCAAAGAGATCTACGACTATCAACAGCGCCTAGAGCTCGAATTCCAGGCGTTCGAGCAAGCGATGAACGAGAGAGACATCTCTGTGGACTTGGATGCAATCGATTGGGACGAACTTGAAGCGCGGTATAATAGGGAGATTCAGCCATGCCTTGCAGTTGAGAGGGAGATTATGGAAGAGTTCAATGCTCGCTCCGCGGTAGGCAGCTATTTTCATGAGCAGGCAAGAGGAGGCTAACTATTTGCAGCAATTCTCGCTCTATATGCAAGTATCAAACGAACATGAATCTGAGAGGGCCATCAAGAGGTATGCAAACGCTCTGTTACTGGTGGCAAGCAATCTGACATCCATGCAGACTTCGCACACGGATCGCTCTTGCTCAAAATTCGGAGAAGTTATTAGCCGAGAAACAAGCCCACCGTGAGTAACAAGGACTTGTTGCACAGTACTTCGCTCACCTTTTCTTCAGGCACAAAGGTTCTTGAGGCTTTTCAGAGTGCTATGGCGCTCCTAGGCAGTCTTTGAGAGCGTTGCGGGATCGTGCTGTGAAACGGGGAACTCGACTACGTCATGCGGTACTGACCATTGGCGCAAAACGTGATTGTCGACACTTGTGATCAGGACTCTTGATCGTCTTGTGGCTTGATGGTTGCTACCAAGATGAGCATTGTATGCCCGTGATGTCTGATGAGTCAAAGTCAAATGCAGACAGAGATCTTCTCGCGCGGCTAAATGCACTGAAAACGTCGACGGTGTCTTTTGAACAGACAAAGTAAATGAATGACTCTTCTCAACCCTTGGACATTGAGCTGATGCCTTTTAGTTTTCAGACACCTCTCGGGAGGGCGCCTCCTGTTTCGCTTGACCCTATCCCGGCTCGTGCCCTCCACTCAGACCTTTTGACAAGATGGAAATCTCTCGGAGGCAGTCCTTCTTCGGCTCTCCAAAACCCCGCTACTTCGGCCCCAAAGTCTGAGGACGAGAAAACAGTGGAGGAACTCCTGGCAGATTTAGGGCCTTCGGATGCGTGGGAAGTCGGACAGAGTGAAGAGGAACAGGTCGCAGATCTGCTGCGGACTGCAAAGTCAGCGCTGGCAGATGCGTCACACACAAAAAGTGAAGGATTAGGCGCAGACCAAGCCGAAGGCACAACAGCAGGGGAGGACAACATATCTACAAAGCTCCCGCCGATTGATGTTTCGGTGTTTCAGCCTGGGCCCGAAACAGAAGAGAGCCCAGTCACCGCGGTAGGCAACAACAAGTCGAAAGACACTTTGGACCAGGAGGCAGATGAACTGTTGGCAAGGATCCTAGACGAGGCCAGGCTTGAATCTGCAGAGACACAGGACCAAAACACGAGTCTCCCAGAGGAGGACGCTGAAGAGAATACCTCCCCAAGAGATATAGAGCATGCGAATCCTAGATCTGAGCGGGACGCGTCTTCTTTTGACCTCCCCACCACACCTTCCAAACTGCCAGACCCCTCAGCCCCAACCAAGCCGTCAAATGAAGACGACGACGCCGACGACGACGACCTCGCCTCTCGCTTTGCCGGCCTATCCCTCCCAGCAGTCCCGACGGGCATAAAATCCACCAAGGCAGCCTCGTCCGCGCCAAAGCCCAAGATCGGCTTCTCCGACGAGGAGATCGACACGTGGTGCATCATCTGCAACGCCGACGCCACGCTGCAGTGCATCGGCTGCGACGGGGACCTCTACTGCACGAACTGTTGGGTGGAGGGTCACAGGGGCGAAAGCGCCGGGTTCGAGGAACGCAGCCACAAGGCAATCCAATACGTCAAGGGGGGCGGGAAGAAGAAAGCGCCCAAGAGGAGAGTCATGATGGGTGCTTGACACACACAAACACACACTTTGTCACCGCCGGTGGTGGTGGTGGTCTGTCGCCGACTGATGACCCGATTTTGCCATTATTAACTATAATTTATTTAATCCTCAAGATGGTGCGAAACCCCCAGAACGAAGCCCTTCCAAAGAGACACGTTTTTTTCCTACACGCTCTCCTTTCCATCCTCTTGTGCCTCCGGCTCAGTTTTGTGGGTGGCTCTGCCGATCTTGTGTGCATGCGCCCTGTTCGGCTCGCCAGGCGGAACGATGAAATACATGATGCCATGGAAAACACTGGCCACCAGAGGTGCCACCCAGTGCACCCAGTGCCAGCCGGGAAAACGGCTGCCCACGTATACACCGAAACACCTTGCCGGGTTCAGGCTAGCACCTCCGTACGCCGGCAGACTGAATGCTGTGCATAACGCCAGACTCCCCACGGCCAAGCCGACAAAGATCGGTCCGAGGGCAGGGCCAAAGATCTCGCGCTGGCGGGGATCCAGACCGACTCCGAACGCGAGGATGAGCAAGAGCAGGTCGCTGATGACTTCGATGGTGAATGCGCTCGAGACAGGAGTTCCCATGCCCTCGAAGAGATAGCACCCTCCAACCTTGAATTCTCTGGTATTCGCTGCCGCCCTCAACAGCAGGCCCGCAAGAGCACTGGCTGAGATCTGCGCCACCAGGTACAACACCAGACGGGGAAAAGTGGTCAACCTCGCGAAAAAGGTTCCAACGGTGATTAATGGATTCATATGACCACCGGACACGGCACCGAAGGAGAAAATTAGTAGCGCGAGGAGGATTATGTTGATTGGCGCTGCGATGAGAGGACCCAGGAAATACGAACGGCTGAAGGGACCGGATGTCTCTGACGGTAACGGCGGAGGGGTGTTTGGGGAGAGACTGTTCCAAGCTGAGGCCCAGACGAAGATCATGGTGCCTAAAGACAAGTTATCGTCAGCATCATTCGATTACCAGACAACATGTTCCGCCCTGCGCGCCTGCGCACATCTCCCGATTCAATAGCCCACACATCTCGCCAGCAACCACCAGAGGGATTGGCTCACCGACAAACTCGACCATAGCCGCCTTCCACAGCTCCACCTCCCGAAACCCTCGAAGATCGAAACTCTCCTTCAAGGTCAAATTGGGCGCGGCATCGGGCACCTTTTTCAGCAACTCCTCATTCTGGGGGTCGGAGCGGTCGAGGGTGAATTCTTGGTTGCCGCCCAGACGACCGGCGAAGGGGGCGCTCAGAGAGCCGCCCCGGCGCCGACGAGCCGCGAGCGAGGTCGAGTTGAACGTCTGCCTCGTAGCGGTGGTGGTCATTTCGTAGGCGGTCGTCGCGGGGAAGTGGTCGGGGACGGTGAGACAGGGGCGGAAGGTGGGGGAGAGAGGAGGCGTGGGAGCTTGGACTGCTGTTCCTCCGTGGTGGGCTGTGTGCGTTGCTGTAGCGGTGCGTGATTCGGATCAGTCATGGACGCTGATGCTGTTTTGGAACCGGCTGGCCTTCAAGAGACAAGACTGCGGATGTCTGAAAGGCAGCGATACACCGCCACGACAACACCGGGGTTGGTTGAGTTAGATAGCTGGCTCGCTCGTCAATCAATCGACGACTGGTTCTCTTGCCTCTTTAGTCCCAGCGTTATTGTTTCGCTCGACAAAACACCAGACTGGTCAACAGCATCAACGAAATCTCTCCTCCACTCCCACTTCTTTTGGCGCAACCACCCTCTCTTCAGCTCTCCTTCCTGTTTTTCTCTTGTGGCTGCCCTTTTCTTCTCCGGTCCTTCTCCTCTTTCTTCCTTCCTTTGCCTTCCAGCAACAAGTATTCCCGGGAACAAGGATCTGACTCCTAAGTCGATGAATTGATAGTCAGGTATACCTGGGTAACGGGTATGCCGTCACGGTAACGGCAACGGTACTAGGTAGTGATAAATGGCAAATGATTTCTCAAAACATTCCCTTTCACCGCACTGAGGTTGTGGTGTTTTACAAAAGGCGACAGACAGACAGACAGAGGGCGGGAGATAAAGCCCCCAACTTCAATCAATGCCAGCCAAAACAAAATTTAGGCCAAAGGACCCGTCTGAGATCTTTATTCAAAATGGCCAGTGTCAATCTCAATCTTGTCGTGTCGGGTTCAATGGGCGCGAAGGGGGAAGACGGCGGAAAGAAAGAAAAGACAAGCAACTTTTTGATGGATGAGAAAGAAAACTCCAATTGCTCCGTACGGTGGACGTGTGTATTATGTACGGAGGCACCTCGTAGTTACTCGACGGTAGGTAGGCGTGGTAGGTTAACAGGTAGGTACGCAAGGTCAGGAACCGTGGTATGAATAATCAGCACGGCGTGTGCGCGGTGCCCCGTTTCCCTGTTCGGGAGAGGTACACATAAACATACGTGCCTATGCAGGGATGTGATGTGCTGTAGCATCCATGCTCTGTGCTACTCCGTAGGTACAGTGGTGGAGCATCGTGTACGACTTCTCGAGAACGCCTCGGGGATGATCATGTACCGAGTTGGCAGGTCACGATATGTATGGGCTTTTGTGGCGCTGCTCGGGGAAAACCAGATGTGCATCGATGGCTCTGGTGGCTCTGGAGGTGCTGATGACAAAGCGATGACAGGGTGAATATCAAGATGCATACGAGAAACGCTGTATGCAACCACATGCAGAACGTGCTGGATAGCAATGGCACCGCTAACTAGGCACCTTCAATCTCGCTGTACATGTCGGCGGCAAGAACCTGATGTCGCCGCAAAAATCGTTATTACACTTTCCGCCTCGCAACCCAGGACCTGCAGGGCTCATGATGGATTCGTTCAAAGCCATTATTCCTCAACACCTCGAGCCATCCTCACTCATCCTCTCCATCATGTCTTCGTTCCACATGGTCGTCGTCTGGGTTCAACAGGACTCCAATATCGGTACTCTCATCCAGTACCCTCCTCCCTTCCTTGGCTGTTGGCAATCTCATGTCTTCCATGACGAGCTGCAAGGTCAACTCGGGCACCAACACAGCGCTCACATATGCACCCACGCCAGCTGCTCGCAGCGCTGGGTCTGACTGCAATGCCTTGTTGAGAGTCTTTGATAGTGACTCGGTAATTGCATGGACCATGATTCGGGCTCCTTTGGGACCATAGTAACCCGGCTTAGCAACATCAATCAAGCCTTCATTGAGATAATGCCGAATAGTCCTGCGGTTGCCCTTCGCCGCCTTGATTTTCGCGTCCAGCTCATCCAGGTAGTAACTGGATCTCTGTCGGCTGATCACCCGCTCCAACTCCAGCGTTTTCTTCGGTATCCGGAAACTTTCCAACTTCTCCCAATCCAACTTGGGATAGCCTCTTTCTTCCCATTGCCCTCGTGCTTCCGCAAGTCGATGCTGAGAACAAAACTTTTGTTGTTGTTGGAAAGGCATGGTGCGGAGGTTGTCCGGAACAAACACCGAGATCGTGTCTCGCACGGGTTTTTCACAAACGGGACATCTTACTCCGACTGTTCTTGGTTCAGGCTCCACCTTGAACTCGTCATTGTGCACGAGCAGAAACATGTCATCCACGGAAGAGAGAGAGGACGTCGACCCCGACCTTGCACGGCCTGCAGCGCGAGGCGAGTCCACGTCAAAAGAAACCAGGTTGTCAGTGCCGCCGGACGATGAAAAGTCGGGCATTTCTGGGATGTGAATATCCGGTTTGTGGTGATCCGATATCTCCGCTGGAAGACTAGGGATGTCAATTTCCTGCCGTTGCTTGATCTTTCCCTTGACCCCGTCCAGCACCGGCACTTCAGCAACGTGTATGAATGTGGTTTTCGATGCCTTCTCTTGACGCCCTTCCACTTCAGCATAAGATACAAAACCAGGACCTTTTCGCTCCGGTTGTGCGACGCTCTCGATGGGCTCTAGCTTCTGGAAAAACTTGCGGTTCGCATAGTTCTTGGAGGGCTTTCTCTTCTGCGAACCCGACGAGGTCCAGCCGGGGAATGGGTCGTCGAGGGTCGCATCTTCAAGGGTCCTCAGCGGCTCAAGCGCAGGTTCGTCTCTGAGCTTCCGCCGCTTCGGTCTGGTTGAGGCAGCTGTGCTCGCCGTACGTTTGGTGGGAGGACTGGAAGGTTTCAGAGTCTTGCCTTTGCGCGCATTGGGTAAGCTCTGCGCCGGCTTGCGGGGTAAGTCGTCGTCCTCATCTGAGCTGGAATCGGGCGGCGCGTAAATGAGTCTCTCTTCTTCCAGGGAGTCCGTCTTCATGTTTGGACTCGGAGATTGTTCATGAGACTCTGCCCCTCGGATAGATCGAAGCAGTGTCGGGCCGCGGTAGTTCTCTCGCGTGAGGTATGTTCTCGAGTAACTGGCATTAGGTCTGGTCATATCATCATCACCAGATCGGGCCAGTCATAGAGTGAGGGAGGTGATGTGAAAGTGAATATGTAATTGGTACTCGTAGTTGTCAGAATTTAGGAAATGAGCCCATTGATAGGGAACCAAGTGGAGGATTGGGAATGGCAGAGTGGTGGCACGCGCCTATTGTGGGCAACCAGTAGTAACTAAAGCTGACTCGTAGTCACTACTAGTAGAAGACGAGGAGCTCCCAGTGGTTGCCAGTGGCTCCCAATCGCAATCGTCAGTCCCCAATGATAATGGGCGCCCCCTTGCCTGTCAGCTGGCACGCTGGGCACTTGGCGGGACAGACAAGCTAGATTTAGGGTTCGGAGCCCAGGTTTTTCCGGGCGGTGGACCGCAGCTTAACTGGGCTGTTTGGGTGCTTGGTGACACTTGGACCCTGCGCCCACCTCCAATTTCGCCATGGCAAACGCAGTTTCACACTTAATCCGTTACTCCAGATGGACCGATTCAGCTAATGCAGCTGACAAACAACGTCTCTTCCCTATATTCGCTGAGCTCATCACAGCTAAAGGTGCATGGCCAAGAAGGGATGACACTTGGCTGTGGCAACTCGAAATAGTATGAATTGAGACGAGTACACCAAAGGGCACGCGCCCTCTTCTCCCCCCTCCATCTCCCTCGATCCGCCGGGGAAACGACACAATGGGCCTCCTGGACGAGGACCCCTTCGACAGTCTGGGTGAGAAGTCGACAGCAATCACCTCGCCTACAGCCATGTCTCCAGGGGCACAGAGTCCATCAGGCGTCCAAAGTCCCCCGCCCGAACAACAGCAGCATCAGCATCAACATCAACATCAGCACCCGCATATCGACCATGCCAAAGAGAAGCTACGCCATTTCATTCATCCCGATGGCCGGAAAATCCACATTGCTCACACCCCCGAAGAGCACGCCAAACTGCACAAAGAACTGAGCCAGCAGCATGGCCCCGACGAATTCGATGTCGTGATCTCCGGCACCCCAGAACATCTCGCCGTCGTACGCGAGCTGCACGCTCATCACTCGGCCCAATGCGACACGCTGCGCGAGAGACATGGCGACGTCTTCTACGAGTTCGAGAAGGTCAGAGACGACCTGGACCATCTGTCCAACGAACTCAATCAATTGACCCATCACGGGGTGTGTGAAACTGTCCTCAAAGTGTTGGACGGACCTGTTGCTAATCCATAGAGTAGGTGGCCCTTGACGCCAACTTCAGCAAGTTCGGCTACACAGCGCGGATCCGTACCAAGGACGACCACAGCGGTTCCTCGACACCGTCGCATTCAACGACAACAGCCAACTCAGAGCAAACTTTACTCGACAAACATCAGAGCCGCGTTGTCGAAGGAACGAAATTCTTCAAACGGCCCGTCATCCGCCAGTACTTCCACAAGGGACTGTTGTGGCGGTCTGCACGCAGCGGTGAGGTCGGCACCTTTGAACTGTTCGCCGACTTGCTCTACGTCGGCATTATTGGCATCATTGGGGACAAGGCCTCTGAGGATCCTACGGGGAAGTCGTTCTTGGTGTATGCCATCAACTTCACTATGGCCTTCAAGATCTGGAATGATCTGACACTCGTCTCGAACTGGTCAGTCGGGCCCACCCATGAGAACCGGATGATTCTTTGGTTTTACAAGCTAACGGTCGTGTAGGTTCGAGCGAGACGACATCGTCCAGAAGCTTTCTGTCATGCTCTACCTGATCCTCCTCTTCGCCTACACCACCAACATCTCGTACGCGTTTGAGGAAAGACATCCCGGCGGAGAGTTCGACACATACATTCCTATGATGTCTTTCTATCTCGCTGAGAGGTTCTACGGTGCCTTATATTTTACCTGGCTCTCTTACGTGGTGCCCCTGGTGAGGGGAACCCTCCTGTACACGTCCATCATCATCCTGTTGGCCATTGTGTTTTGGATCAGCAGCATCCACGTCGACTACCCCGGCCAACTGGGTTTGATCTGGATCGCGATTGTCATCGACCTCTGGGGCCAAGGGTTTGGGATGTTCCTCTCGCGCGCCTCTGCCCGACACATGCACGCGCAGGGCAGTCGCAGAGAACGCTTCATCCGAAAGTACTTTGAATTTTACCCGGCCATCAACATCGAGCACCGGACCGAGCGCACCAACGCCTTTGTGTCGCTGGTGTTCGGCTACTCGGTGCTCACCATCCTCTACCAGTCCCGGGCACGAGTCGGCCTCAACGCGTTTCTGGGCAAGGGCATCCTAGGCCTCATCCAAGCCTTTGCGTTCCAATGGCTTTACTTTGAGATCGACCACCAAGGCGTCCACATCCACGCCATCCGCCGCCACTGGCTTTCCAGCACCGTTTGGATCACGTGCCACCTGCCCTTCGTGCTCTCGTACGTCCTGGGGGCCGCGACACTGTCGAAACTCGTCCTCGCACACGACTGCGACAACGCCAATATCGAGGACTTGGGCGAGGCGTACCAGCCCAGATCGGTCGCGGAAATTGACTCCGGTCTGCGCTGGTACTACTGCGGGGGCATCGCGGCCGCGCTACTGTCCATGACTCTGCTCTCGTACTGCCACGTGCATAAGACGCTGGAGAACCCGCGGCTGAGGAAAGTCCCGCGCTTGGTGATCCGGTCGTGCATCGCCATTGCGATCTTACTGCTCCCACTGGCCAAGCACCTCTCATCCATCAGCCTGATCGGCACCACCACGGCGCTGGTCTTGTTGGTCCTGACACTCGACATCTTCGGCATGTCCTGCACGGGCGACCGCTTCTGGACCGGCGGCTGGTGCGACGAGTCCAAGCGCGCCACGCACTACGAGGCCCGCATCCGCTGCAGCAAGCGCAAGAAGCAGGAGATCATCAAGGCCATGCACCGTGGGGAGACCGTCCGGCTCGAAGAGCTGCTGCGCCGCCAGAGCACAAACTCCAGCGCCATGAGCAGCCAGACCGAGCTGGGCGTGAGCGAGAAGTTGGGCGATGAGGAGTGGCAGCACGCCGCGCTGTGAGGGGGGCTCTGACATTCCAGAATGCCTCTTTATACATTCAATTATATATCCAGTCATACCTGCAGACATACTACCATACCCTCCCGGCATTGGATCTACGTATCACATACCAAGGTATGTACCATACTGGGTGTATGTATGTATGTATTTAGTGGTATATACATCACTCTCACGCCTAACTATCTATCTATCCATCCATCCCTCGCTCCCTCCACCCGGATATCCATCCATCCATCCACACCTCTCTGTGTACCCCCGCATTTGTCCATCTAACCCATCTGTTTCTATCTCTTTACATGGAATGTGGTACTGTTACGCAACTGCGAATCAAGGAATGGCCGTCCAAGAACGAAGCTTTCCCCGGAGGGAAAAAAGGGTGAGAAGGAAAAGAAGGGCCTAGGGAATGGGAATGGGAATACACACACAGTAGCTACTCGGCAGGGAAAAGGGTAAAAAAGGATGAAGATGGGTCATGGATATCGTCGCATGGGTCTAATCATGGGCATGGTAGCTAGCTAGCGAGTCAGCAAGCGAACTTGGTGTTGCATTTCCATTTTCAAAAAAAAAAATTAGTCAATACGTCCTACATCGAGGGCGAGCACAGTACTCGGTTCTATAAGAGAAAGACACACTGGCTGTGTTTGCGTTTGTGTTTGGCTCATGGTTTGAAGCGGTTTAGAGGGGAAAAAAGGTGTTTTGTGTTTGTTCTGGTCTCATAAATAGTTTTTCTTCTTAATGCTGAGGAGAACCACCAAACACGCCAATACAGCATCCTTATCGATGCTATGTGTACGCTATATATCCAAGTACTCGGTACAAGGCGACGAAACTTTGGCCAGGGTTTCTATATGCTGCCACTTGGTCGCGGAACAGGCTCCCACCCCTCTCCTCTTACTCTTTCTACCTAGGATACGAGTAATCATGGTGCAGCGGCATCGCAACCGTGCCCGGGCTGTGATGTACCGGGTAAGGCACGTCTGTCTGGTGATGCGGCTGGAGTCTGGGCTCCGAGTGCGATGATGGGAGTGGACTTGGGTTTAGTCTCGCAGCTGGCAGGCTTGCTGTTTGCGCTCTCATTCTCGCCTGGGCCAAAGCGACACTGTCAGCCTCCCCCATTGTTACAGGGGACGGGACTTGCTGCTGCATGTGGAGAGGAGGTCTCTGCTGCCCAAGGACGCCTGACGAGCTATTGCGAGGGTCAAATTGAGTGGGAGAACTTTCCAGAGGAGGAGGCGAGAAAGACGGATAAGGGGAAGGGGATGGAGCAGGACCAGGATATACCTGGTACATGGGAGCAGGTTGCGAAGGGTGGACGACATTAGTCTGCACATTCTTGCGTGTTGCAGTCGCAGTAGCTGAGGAACCTGCAGTTATCGGCGTTGAATCCAGCTCGACCGCAAATGCTGGTGCAACTGGTCCATTGGTTGTGACTGTCTCTGCTGTTGATGTTGGATAATGATGTTGGTAGCGCGAGGGACCCTCGGGTCGCTGCATCGAGGATAATGAGGCTTCAGCAGAATGTGATGACTTGGCCATGATAGGTGAGGCTGGTAGCTCAACGGCCTCGACGGCGCAACTATACGAAGCAAGCTCGACTGGGCGAGCGCTCGAAGTCTGCGACGCATGTGCCGTCGATAAAGGCACAGCAGCAGGCCCATTGGATAGTTGCGGTGATCCAGCCACTGTAGCGGTACCTGTCTCGTGTCCGTAAACAGGTTTCCAGTTGTTAGATGCCACGGCTGGCATTTCATGATACCCATGGGCAGGCAATTGGCTCGAAGTCAGAGCAGGGACGGGCTTTGTGGAAAGGTGTTGATCAGAAACTGGAAGATGTGATTCACTCGGGACAGCTCCGGAATACCCAGCGGTGTGGTGCTGGTTGACAGTGTTGTGTCTCAGCGGCATTCGACTGGGTTCTGCTTGCGGCATTGCCCAACTACCGTGGGGGACTGAATGCCCGCCAGAAGAAGTAGGGACAGGCACGTTCTGTTGCATTAGACCAAACTCTCCGAGATTCTGTGCACCGACGGATCCATTCAATTGGGATTGATAATGGGGCTCGGGGTCTGTCGGGCTGTGCCATGACGAAGCATGCTGCTGATGCTGGGGTCTTCGCGCGGGCAGAGGCGGGGGAACAGGAGAATACTGCTGTACTCCATGCCCTGGATTACTTGTATACGGCTGCGGGATTGATGGGGACAATATAGGAGACGGCGGCGAAGGAGGCCGGCCTGTGTTTGGAAGCACATACGGAGCCGGACTGGCTCCAGGATATACGTTTGGTGCTGTCTGTGGTGATAATGGCGACACGGGCGCCTGTGGACCAGACCAGTGACCATAAGGCTGGGCATTTTGGGGCCCTGGATAAGAGTAATGGTACGTCGGTTGAGCGACTTGCGCGGGATGGGGTGGTGGAAGAGGACGTTGCTGAACATATGCCGGGTTGAATTGGTTCGACAGACCTTGCGACGGTTTGAAGCCTTGTGAAGACGTCGACGTTGTCGTTGACTGCAGCAGTTCTCCCGGGTTTGATGCCAGGTTATACACATCCCTCATGAATAGCATCGACTTCTTAGCGAGAGACGACATGTTGGTGGGAGTTCGCGTCCAGGGCTGACTTTTCCCAGCAGTTTCGTCCAGTATTGACCTACGGTGCGGTCAAGGGTTTTTAGGATATAGCAACACCAGGCCACAGCAAGTCATGCGCTCAAGTGTGAAGAGGTCCATGTTCGTATTCCCAAATTTGCAGAAAAGGGGGGAAACGAGACGATAGCTGCATTCTAGATCCACTTTTGGCGCCTGATCCTCGGAAATAGTTTGATAGCACAGGCTGAGCAGAGTTGAAGAAGCTGCCAAGGGGAACTGGGCCAATGAAGCATTGGCTTGATCGCTAACGACGGCTTGTGGGCTTGCTTCGAGACTGGGCCGTTTCTGTTCCACGGCCCCGAATAGTGGCTTGCCGAGAAGTCTCCTGTTTAGCCTTGCCGTCGCAGGGGCAATTCGCAAATTGACCAGTCAGCCCTGGACTATTTTAATAGTGTAATGCCATCAAAGCCCCAGAAGCAGACATCCGACCGTGTTTGCTTGTGTTACTGTAAACTCTAGAGGCACTCTGGTTGGTTGGACTAGGAAAAGTCTCACATGTCCCTATTGTTGTCTGGAACATGCGGCTGAGGACTTGCTTGACAATGGCGGTGGCGTCGTTCTCGATGTGGCCTGCTTTGGCTATTCTGTGCTATGGGATCCTCAGGCTGGAAGCAAAATCATAGAGGGCGAAGAAAGCTTATACAGGACGACCGAACGACGGCTCCTCAAGGTGATTGGCTCTATCAAACAGCTGGCGTTTAACGTGCCAGGCCAGCACCATTCCTGGACCACCTGTACCTGGCTAACACAAAGGTCAGTTGTTTTTCTGTGTCGCGAGGATTGCTCCTTCTGCCCTTGGCCAGGGCTATAGCCGATCGCATGACACTGTCCCGTCGTCAGAATCGAGACAACACCATACCAGATGAGAGGGGCAAGAGGGTTTACTTTCTGAATTGTCGCTGATAATCTGTCGGAAGCGTGACAAAACATGCCTCCGTTGCCCTGATGACGGCCTCGCAGGCGGCCAGTATCGCATTTCCGGAATCGGCCTGTAAGCGATATGCTACTAGCAGGAGAAGAAGGCTGCCGTGGAGGAGTTGGATTCCAAAGAAGTATGGCATGAAACTGATGTCCGGGTCACATTCCAGTATCTGGGTAACGCATTCAGAGGCGGCCATTGTGTGGGACATGGAGTCTTTGAACCCTAACGAAGATGTCCAGCTGCAATATTCTATCAGCCTATACTCCAGAACGGCAAAGGCCAAGGGGGATACATGTGACTTCTCCCTGTATATTGTGGGAGAACACCAAGTAAGTGGACTTACAAATCTGCATCCTCAAAGAGACATACCGGATCCCATTTCGAACCCACCAGGATCCTTAGGACACTGACAATATGGCTCGCGTATCCAGCCACAGTTTTGGCAATATGCGTTGCCTCGGGTTCTTCTGCCCCCGCGGCGGAAGATGGCTTCCATCGGGATTCATTCTCGGCCTCGTTCTCAGCGTGCATCCTGGTTGTGACGCGGTCCAATGTCGCTTGGTAATGATCAAGCTCACGCAAGATTTGACGTTCTTGTGAACTCCATATCGAGGCGCCCGAAAGAACGGGATGGAGGCGCGATCGGTTCCAATCCAGAAGTGTGCCACAATGGACCATCAATGGCAAGAAGAATTCAAAGAGGCCCACCCCTAAACAAGTCTTTGGAGGTCCGTGTGAGCGTCCAGTCCCAGAGGGTAGCAACATGCATCGAGGTCCCTCGGCACGAGTACCATGGCTGTGTGGCTGGGCACCCGATTGCCAGGCGACATCGTCCAGCGGGAGCAGTAAGTCTCTGCACTCGGCCTCCAACAGGGCAAGAGGCCTGTTGTAACACAATGCTAAATGTCGGTCCATCAGAAAGAGGAGCCACCACGTCCGGCGACGCTCCTCGCGCTGGACTTCATTGATTAAGTCTCCTTCAGCGTGTTGACTCAGAGAACATTTGCAGTTCAAGCTGGTTAATCCATTCTCTGCATCGTCGGGTAATATCGCAGACTGTACCTCCTCATTCAATTTCAAGTCCCGTGCAAGGTTGAAAGCAACACTCCACCTGAATTTTGGTGAGAATCACTGTGCCTAGAGACAAACAGCCGGAGTAGTTACTTACCACCTGATGCTTGCTGCCTTCTTTTCACTGCCTGATATCACCGAGGAAACATGAATAAAAGCAATAATATAGTCCATGCCCCAGGACTCTGGGAGAGTATCGCTCGGGAGGTCCAAGGCTCGGAGTAGGTCATCGTTCCTCCATCCCGAGTCCGAACCGAAGGCGGGCGGTAGCCCTAAGTCTTCCTGTCTCAACAACGGCTCATACCTGGCGGGATTCAGAAGGCGATATGTGAGCAGGCTCAAGTACTTGCAGACTCGATCTTTCTCTTCGGGTCCACTAAATAGACCCAGCGCTTTGTCGCTGAAGGCAGCTACAAACAGCATGCTACCCAGAAGCGCAGGATGAGTTTGACGAGGTTGAGAAGGGTGGAGGACATCAATTCTTCGTAAGATGAAATTGTGGATGTGGTGGCACGTAGGATGCATACGACTGAGGAATGCGCTGGAAAAATAAGTGTCCAACAGGTCGCAGGCAAGATCAGATCCAAATTCCCGATCCAGAAATGGCGACAAGTATTGCAGGACGGGGTATTTACATTGAGCAAATGCTTGGCTGTTTGGTGTTGGTGCTTCACGGGAATCGGCTATAGAGGGCAATCTGTAACTATAAGGATCCAAGATATGGAAGGTCGGGGAGACGTATGTCGAAGGGATGCCTGAGGGATCCTTGCCACCATCAAAATCCACTGCTCGAGTCTGGCCATCCGGAGACAGAGCAAGATGAAGCATTGCCGTAGTGTGCTCTAGTGAGGGAAGAGGCAACTCCAATCGATGATTCGGAGTCTTAGCAGCCCCTAGAGGGAGATCGTCCTCTTCTTGAGCGGTCACTCGCCCTCTTGTCTGTTGATTCTTTGGGGACGGTGGTGGAGATGGCGAGGCAGGCGAGACATTGTCTCGAGGATCATCCGAGACAGACACCGCTCCTGGAGGGTCAGTCCACGAGATGCTGTCACCTCTACGCCTGTTATCATAGACACATTGTTCTTGCAGCTGTGCACACCGGGTACAGGGGATGGTACCCGTGCAGCGAATCTTGGATTTGCGGCATTGATTGCAGGCCCGGAACTTCTCGCTGATGATTCGGTGGAATGGACGCTCTTCTGCATGATTCAGGTGTGTTTTAAGATGGCGACTCAAGCTGTCGTTACGCGAGAAAGAACGACCACATTCTGGACAAGGTGCTGAGGCAGGAGTCCTGCGCCGGGCAACCTTGCTCGAGCCCATTGTCTAGCATGGAGACTGGGTGATGGCAGCACCAGCCATTCTCGACCACGGGGGCGATACCGAGGAATCGAAGATGGTGAGCGCAGGGCTCGTCGTCCGTCGTTGTAGCAATGGCAGTGGAGAATGAGGGTGGTGAAGAGGTCTGTGGCTAGCGCATCCTTCTACTATCCAACCCCGCAAGCTACTATTCAATCAGGTTAGTGATAGTCACACGCTGGGGTCAGGGTGGGAGAAACCCTCCGAGATCCTCGATTGGCCTATTTGCTGGACTTGGTGAGCCCTGTCAGTAGGCGAAGATTGTATAGGTGAACGCCTGCTTGTGAGGAGGTAGCAATTTGAGAGACATGGTTATGCAACCTGCGCTCGAAAGATTATGTGTCTATTTTCCCTCTCTTGTCACAGGTGTTCAAGGGCTGGCCTGTCATAGCGCTTGATGCATGAGGTAGAGATAAAATGGGGGGGTCTGCTGATGAAATGGACAAGCTGCAAGAACGCTATATGGGAGAGTAAAGGTAAGAGACAGAGCTTCCGCTAGTTGATGCTAGAAGTGAATTGACATGTTCAAGTGACAATCATAGAAGGGTCGAAGCAACTAAGAAGCGACGAATCCGCAAGAAGTTAGAAACAATGGCAGACAGCTGATGAGCCGGGATGCGTTTCTCCCTACCTTTCATGCGTCGTCAAGATTAGACGGCATTCTATGACCTTGGAGACTGTGCATGTATCAGACGGCCAGAGCGTGTGAGCGGTTCACAAAGCGCCAATAAGATACGGTGGCGCATTATTACTGATGCGCAGAAGCACGATACTTGATACGGTGACACAAACTAACCTATACGCAGACACTATCAAGACTCTCCCGTGCTATCCCCGTCCCTCCTCTTCTTCCTTGGACCCCTCAATGCCTTACATCCAGACACATTCACTGACAGTCTGCATGACCCTCTTCATGCCGACGGCACTTAGCCGCGGACAGTGAGAAGATGCAGATATCTTTGGAGATACGATTCACCTTGTTCCCTCAAGCCTCGAACACGGGACAGCCACGACCATCACGTGCAACCACTGACAAGGTAAATACTGGCTGATCTGCTCCTTGAACCAGGCCAGGATCTCTAAACAGCGTCTTGTAATCCTATCAAATGACCACTGCAAACGGTGAACACTCCTCCACCGGGGCTCTGGACCCCTCCCAGTTCCGTGTGGCCATTGTTGGGGGTGGCATTGGCGGACTCACCACAGCGCTCAGCCTTGCGACTTACAGTCCTGAACTACCAGCAAGCAACATCACGGTCTATGAGCAAGCTCCAGCGTATAGTGAGATTGGCGCTGGTGTCGGTATAGGTGTCTCGGCCGGCCGAGTGCTACAGAAGCTTGGAGTGTGGCCTGCGGCGAATGCCATCTCGGGCTATCGAAACAATGTGCATCGGAGCAATCGTCGTTGGGACACGGACGAGCTGATTGTGGACGCCTTAGCCTTTGACAATGGCGGTGCCGAGGAGGTAAGACAGCTGTGGGTACATCGTGCCGAGTTTCTGGAGGTCCTGTACAGTGAGATTCAGCGCAGGAACTGTGCTACGCTGAAAACCGATAAGAGGCTTGTCGGGCTTGAGGTATGACGCCTGGACCTTGTGCTTCAGTATTTGTGCCTTTGCAATATCTGATTCTTGGGATAGAACAAGGGCTCTACGGTCACTCTTCGCTTTGCTGATGGGACAGAGGAGTCGGCGAATCTTGTCATTGGATGCGACGGCATTCACAGCACCGTCCGCTCCCAGTTTGCAGTGGATAAACCCGTGTACTCTGGCCGGATAGCGTTTAGAGGCACAATACCTCTATCTGCTGTGTCTGACGACTGGCCCTACTCGTCCTGGACACTCTCATGGCTAGCCCCCAACAAGCATTTTCTGGCATTCCCCATGTCACAAAATCGGCTCATAAACGTCGTCGCGTTTGTTTCAAAGCCAGAGAGCGAGCTCGACGGGCTCAAGGAGAGCTGGAGAAGTGAAGCACCACGAGAAGCTATCGAGAAAGAATATGCCGGCTGGAATCCGACCGTCCAGAGGATCATTCAAGCCATGCCACCTATCATAAGCCAGTGGAAAATTAACGACCGGGAGATTCTGTCGCAGTGGTGCTACATGGATGGCAAGGTCGTCCTCAGTGGTGACGCCGCACATGCAATGCTACCCATGCAAGGTTCGTTGATCTCGATTGAACAATTCCTCTTCTCACCATCTAATGCTGTCTTCTTCAGGCTCTGGGGCGGGTCTCTCCATCGAAGATGCCAACATGCTCGGCTTTGCAGTGCGGGATTACCTGAAGAACCCAGGCGTTGGACTCGCCACATATGTCAACCTGTACCAGACGGCACGCGTGCCACGGGCGCAGAAAGCCCAGATCACCTCGCGGCAGGCGGCGGAAGTTTACGACATGCACGGCCCGGATTTTGAAGGGAAGACGTTTGAAGAATGTCTCCCGGTAGTGCGGGACAAGGTCAAGGATCGTATGGCTTGGGTGTGGAAGTCGAACTTGGAAGCAGACTGGGCGGCGGCAAAGGAGAGCATTGGGCTTGCATAGGGAAGCATGGGTTATTGCGAAGATGTTTTGTAGCATGTAGAGAAAGAAAGCTTTGATTCCGAGGTTACACTGTCTAGTCATAATCATCTTCGCAACTGTCGAACCTGAACCCGCGAACCTCCCAAGCCTCGGCCTTCAAACGCAGGTATTTCCACCGACCACGTCAAAATCCCACCTTCACTCTCTTCTCCCACTAATATTTCATGCTCCTTCACTATTCCAACACGCGCCAGTTCCGATCCAGCGTAGCCTCGATCACTCAATCCTCAAAACACCTGCTCCGGCCTTTCCCCGTACGCCCTCCCGACCTCCCCTCGACGCATTTGCAGCTGCTCAACCCTGTGGGACCCAAAGGAGGAGACTCCGAGATGCGGCGGAACACGACTGACAAGATGGACGGGCGTTATTGGAGAAGCGACCGTTCAAGCCTTTCTTCTTAAGAAGCTTGGTATCTCGAGAGCCGGGTCTGGTGTGATCCCCCAAAGTGATACAGTGACACAGTGACACAGTGATACAGAGTCGTCTGGAGCCGCCTCCGAACCAAGACGGATTGATATCGACCTTCTACCTGCTCCTCTTCCCTTCCGCACCTAATTTTGACAGACAGAAGAAGACAATGCTGGCCACTGACTCGATATCTCACATCCCGGTATGGGGATGGGTTGCTATCACCGCGGCCCTCCTCTGTGCCTGGGCAGCCAGTTTCCGCTACCAAAAGGGCCTCAACAAATACAAGGGACCATTCATCGCTTCCTTTACCAACTTCTGGCGGCTGTGGCAGTGGGTGTGGTACACCGACAGATGTGCCTACCCCAGTGTGGTCAAGTATGGAAAAATCATCCGGGTTGGGCCCAACACGTTGTTATTCAATGATCCCGATGCCATCAAGGACATCTACATGACCCATTTCTCCAAGGTAAGAGACGCGATCCTTGATCAGGACACCCTCCCATCCTCAGCGCCATTCGGTGTCAAGAGTCTGTCTAACGCAGCAATTCTCCAGTCCGACTTCTACAAGGTTGGTCAGGGTGTCTCGCGGGGAGTGGCCGTACCCAACATCTTCTCCACCACAGATCGCATCTACCATGGCAAGCTGCGGCGATCGGTGGCCAACGCCTTCGCTTTGAGCACACTGGTCAACTATGAGCCGTATGTGACGGACACGGTTACCACATTCCTGGCTCAGCTGGACCAGAGATTCGCGGGTCGACCTGGACCGGACGGCATTTGCGACATGTCTGAATGGACAAAATTCTTCGCCCTGGATGTGGTCAGCGCGTTGACAATGGGCAAAGGCTATGGGCTATTGGAGGCCGGGTATGATCACATCGGCATCATCGAGGCCCGAACGACCTTCTTGCGCTACTTCACCATTGTGAGTTTCCCACGGTGGTAGGAGCAAGGACATATATAATCTAACGCTTCTCTTCCAGGTCAACAATGTCACTTGGCTCGACCGCGTGCTCAAGAAGAACCCGGTTCTCCTGTGGCTCGGCCGAATGGGCCTCTGGAACAGCGTGACGGCGACGGTGCCCATCGCACAGCGACAGCTCGACCAGAAGAAGCGCGACTTCAAGGGCGTCAACGAGAACGAGAAGACGCGGGTGGACTTGCTCACCAAGTTCCTCCAGGCCAAGGTCGACAACCCGGACATTGTCGACGACCGCGCCGTCTTGGGACTGACCCTCTCCATGGTCAACGCCGGGAGCGGCACAGTCGCCACCACGCTGGCTGCGACATTTTACTTCCTGCTCAAGTACCCACACGTGATGAAGGAGCTCGTGGCCGAGATCGACTCACACTTCCCGCCGCCGAGCGCCACTAGCAACAGCGGCAAGGGCACGGGCCCGATCAACTTTGCCGAGTACGTGGTGCCGTTCGCCGAGTCACAGAAACTGCCCTTCCTGGACGCCGTGCTCAAGGAGATCTTCCGCCTCTGGCCCGGGTTGGGCATGCAGCTGATCGAGCGGGTCACGCCGCCCGAGGGCGCGCACATCCTGGGCGAGTACATCCCCGGCAACATCATCGTCAGCTGCAACGCGTGGATCATGCATCGCCACAAGCCCACCTACGGCGAGGACGTCGAGGTCTTCCGCCCCCAGCGCTGGCTGGACGCGACCCCGGAGCAGCAGGCCGCCATGAACAAGGCGCTGCTCGTCTGGGGTGCCGGACCCAATACGTGCATCGGCAAGAACATTGCGTTTTTGGAGCTGTACAAGGTGGTTCCTTCGGTTCTGAGGGTGTTCACAGTAAGTTCCACATACAGACCTTTCTTGAGCTCTTAATCCCCCCCTGTATCCTCTGTCTCCTCCCACACTATAAAAGCATCCATGGCTAATGAACGGGGAAACAGCTCGAACTCGCCGACCCCGAGAAGGAATGGAAGATCTTCAACCTGGGCGATCCCGAGCCATCAGAGTTCTTTGTCCGGTGCCAGCCGAGATATCGGAAGATGTTGATGTAAGTCTACGAGTAGGTTAGTCGTATTTTTTTGACACGACGAGTCGATGCCGTGCGATGCGACAACACCCGGTAGAATGAGAAATCATGAGCGAAGAATAGATGATATGTTTACTTTTGTGGGAGAAAAGCACCCACCGTCGCCGCCGCGAAGGGATAAAAAGAGTTCATGACGTATTTATTGCAATGTCACAGATTTCACAGATTCTACCCTAGGTATCTAGCTATGAATGGGATTGTTTTTTGCGTGACCGCTACCTATATGGACGGACGGACGGCGAGACGTATATTTCTGTACTTGTATAATCTGTAGGGTAGATGTCTCTCTCCCCCTCATTGTTTCCGTGTACGCTTGTCTCTCGGCCTCTGTGTGTTGTGTGTGTATGTGTGCGTGTACATGTATATATGTATATAGAAATAGCCTGAGTCGCTTCTTTTTCTTCTCTTTTCGGACCTTGGATTATCTGCATCACATGTGCGTGCAGTTGTCGAAAAGGTGGGTGGGCACTCTATCCTCCTCCAATCTCCCTAATCATACCCTTGTTTTCACTGAGCCACTCCACGGTTATACGCGAAAGAGTGGCTGCTCAGAAACTCGAGGTCGCCGTCGAGCATGAACTCGCCCAGCTCCATACCGAGCGGGGACTGCTTGCTGTTCGCCACGATGCCGCCGTTGTGGTTGTATATGCCCATGCCCACGCTGGCACCTACCGCTGCGGCCCCGCCACCGAGCAGCACTCCATAGTCGCCGGCTCCGTGAGGCGGGACGGGTGGCACCTGTCCAAAGGTAGCCTGGTTTGTCGGTTGGTGGTATGTGACGGGCTGCCAGTTGTGGGGCTGAGGGATGAGGCCCTGTCCGATTGCTGAATAGAGACAGTTCGATCAGCTGTGCGGAAAACAATTGGGGGGAAAGAGAAAGGGAGGGGTAGAGGATGGTTTCGGATTGACGTCCGGGGAGAGGGAGGAATGGCTTGGGAAATGACAGGGAGCTCATTCAAGTACGTACCTAGAGCCTGGACGACCTGAACAAACTGCTCGAGATAGTCTCGGCACCGCGCGACCATGCGATTGTCGCTGTCCAGATGGCGGATCGCTTCGATCGCCATTTCCAAATGCAGGCACATATCCTCTGTCGACTCGGTCAATGACATACTGGATTCGTTCCCTAAGGCCTTCTGATCGATTTGGACCAGGACGCATGCTCCCAGCACCAAGGCTGCATTAAATGCTATACAAGATGTTAGATCCGAAGCCAGCACATTAGAACGAGATGGGGAGAACGGCAATCTGATGAGAGAAAACGTACTGTAATACAGCGAAAACCACCACGCGCCCAACAAGCCCCACTTTGATCGCCCCGTGGCAGATTGGAGGGCATTGTGCACCAGACAGATTATCTCCTTGGCCGACTTGATGGCGATCTGTATATGGATGGTGCCCACCTGTTGTAACAACGATGTATCCTGATGACTGGCTGGGTTGCTCAGTCCATCGAGGAACTTTACCAACACCGGGCGATGCAGCAAGATGCGCACGTTGGTGTAGCGGAGAGTCAGGATGAACCGGAGTCGCAATTGCCGCCATGCTTCCTCGGCCGAACCCTCTACGTGCGGTAAGCGTTCTGGCAATATGTCTTGGGTGGCGATGAGCCTCATATGGGACGGCAGTCCTCGTTGCCATTCCGAAAGCTGGTTTTCGATCTTGTAGACGAGGGCGACTGTGTCGACAGCGTTCGCTTTGAATGAACAGGCGAGATTCTGGCCGTAGAGTGAGTCGATAATGGTGCAAAGCACTTTGTATAGCGAGCTAGATTCGAGGAAACCAGGTTAACATGACTATCAAACGTGCAAGGATTGTTCACGAGTGCCACTTACATGGTGCCGTTGAAAAAAGCAATGCTCAATGACTCCTTTTGGTCGGTTCCTGCAGCTCCGCCGTCGACTACGGAGAATTCCATGGGCAGATCAAGTTGGACGTAGCTGTCAGGGATCGCGGGTGGTCGACCAAAGGTCATGCTCAACGTCCGGTCAAGCATGATGCAGCCAATCCATGTCCTTTTTCGAACCTCCTGCTCCAGTGGAGGAAAGACTCTGGCTAAATCGCTGGAATGAAGTCCTATCTGGAATGCGGCTCGCACTGCCAGACCATGTGTCTTCCATGTCTGTACTGACTTCTGCGTTCCTTGAAGGTACTGGCCCATGAGGAGGAGGAACTGAACTGTTTCTGTAAGTATTGGATACTCCAAGGCAGCCAATAACTTACCAACTTCGACACTGGTCCCCGTTCCATTCGCGTTCTTGTCGTTGAAGAGCCCTGAAGCTCTGCGAAAGTATATTTCCGACTCTGCGCTGGCTTTCGCCGTGGCTGACTCGACACTTCCTGGAGTGGTGGTGTTTTCCCGTGCATGCACTACGGCGTGAGCGAAGACGATATTGAGGAGGGCGAGCCAAATTCTCCTGACGCCCTTGAACTTGTCCTTGCTGGCCTGTTCAAATGTGGTCATGAACGAGTGCTCATGAATATAGGGAAACAAGAGGCCCGTGTTACTGAAGTACCAGGTGAGGAGCTCCCGTGCGACCGAGTCAGGAGGAAGAGCATAGATGTTCACTTGATCGAGAGGAGGATCGCGCGGTGTCGGAATGGGCGAGGCCGGGCCTGAGGTGTTGATGAAGCCTCCTGTAAATCCTACTGAATGATGTTCTGCGGGAGACGGCTTCCAGGGTTCAGGATCGTGAGTCAACCGGGCCACGGCCCTCGACACGTGTCTCAAGAAGGCTATATTCGAAGAAGGGCCAAAGAATGCGCAGTCCTCTTCCTGCGCAAAGGTAACCGCCCCCATAGCATCAATGGGGTCTTCGACGGTTTCGGCATCTTCGAGACTCTCTTCTCGCAGGCACGCCGTTTCCTGCTTTTCAGAATCCAGGGAAGAGACGCCATTTGAGGTGTTCGGATTGGCGGGTTGGTAGACAACATTCCGGTCACGATTCTCTAGCGAAGCAAGGCGGCCTTCTACCTCTTTTAATCTATCCTCGATGGACGATAGGTACCTGGAAGGCGGATCAACGACGATGCACTCAGTGTCCGAGGACTTCCAACTCACTCCTTGCCGATGATGATGTTCGAATATGACGCAGACTGTTGATAGACGCATTCAAATCCCAACTCGATACACAATGAGCACTTGGGACGCATGCCATCGCACTAGCACAGGCAGTCCGGAGTCAGCTCGACACAATGATAGAATGCTCATTTCATGGCCGGTCGTCCCGCGGCCCACGAAGACCAACAAACTCACACGTGATTTCCGCCCACGGCAGACAGTGCACGCCAGCGCGACTCGTCGTCGTTTGCTGGGAGGATCGTTTGACTCGGAGGCCTGGTCGGCTGCGGAGATGCCGTTTTTGGCACTGGTCCATTCGGGGTCGACCGCCTTCTGGCGACGTTGTTGGGATCGGTCGGCGTGAGGAGCGGAGCGGCCATCGTCCGTCACTCGGTCAGACTGATGCATCTTGTTCGCTCTGGTGGATCACGGGCTTCCTGCCTTAGCATATGACAATCGAGCAGAGTCGACGGCACAAGCGACGGGGGGAGTAGTAGGGAGGCAGATTGAATTGTTGTCGGCCGCGCGTGCCGGAACATGACCCTCTCGCTCTCTCGCTCTTCTCACTCTCCGTTTCTTCCTTCTCTATTTCTGACTCGGCCCACGGGGCTAAGGCGGATATGGAGGGAAAGCCGTTGTGATAACAAAGATGGTGATGGGGGACGCTGATAATGCTAGGCTCTAGCCATTGTCAGATAGCATGACAAGATTTAAAGAAGAAGAGCACACGGGGAATTGTGTTTCAGTGATTGATGAGATGTGGATGGCAAATGGTCAGCTGGCTTGGCTGGCACGGCTGGGTAGAGGGAATCTGGAGCTTTGCGGGCAGGCGGGGTACGAGACAAGCTCCGAGCCTCGTGCGCAGCCTGCCAGCCTGCGTAACTGCGCAGCTGTCTGGCCGTGTAGCGTCCGGCCTCAGACCCGACGTTTCCCCGTCTCCCTCAGTTGTCTCCCTCAGTTCGACTTATTGGTTGTTATGTTCACTACGAGGTAAGACTGCCACCACCATCTCAATCTCTTGCTGACCACCACCTAAGAGCACACAGGAATACGAGGTTCCGACTACACAATGAAAAACCTTGTCCCTCAACCACATGGTGAGGCTGCCGTATCTTGATGATCTCTCTATGCCTCTCGCGAGGGTCCTGGCCAGACTTTCTCTCGCTCCCTATCACCAGAAACCTTGATGAGACGCTAACAGGGGGACCAGATCGCCACGTAGTGTACTTATTGCAGAACTTCCCTCCACCACTCGCTCAAGCACAGATATAGCTTCCTGCCAGGCTCTTGTCGCCTGCACCTCGATATTGCGACGTGGCGGGAAAAGGACACAAGTTCCTCGTCATGACCGTCCCATCATCTCTGATCTTGCGAGCCTCCAGCACATCGGGCGTCTTCTGCTCCTCAACCCACGCCACAACCGCCGAGAGCGGATCAACCGGAACTGCTCCAGGGGCCGGGCCTGCACCGCAGTGATCGACACCGGGGGCAAGGAACGTGCGATAGAACTCGGCCACTGTGGACGCGTTCCCCAGGGTCCGGGTGACTTTCTTATGGTAGGCAATCGTGTCTTGGGGAAATATCAGTTGGTCGGCCAGGCCGTGCCACACAATCACCTTCCCCCCGGCAGAATGGAATGTAGAAAGATCTGGCTGATCCGAGCCTATCACTTGACCGAATTCTCGCTGGGATTGATTGAAGATGGTCTCAAATGCCGAGTATCCGATGGTGCTCGTGTCAAAATCCGGGTCTTTCTTGACAAAGTATTTGATCCAGGCATCATTCACAAAAAACGGTAGACCAACTCGAGTTCCGTTGACGATGGTCGTATTGGCCAGACTGTCCAGTGCTGCTCCAGGGTTGAGGGCATAGCGATGGGAGATGGCCGGTCCTTGGGGCCCTGTTAGGATTTTGGCGACAACACTGGCCATTCTCTCGGTGATGTTCTCGTTACCCCCTTCACACTGCACACTTCGCCCTACCAATGTCAACGGGTCAAACTTGCAGTCTTGCAAATCTGTTATGATACCGTCGGTCACTGCATCCAGAGCGTCACAAGCAGCAGTGCTCGCCTCGGTGAAAGCTCTGAGGACACACTGACTGATATAGGTCTCCTCCTCTTTCATGACCACCTGCGGCCATTGTTCAGCGACGACATACCTGGCCCAGTCGATGGCTGGTGCGCCAGCTACGATACCGTCGAAATCCTGGGGATGCTTTTGTGCTGCGACCAAGCCCTGTCTCCCACCCGTCGAACAGCCATTCCAATACGAGTGGGCCGGCTCTCTCCCGTAATATTGCGCTGCAATCGCCTTGCCCGCGACGGCCATGTCGTGCACGGACCTCGAGGCGAAGTTGAGCAAGAGATCCTCGTTCACGGTGCCGTTGGCACGGAGAGCCCACAGAGCCGGACTGTAGGGGTCCCCCGAGAGACCTGCATCGGTGGATGCGGCGGCATAGTCGAGCGCCACCACCGGAGCCAGACTGTACTCGAAGAATCCCGCCGCATATCCCGACCCTCCCGTCCCCACGAAGCGGCCATTCCATGCACTCCTGGACGACGGCAACCACACTTTTATCTTGACCTTGTCGCCCGCGCCGGGGTGCGAGATGACCAGATCGACACTGCAGACGTCCAGTCCGGTGAAGTTGGTGTTGAGAAGGGGAGGGTTGGCCAGCACCGTCGCGTTTGGGAGATGTCGCGACTGGATCGAGAGCACACTTGCTCCGTCGATGATCGGTTTGGTCAGCGCCGTACATGGCGATGTCGAACCCAGAGCTGTAACGCCGATGGTTAGGATTGAGAGGAGCAGAGCGAATGTCCGAGGAGACGCCATGTTCGGTATGTAGCTTTGGTGTTACACGAAGAAAAAAGGCCTGGTTTTTCTACACACGAAGAACATCCCGAGGGACTTCTCAGCAGACGCCTGCATTTTTATATATATACATGTATTCATTCATATCCACACTCCCAAGCAGCCGCAGCAGCAGCAGCAGCAGCACCCGCATCCGCAACACGCCAAAAGACTTTGTGATTCAGGCCGTCCGCAGCAGGACTGCCTCCCTCCTTTGGGGCTACCTGGCTAGCTAGCATCGTGGGCCGTTGGCTTTTGTATGTACACACAACCCAAGTCAAGTCAAGTCAAGATCCATAGATCTCGAGTGAGATTTTAGACGAGACGCATGTGTGTGGGTCTGCACCGTCCACTAACTAACTGCCTCTGTACCTTGGAGGCCGTGAGGTCACCTATGTACCCAGCGAGCCAGTACCTCGGTCTGCAATCCCACGAGGCTCACTAGCAGGGTAGGGTAGGGAGGGGGCGTACATAGATCACTTCTACAGCTACCAACCACCGACGGCATTGCAAGATTGCAAGATGAAATCCTCATGGACTCGTATTTTGATTAGGGCGTAAATCTCAATAGCCAAGGAGCCAATGGCTTACACGAGTTGATGAGGCATAGTCGTACTCGTGCCCGTCAAGCCGTACATCAGGCATGACATACACAGAGAGTACTTGGCAGCCTATTACCCAGTCTAACTGGATGGTGGCCTACAATCTGTTGCGTGTTCTTCCCAATGTCCTTCAAAATGTCACCCATTCACAAATCCATAGACCATATCCCAGCTGGAAGCGTTGCTGGTAGGTCAAGATGTGATCTCGACGTCAACACCCCTGCCGGAGTACAGCAATGCCTCCACAAGCTCCATTCAGTACATCACCTCTCCCCTGCCATCAACTGACGTCTGCCGTCGACATGTAGCCACTTCAGCACCTAGCTCTTTAGAGCCTCAAGTCCGAAAACCGGTTCTCGAGCTCTGTCGCACGTCGGACTCCCTCAGCGGGTGTATGGTTTTGCCCGCCCACCGGAGCGCCGCATTGAGGACAACGCGCTTGTTCCATGGGCATGCCGCATTCCCCAACAGTGAACGGGTGGTTGTTGGCGCAGGTATACCAATGCCCTGATCCACGGAAACCACTCGCCATAGCGTTGATCACAAGCCTCCACTCATCATCATTCACCACTGTCGTAAAGGTCGAGGACTCTAACATTCCCTCAACTGTCTTCACCTCACCCACTACATGTCGGGTCGAGCCCGGGTGCTGAGTGCATACTTGCTGGGCGTCACCAATATGCTCAGTGGCTTCTGTGCTTAGACCTGCAAAGTCTTCCGATCGTCTGCTGTAGGTCCGTTCCGCCAGGCAGCATTGCGCGTAGAATGTGTGAGCTTCAACCTCCACGGCCGGTTGGTGGGCTTCCCGGGCGGCCGCTAACAGCTTCAAGCAGTCGACTCTGTTGGCTTCGAGGTTGACATCGCGCAGGCCGGTTCCAAACGCTGCCAAAAAGTCCAACAATATAACAAGCTCGCATCTCAACAGCAGTGATTCGCCCTGTAAAGTCTGGCTGGTTTGTATGACGGCTGGATCGAATCCAACATCGCTGCTAGTTTTCCCTTGTTTTCGGGCGAACTGCACCATATCCCAAACTCGCTTGAAAGGCTGTTCCTCGATATTGACCTGCCGAAGGTGTTTAATGATGTGATTGCGTGTCTTCGCAATTGGTGAGTATCGCGAATCATGCGCGACCTTGAATATCAGCTTGATTTGGTCCTTGCGTCCACCAGACAGTATGTGTTCCTCCAAGTGCATCTTGTTCCCCTGACATTGGACTTCTTTGACCGACTTGGCCAATTCGGCTTGTTGTTGGTGAACTGACTGGTAAAGCGGAAGAAATTGTTGGTTTGTCGATGTAATGAATTTCTTGGTGGCGTCGTCGATGAGCCCTCATCGTACTATGCGGCCATACCTTGATACAGTTCGTAGTGAGCCTCGACAGCTGCTGCATACTTTGAGCTCATCTTTGGAAAACGGCATGGCCGAGTCAGTAATACAGACATTAAGCCCATCATCTGAATAATGCTTTGACATCTCCATTTGACCATCCATGCTTTCCATGGTCAAAATATGACCACACGGAGGGATTATGCATGGGTTCTCATCCAGATTGATCTCATGGTATTCCTGCATCAACAAAAGATCGACCACCATCTTCTTCACCTCCTCAGGAGCACAGATCTGACAGTATCTTGGGAGTGGACAGACCCCGCCACAGAGTGAAGGGCATTGGTGCCCGCAACTCAAGACACGGGCGCAGCGTTTTGAATAAGGTATCCAGTCACATGGAGCGGCACAAGGAAGAGTACAAGCGCTGTGTGGGCAATTGGAGGAGCATCTTCCCTCTGCGCAGGGAACGCACGGCTCATGGCAGCGTTTCGTGCATTTTGAGTGCTGGCATGATACTTCGCAAGGAGCTCGGCATGGCGGACAAGGACTATCCCCGTGACATTTTTCTTTACACAGGTGCATGCACGATTTGAAGGCACGGCCGCACGCGTGTTGGCATATCCCATGGTCTTCTCGGATGACTTTGCCATCTTCTCTTTTCTTACATACATTGCAAGATTTCGGACAATTATGGCCGCACGGAAGAGCTTCACCGCAGTTGGCGTTGCAGAAAAAGTCGTTGGTTTCAACGCTCTCATAGCATGAAAGTTCAACCTGATGGCCACAACCAGGGACAACTCGAGTAACCCTACCCTGGCAGACTACCTTGGAAGGATGTCTAGCTTGCCAACACGGCAGGGCATTTCGCATGTGGCCGCAAGGCAGGATGATCTGGAGGTCGTGCAGCTCCTCCGGGCATTTGACAGGACAGGCATCTCCGCACTTGTTAGGGCACATGTGGTCACATCCTTTCAGAGACCTGGGACATGGCTCGAGGCATTTGACAGCACTGTGCAGCATTTGCGAACGGCATTTGCTGAGGCAGGAATGTCCACAACTCAAGCGCATTTCGCATGGCAGGTTGCACCCTCCTTCAGGCGAGAAGATGGCGAAGTCGTCCGGTTTCGAAACGGAGAATGTGGCTTGTGGATGGCGGGGACACCGAAGTGGAAGCGAGTCGCCGAAATTATCGTCAGATTGAAGCATGTCGATCACAGAAGCCCACACCGGGACGTGACCAGAGGTTCGCGTGTCCCCGATGATGTACATTCCATGTTTGGCGCGGGACAAAAGGACGTTGACTCGGTTTGATGTCCGAAGGAAGCCACACTTGTTCTGGTCGTTGCTCCTCACCAATGAAATGATTACGACTTTGGCCTCTTCCCCTTGAAAGTTGTCAATGGTAGACACTTTGAGTGCCCGCGAGAGAGGGGTCTTCTGGAGTGCAGGTGTGGCACTATGACCCGCCTCATTATTGTCCTTTCCAATTTCTTCTCTTTCCAATTCAAGCATGTCGCCTTCGGTCAAGGAGATCTCGAACAACCCTTGGAGGGCTCGGTGGATTTTCTGAAGTTGGCCAAGGTAGGGAGTGAGGACCGCTAGATCATTCGTGTGGTAGACACCCTGTCTGACTAGATGAGACACCAGTGCAGTGACCATCTGGACTTCAAAGGTATTCGAATGGAAAGTTGTCGTATCCGAGTAAGAGAGCACACCATCCTCATGGTGTGCATGGTCGAGCCAGAAGAGTCTCTTGGCTAGTCCAGCCACAGGTGGATATGATTCGACCTCTGAAGAGTCACTCAACCGTGGATACAACGTATTGCGGATGAGTTTGGAAATCGAGGGATGCATTCGTCGCTGTGTCTCCAGGGTGCTAAATGGCACTGCAGTCTGGGTGGAGCACGAAGGCGTTACCAGTCTTTCGAACAGGGATATATCCAAACAGTGTCGCTTTCCCAAAGAACTTTCTCTCGACAGTTCGTAGCTTTGGATATGGGGAGGAAGTTGAAGATGGTCACCGATCAAGATTGCGTGCTCTAGAGAAGGCAGGAGAGCGGTACGAATATGCGCCTCAAGCACTTCTCCAGCCTCTTCGCAGACAAGGACCTTGGAATTGAGCTTTCGAAGAATTGGCAACGTTCTCGCCAGACCTGTAGTGGTTACGCCGATAATCTTAGCCTGTTGCAAACATCGAAGATCAACGCCTGCCCGGACTTGATCGAATCGTTCCTTGTGTTCCTTGTAATTGTGCCAGAGCGTTCAATAGTTCGGCCTGGGCTGTCTTTTTGGATTCTGCCAACCAATGGCAATACAGCCGCTGTCTCTCAAAATGATTCAAAGACTCGATGTTGGGCACCTGGAGTAGACTCTCTAGTCGGCGGACAGGACCTTGAGGTGAGCCACCTTTACGCCATGCATTTAACAGGTATGTCTTGTGACGCACAACCCTCTCAAATCCATCGTCGTCCTCTCCACCAGCAAAAAGAGTCTTGTAGGATTTGGGGTAATAGATTTCGAGGTAGCTTTTCAGTGCGGCGACATCTCCTTCGAGCGAAAGTCTCTTAATGGCCCTGGAAATAATTCTTTCGTCTTCATCAAGCCTTAACTTCAGCACCCAGTGTTCATGTCTCTCGGTTTTGGTCAAATCAATATTGCTGGCCAGAATACGGAGGTTGCAATTCTGCAATGTCTCGGACTTCGACTGGGAGCCAATACGGACAATCTGACCGATGCCATGTCGCACCAGGTCTTCTAAAAGTTGATCAAGTGCGTGGTTAGTGTAGCAAACGCACAGCACCGGACCAAGCTTAGCCTGTGCCTGTATTGCCATCAGCACCTTGATGAGAGCCACCCCAGTGAAGCTCTTGCCCGTCCCGGGGGGTCCCTGTATCAGAGCGAGGGAGCGCTGGAGAGATGTGAGAAGCGCATCGGCCTGTGCTCTGCCAAGAATGGAGTTCTCACGGAACGCCTCGTGGTTGGAATCATCATTGACGGCAATCTTCATCACAGTCTTGTCTTTCATGATGCAGCTGAGGTCGAAACCAAACCCGGGTCTGGTGGCGTAGTAGGGGGCTGCAATTTTCGATAAATCTGCTTGGGGCTCAGGTGCCAGGTAGTCTGAGAAGGGCATCTCGGGATTTCGGAGCATTGCTCGCAAAGCTCGCAAGGTCGGCTCGAAGGAGGGCAGCAGAACACCAGGGAACTCAACTATTTTGGCGGAAGCGGAATTAGGGGCTTTCATGAGATCCAGGACGGCCTCTGTCCTGTCGCTGACCAACGAGACGGCAGTGAAGGCTCGAACAGGGTCCGAGAACAGGTACTGAGGTTGTTCAGGTCGATTTGGAATCTTCTCGTCGTCTGAACTGGATGAGTCGTCGGGTTTTGCTAAGGGTTTGGTTGGCTTGCGCTCAATAACCGAGCAGAATATCAAAGCCCCATTGGAAAGAAGGCAAAGGAGGGAGCCTACACGGAGGCGTTTCTGAAATTCCCACCATTCCTTCCTGTGTTTGGCCGAGCGTTGCCGAAGATGAGAAGGCTGGTCGAAGCCGATGGTGATCAGCAGGCCCTGCCATCTGTTGAAATCGATTTTCACAACCCGGGCGTTGTCGTATGTCAATTTCCGCGAACCTTGAGGTTTACCTCTATTTTCTAGACTGTGGGAAGCTTGCACCTCTTGCCTCACAGCATCCCTAAGCTGCCCCACGGTATCTTCTCGAAGAAGACGGAAGTGTCGATCCAGAAGTCCTAAAACTCCGGGGAGATGCCAGTCCTGCTGATTCATGGACGGCAGATATTCAGAGCGTGTTGCAGATTTCTTCGAATGTGGGCATAATCTGTATATCACAAGCGTTGACGCAGTCGTTGTCATGCCGCGGCCCGTCCTTGGATAAAGCCCCGGGCAGGTCTTGCTGCAGAGCGAAAGTGGCCTTTGGGAACGCTGTTGTCTTTGGCGGCTTCCAACCTGTCAGCTCTCGCCCGATCCCTAGTCGTTGATTGATGCGGTTCACTATTCTCCTTGACTCGTGAGCTTCACCCTCGTCGAGTTTGGCCACGACATCAAACAGGGAATCTGCAAGCAGCCTGAGGTCATCATTCACCAAGGCGTGAGTATTGCAGTCAATGATGTTCGAGAAAGCCTTGACGACCGCTTCGATTTCCGAGGGCAAAATGTCAACTTGGCTACAGTCTGCGATGGTAGCAATGAGGGTCTTGAAGAATTGTACGGCACGCTGGCCTTGGACGCCGTAAATGAAGTTGTAAATTGTTCCAACGTGGACCTCGAGCAAGGTGGACGCGAGTACGTGTTGATGGGTGATGACTTGACACAGTGGTATTGCTTGCTCTTTGATCATTTTCCGGCGCGTGGTTAAGCTCATGCCATCCATACTGCGCTCGACCACTTGCTTTATTCGTTGTAATCCACCGTCCTTGGCCAGGATGAGAACTGTCTCTTGCATTATTCCCACTTCGGAGCCCACATATGCGAGAGCATTTTGGAAGAAGAGGGGGGGAAGAGGTGTTGGAGAGAAGCCATTTGCGCCGTGAGGGACGGATAGTTTCCAGGTACTGAATCTGTCGTCTGGCTCGTTTCTTGTCTGCCGGGGTCGATTGAAACGGTGTTCAGCGGTGTTTGCGAGACTCGCAGACGGACCGCCAGCAGCAACATGGGGAAATATGCATCTAGACCCGTAATGGCAGCGACCAGTATTGAGAAACAACCTGCACACCTTCCGGGGGTTATCATGTGCTTGAGAGCGCGGTGCCATGCTATACCAGTCAGATCAAAGTCCACATAGGAGGAAGCAAAGAATATGTTCTGCCCGTGGTTAGAGGAACAGTGACAGAATAGGCGGATGCCGCAGAGATACGTCTTCACAAAAGAGCGAGGGGTCGTGGTGAGGCTGTAGGAGATGCCTTAGAGGACCAGAGCAGGCTGGCTCTTTTGGTCGTCCGATGGGCAGTGCTTGCCTGACATTGGCGAGCTGCAGGTGAAGCCGAACGCGGTTTGCCTGCAGGCATCCATTCTACCGCCTTTCCAGTCATATTGGAGCAAGCCCTCATCTTCCAGATGATATGCAAATGTGACACCATTCCGGCCAGGATTGCCCACCGAATGGTGGTCTACTGGTCGGTCAAATGAGGCTGATTTCATCCAATGTAGCCAGCGATTTTGATCCTTGAGGGCAGCGGCCCCAATGAATTCTTTTGCCACGACATGGCCGCGGGTCTGTCCGTGACCTCTGCCGAAAGAACTGAGGGTACGTTTGTCTCTGATATGTCCAAGTGAGGCTGAGGTCCGGCGTCAACTGAGGGGTATTGACCAGTCTCGCCAGTTGCCAGGATGCAGCGACCCAAAACGTGGCCGAACCATATGGTCAATTAATCTGACATTGCGGCGGACCGGGTTCTCCATTGGTTTCCTGTAGAATCTAGACAACAGGCATTCGAACATTGGGTTGCCATGTGATAAGCCATCAGCCACTGAAGAGGGAGTTGGAGGGAGTTGAAAGCGATTGAATGAGATGAAGAGATGAAAATGAAGTGGAGCAAGCGCAGGGAAAAGCTAAGATGAATGGGGCCGGTACAAGGACGAGGTGTAGTGGAGTTGGAGGGCCCCAGGCCTACTGAGGCTCAAGAGGCTACCTAGGTAAGTACTTGTAGGCAGCTTAGCTAAGAGCCCACCCCCCCCCCCCCCCCCCCCGGGGGAAACCCTACCTACAGGTACCTAAGCTTAGGTGCCTCCTGACCAGCCGCTGGCCTACCGGTTTTATAACTTCCTCAACCTCTTGCGATTAAGAACCTCTACACCACGGAGGTTACACAAGGCCGATTTGCCTGTTTTAGTAACACAAATGAAATATATTTACAGACACCTACCGACAAATGATTTTAAGTGTTTTCGTATTTAATGGAGGCACCTTTGAGTGAAGTATCTGTGCAGTATTGGGCTGGCTGGTATAGCGAAGTACTCAACCCCGAACACTCTGCATTCGACGACAACTCCAGTTCAGCATGCACAGCCACTGGATCAATTGACCCGTCTGCTGAGTCGACTCTTATCGACGTTAAGTCTTGGTGTTCAGGGGCTATATACAGATCCACCTCTCCGTCCTCCTTGCGACTCCTCGGCCCCGTGGCCCTGTACTTCGCTATATTCCTGACCAAGGCTTTCGCGAGCCACGGCCAGCACAGCACAGCCTCGCTACGACATGAAAAAATATTTGCTTGGACCAATGTGCACTCGCATAGTAGTCGGTAGATTGTTCACGCCGGCTTCATGAGCTTCCTGATTGCTTCGATAGAGCCAAGATTGATCAAAGAGGCAAGAGCATGGTGGGACAATGGACCATGCTTGGCGACCTAGCGAGAATCGTAGACTCTGGGCGATAATGTCTAGAGAGATCGCCCCGATGCCATCTCCCGGGTCGAATCTCGCGCATGTTTGGTTGAAAACAGTGGTAAAAGCGGGGCGAGGGAGGTGCACCCTTTCGACTCACTCAGAATAGAGGTACAAGGGGTATATACCTGGTATACCTCGTACGGAGTGCCTAATAAGGCGTATCTATACGAGCGGATGTATATATGGTAGGATTCGGGGCCGAGATGGAGGACCTGAATCACGGGACTCCCTTAAACGAGCTCATGGTAGCATCTTGGCGTACACTAGTCTTTATTAGGAATGGTACACGAGCACTAGTTAACGAGTCCCGCCTTGTTTGTTGCTTCTGCCCAATAAGCTCCCTGAATTCACCTCTTGTTTGCACAAAGGCGCACAACTTGCACAAATTGGGTCTGCAAGCGAGTTTCGGCCCGCTTGGGAGGGGAGTTTTTGTGGTCTTTTCCAGATTGTTGTTACCCGTCTCGCCGTGTTTCTTCCTCGGTACATAAGTCTAAAAGTGCATTTTACCCTCCATCTCTGAATGGCTTCACGATTCATCAAAACGCTACCAGACCGCCATACACAGTCGACACGTTCAGAATGGCTGAGGATACCAAGGAGGGTGTCGAGGACGTCCGTACGGACGTCAATGACTTCATCGTCGACTGGGATGGGGACGACGACCCCGAAAACCCGATGAACTGGACATCCCGGATGAAGGCGATCAATATCGGCATGCTCTCATGTTTGACTTTTGTCACGTATGTTATATAGACGACCTGGAAATTCTCCCTGGCGACCAACTATTCAAGATTGCTGATACAGTTCTACCCTCCAGCCCGCTCGCGTCCTCCATGTTCGCGCCAGGTATCCCCGGCGTGATGAAAGACTTCAACCAGTCGAGTGTCATTCTCGCCGCGCTCGTCGTCTCGGTCTACCTGGTCGGCTACGCCTTTGGTCCCCTTGTTTGTGCGCCCATGTCGGAGATCTATGGGCGGTTGCCGGTTTACTTGATCACGAACGTCCTTTTCGTTATCTTCACCGTCGCCTGTGCCGTGGCCCCGTCGCTCGACAGCCTCATTGGGTTCCGATTTCTGGCGGGTTCAGCGGGATCGGCGCCTCTGGTGCTTGGTGGAGGAAGTGTGGCAGATTTGTACCCGAGAGAGAAACGAGGGTCGAAGATGGCCATCTTCGCAATGGGTCCGTTGATAGGTCCCGTCGCTGGTACGTTTGGACGCCCTCTGTGCTAGCCTCTGTATGGAGCAACTATAACAGATGTACTCACTCTATGATCAGGTCCCGTGGCAGGTGCCTTCCTCTCGCAGAATGTCGGGTGGCGATGGGTTTTCTGGGTCATTACTATTGCGGTAGGTGGTAACAACAGCGATAATTTTCATCCCATTCTCCAACTAACGGATGGACCAGGCTGGAGTTGTTATGGTCATGTGCTTCATCTTCATGAGAGAGACCTACGCTCCTGTCCTCCTCGAGAGAAAAGCCGCCAAACTCCGGAAGTCGACTGGCAATGCGCAATACGTCTCGAAGATGTCGACGGATGACACCCCTCGCGCGGCTCTTATAAAGGCCCTGATCCGCCCAACCAAGATGTTCTTCATGTCTCCAATTGTCTTCATTTTTGTTGTATGTCATTCCCTTCGCTATCCTCCCCTCGGCAACAAGCAAAGGTTCTCAGCACCCTCTAACCCTCGTCCACTGCGTGCTTTAGATTTACATCTCCATCGTTTACGGCTACCTCTATCTCCTCTTCACCACCATTACCGAGATTTATGAGACTACATATGGCTTCTCGACCGGTCTCGCGGGGCTCTCTTACCTGGGTATTGGTATCGGCATGTTCATAGGGTTAATCTTGTTCGGCGCCACCAGCGATAAGCGCATCCGCGCGAAACAAGCCCAAGGCGACGTGTCACCCGAGATCCGGTTGGAAGGGCTAATACCGGCCGCATTTTGCATCCCAATTGGGTTGTTCTGGTACGGATGGTCGGTAGAGAAGGAGATCCACTGGATTATGCCCATCATCGGTACTGGCTGGGTTGGATTGGGGCTCATGGGCATTTTCGTGAGTACACGCCTTTTGTTCTTGTCATTATCTGGAGGTTTGGTAGTTTTTTATTTGTTGCTTCCTCTGCTAACTAAGAGCCAATGTTTCAGATGGCTGTCCAAACATACTTGGTCGACTGCTACCCACTCTTCGCCGCCAGCGTCACGGCCGCCAACACCATCGTCCGTTCCCTTGTGGGGGCCTTCCTTCCACTCGCCGGTCGACCCCTGTACTCCAGTCTCGGGCTGGGTTGGGGCAACAGCCTGCTCGGGTTCATCGCACTCGGAATGGCCCCTCTGCCATTCTTCTTCATGAAGTACGGCGCCTGGCTCCGAACCCACCCAAAGTTCCAAGTGAGCTTCTGACCAGAAAAATCCCCTGCCCTTCTTTCTCGGAATTATATTTTTACTATTTGACGACATGATAGAGACACGGCACGGCCTGTCTATTGTGAGTTTGTTATTGAGCCAGTAATCTTTGCGACCATTTGTCACAGAGCACGAGGATACATGGGGTTTGGGTGGGAATATATTTGTGAACCAAAAGAGCCGGGAGGTGCAGGCGTCGTTGGATAGATGGGAAAAGGCTGGGGAAATGATCCATTTTAGCACCGGGACAGGTACTGCTTCCCATTTTTTTTTCTTCTGAGCGTTGTGCAGATGCACAGACTGTGCCGTTACCAAGTAGAATACATACTGTATGTACCTCGTACTTTGGCATGCATTCCTTCTCCGTCACCCTCGCCATGGGTGAGATGATGGATCTTTGTTTCCTGTTCCCGGATCAATCCATCAATTAGTTAGAGGAAATGGATTCCATTCCTAGTCGAAGTTGACCTAGAAGCGACATACTCGATTGTCATTGGGATCATACAAAGTCCAAAACAGCCCTTGACAGTTCTCAGGGTCAGAACTGGATGCTCTCACAAGGCTCGCAATGAATGACAAGGCTGCGCTATCGCCTCGCATGTTGTCCGTCATCGGTTGACCGCCAAGGCGCTAGTCCTCTAATGGTACATGTGCTTGGCATAACTTCATGTCCATGCTTGATCGACCTGGTATGACATTTCCCGATTCCAAGGACCTCCCTCCCAGCAACCCCACAGAAATATGCTTGCCGAACACAGAAATTAGGATGAAGCTGCTAACGAAATAGAAAGTAGTGATCGCTCTGTACTAATTCCAGAATCCCATTGCATCCTCCCGTCTGCCTTAGCCAGCCAACACAAAAGCAATCGGCACGTCCGCTCCATTAATACCTGCAATCCTTCAGACTCTCTTGTTTGCCGAGAATGGTCAGGACAGCGCCACGAGCCCATCCCGGGCGATCACCAAGTCGAGAACGTCTGCTAGTCGGCTGAGGTGAGAGACGAGTGGCTTACTATTCAGGATCTGGCATGGGGTCCAGCCTTTGCGATTACTAAACGTTCCCGCGGTGTTTTCGGTTCGTAGGCGGAGAATCCACAACCATCGATGGTACTTTGATGGTGATTTATATCGACGAGGGGATCCGTCCCCCATGGTCCTCAGTGGCTCTCTACAGCTATCCCAACAATATCTGACACGATGCAAGCACCACCAAGCTCAACGATCCAGATTCCCGAAACATACACGACCCCGGCAGACAGCCATGTGCGAGTCACCAACCACCCGGAATCTGCTCCTGGAGTGACACCCATCCTCATCGTGAGCCTGAACCGGCCTGATAAACTCAACTCCTTCACCGGCGAAATGATAACGGGGCTGGAGTCCTTTTTCCGGGTCGTCGATTGCGACAGCCGGGTCAAGGTCGTGATCCTGACAGGGGCGGGACGGGCGTTCAGCGCCGGCATTGATTTGAACCTCGACGCCGCTCCGCCCAAGGACATCCCCATCACGGACATTCGAGACACGGGTGGGAGGCTGGCGTTGTCCATGTACAACTGCAGCAAGACGGTGATCGTGGCATACAACGGGTTGTCCGTCGGCATTGGGATGACGGCCACCCTCGCAGCAGGTATCAGGTAATGTGCTCTCGTATCCCATCCCGACTCAAACCCACCCTCTTCACCCTTATTCTCCTGTCCACGCGCACGTGCACGTTGCATATGACACAAGAGTGCTAAAGAGAAAACCATGACCCTGCAGGATCGCAAGCCCCAAATCGCGCTTCGGGTTCCCCTTTTCCCGCATCGGCCTGACCATGGAGTCGGCGAGCTCCTTCTTCCTGCCACGCATGGTCGGCTACGGCCGCGCGACGTACCTCCTGACCACGGGGGCCACGTACCCGGCCGACTCCAAGGCCCTGGACGGCATCTTCTCCGAGCTGGTCCCGGAGCCCAAGGACGTGCTGCCGCGCGCCGTGCAGCTGGCCGAGGAACTCGTCGAGCGCGTCAGCACCACGGCCATCCACCTGAACCGCCAGCTCATCTGGCGCAACGCTGGGTCTGCAGAGGCCGCGCACCTCGTCGACAGTCCCTTGCTGGCCCACCAATTCTCTTCCAGGTAAGTCGCCCCCCTGACCCGAGACTTTGCCTCGCCTCTCAACCTTCTACATACATGCACAAATGCACAAGAAGACCTCCAACAAACAGAGCAAGACCATTCCACTGACCAATGGTGACACGTACTGTATGTATGTATATATAGGGACCACGCCGAAGCCAAACGCGCCTTTTTCGCCTCTGGCAAACCAGACTTCCAGGACCAACTCGACAAGGACGCCCCCGTCACGTATCCCTGGTGGACGGCGCCGGCCGTCGACCCCAGACCTGCCGTGACACATGCGGCCACTCCGAAATCCAGGCTCTAAGTCAACCTGATTAGGGTTGGTGTTGCGGTTGGGTTGACACAGCGTATGTGGATGCATCTTTCTGCCCAGCGCTACAAGTGCGGATGATGGCATTGTTTCCAGAATCCATTGACCTTTCCCAGCACGCATGGGCGGATTTCTCGTGTCTTGGTTTTGTGACTTGGTCAAACTTCCCATACAAAAGACAGACAGCCACGGTCACCTTTTCGCCGATCCTACAAAGAACCCACAGTCTAGTCCTCACGGCCGCTTCCAAGGAAATCAGCAAAAATACATATCCTGATAGCCATTTAAACGACGACCACATCTGTCTACTCTTCACACAGACACGTCTTTGACACTCTTAATCTGGGAGAAGGGGAGAGCTGTAAAGGTTGTCCAGAGTCTATTCAATAATAACAATATCTCTATCGGCTCGATCTGTTCGTGTTCTAAAATGGTGTCTATGCCACGGATACTTTTTCTCTTTTTTTTTTTTTTTTTTTTTCCCACCTGTTCCTCCCTGCATTTTGGCCGTCTCTTCCTCTTTTCAATTTCCACCCATCTTTCTCATTGCCACAAGAAGCTTCTCTTCTATTGCAAGCTCATTTTGAGGCTCAACTGGAATTGGCTGTTGCGAACTTATCCTACCCTCTAGCTTTGTCTTCATGCCCCCCCCAATATCCTCTTTTGTGGCAGCTGCTTGACAAACAGCTGCTTCGCTTGGCACTTTCACCGCGTTGGAAGGGACTCCACCATCAATTTTGGGAAGCGCTCGCCTCATTGCTCCCAGGAATCGTTCTTCGTCGGTTGACTCTGTCCCACCTGGATTAGCAGCAATTTCTTCCGAGTCGGGCTCCTCAGCCGATTGCATAGTTGATGTTGGGCTTTCCAGGACAGGATGTTCTAGCTTTTGAGACTTCCCAGACTTGGAGTGCATGAATTGTAGGAACTGATTCTCGAAGAGATATTTTCCAGATTCACGGAAAATTTCATCACCTGATAGCTGAGCCTGTTTTCCACAATTGGGACAGCCGTCAGAGAATGTCGTGGCAGAGTAGGGATGGGATTGACGGCACATGGTCAGGGATCCGAGCTGGTAACGCCCCCATAGGTTCTCGATCTTCCGTGTATAGTCATTTTTGATCTCCGGGATAGATGGCGGTTTCGAACCATCGAAACGCTCGAATGCCGTGATAATATCCTGTGCAGTCGCCATCAACAGGGCACAAGTCCCGGGAGATTGGCGGCAAATTGCGGTTACCGCGTCCAAGCCAGCTCTGACCGTATCATCGTTCACGTCCGTGCAGTCGTCGTCACTAGGATGCCCAAGCTCAAAAAGCTGAGCTCTTGTCGATTTCACAAAGAGCATGAACTGGAGCTGTTGCAGCCTAATTTCAGCCTCAAGTGACGGGTGTGTATCAGTCAAAGTATTGTCCAATGCACCTTGACAATATCTTGCGCATGAAATTGATTCTTTGTAGACGAACTGAAGAATTTTGATGCCCAGACGTTGGACGCCGAAAGAGGGGTCTGGAAGCGAAAGAAGCTGATTTGAAAGCCTCAGTGCATCACAAAGGCGTACGACGACCACCCTGAACTCCAAGACGTCAAGGTGAAGATGGATTCCCAGATTATACGAGGGGATGACATATGGGAAAATCCCATGTAATGTCATCATGCTGCTCTGAAATCGATCCACAACGTTGCTTCGGAAATTGATAATATTCTTCTGGAGATCAAGTATCTCTTGGTTCCGACGAAGAACGAGACCAGCATTCGCTTTAGCCGCCAAGGGATTGGGTCTGATTTCTTTGGCACACATCTCCAACGTCTGGTCCAACTGCTTTCTTTGCATGTCGACCGCCGCGGCGAAGGAAGCTATCCGGCGGCCCATTTTGGCGAGAAGAAGGTCAAAATTGTGCTTCAAGTCAGCCAACTTTTCGTGGATTTGGTAACGGCGAATATCCTTCATCGGCGCTCCACACCAGCATTCTGGCGGTTTGACATCATTTGACCTCAGCCCAGAGTTGATTGATACAATAGACCCCTCAACGTCGACATCGTAAATGCCATGGAGATTGAGGTTATCCAGATGAGCAATATCTGTCATGTGTCCGCATGCTGGAGAATAAAGTACTCTTGGGCCTCTTACCCCATTCAGGCATTCCCGGCAGAGCTCTGGTGGAGGGCACATCTCGCCATGAACTGATGGGCAATCGTGGCCACATTCCAGAGTCCGAGGACAGGGCCGACAGCAGGGCAATGACAGATTGGGTAGACAACAGAGGATTTCCGATGGTGTTTCGTGTTCACAACCAACGGCTGGTTGCTTGACACAAGGGTCGCAGATGTCGTGGCACCGGTTCCTGCAAGGTCCATGCTCGCACCTCTTCAAGCAGGATTCAACACACGATTTTGCGCATGATTTTCCGACATGACAAGTCTCCTTGCAGTGATGGCCACATACTTTCAGGCGATTGCATATATACGTGCAAGGTTTATGCTTTTCGGAGGTTCTGTTTTTGCAGACACCGCATTTCCCACTGCAAAGATGCCCGCAGGAAAGTGGCGCACCACATGCTTGCTGGCATACGCTCTTGTCCTCAGTAATTTCACCACAAAAGATGCTTATGGAATGACCACAGCTGAGAAGTTTTCTGTCTATGACGGTCTTGCACTCAGGAGTGTCTCCTGAGCAGAGGCTCTTTCCAGGATGTCCGCAGCTGAGGGTAACTTCGTCGATGGTAGTCGTGCACTTTCCGCATTTCTGAAAACACAGTTTTTCACACTTGTGTCCGCACGGTTGGAAGATCCTGGTACATTTCTCTTGACAGGATAGGCGGGAATGGAGCTGAGGTGGGTGACATCTCTCTTTGCATACGTGACCGCAGGGTAAAGCCATGCCGCAAGGCGCTGCGCATTCTGGGACGCTTTGAAAGTCTTCTGGGTGCTCAACAAGATGGCGGTGGGCGGGATGCACATGACAGTGCGTCACTATTGAACCTCCGATCTTTCCATCGAGAGCTTTGATGACTTCCCTCCACCTGGGTACTTGAGACAAGGTCTGGGAGTTGCCCACAATGTAAAAGCCGTTACGAGCCCTGCTGCACGCGACGTTGATGCGATTCAATGTCTTCAAGAAGCCGGGATTACCTCCGCTTCGGACCGTGCTGAGTATGATAACCCTCGCCTCTTCACCTTGAAAGTTGTCAACAGTTGCGATCCTGAGCATGTCGGCGATCGCAACTTCGTCCTTGGTAGCCCTTCTTTCGTCACCCAGGCTAAGAGCCTCGTCACTAAGTAATGCTTCTCTGTCTTTTTCGTAAAGCCATAAATTGCAGTTTGTTGCTAGCCGCTTGTAGAGTTTCACCAGCTGGCCCGCATATGGAGTCAAGACTGCAATTTCTCCTTGCGAATACGCACCACTGTGAAGCAGATGTTCGACAAGAGAGGCAACCATCTCAACCTCGTGCAAATTAGCGTGTGACTTTAAATCGTCCGATTCAAGTTCCGGAACTCGATGGTCCCACCAAAAGACTCTGTGTGCAAGGCCATGAGTCGGCGAGCGTTGGAGGGTAGATTCGTGATCCGTGAGATAGGGATAGGTCAAGCGAGTAATGTTTGCAATTTCAGGATGCATGCGGCGTTGGACCCTCAAGTGACTTGATGGTATTATCGATGCCGACCGATCATGAGGGAACATCATTCGCTCCAGCAAAGACTCATCCAATCGATAGTCACTCCCAATTGAAGTCTCGAGACTTAAGGTCTGTTCATTTGTCTCAGGCCGCAACTGCTGGGGATCGCCAATGAAGATTGCATGTTGTAATGAAGGGAGCAAAGTACACAGTGCATGTGCCTCCATGACTTCCGCAGCTTCTTCACAGATGAGGATCTCGAGATCAAGTGATCGCAAAAGCTCCCAGCGGGCGGCGCATGCAGTGGTGGTCATCGCGATGATATTGTGAGACGACATGACTCGCCCATCGCGCCCATCGTTGATTGTCTTGATTTTGTCTGTGAATCCTTGCAATTCAGAGTACAGTGAGGCTATCTTGTTCGCAAACTTTTCTTTGTCTACCTCCGCTTCCCAGCGCCGAAGCATAAGTTGACGCTCGTTCAAAGGCAGGTTCCAGACGCTGGACGTTCCAGCGTTTGCACTTTGGAGCTCGGCATGGTAAGATATGTCAAGAAGTGTTCCATCTACATGTTCTTGGGTAGGCTTAGCACCGTCGTTCGAGGTTTGGGCCAACCTCTGAGCGAGTTCAAGGTGTAAATCCCGAATGGTCTTCAAGTCTCCGCCTTCTGACCAGTATTCAAAGGTAAAGGAATGCGCAAGCGAGACGCGAGAATTGGTCGAGAACTGAGAATGTATATTGGGGTATTTAATGCGTAGAACGTCCTCAATATAGTGCCAAGGAGAGGTCGCAGTGTGCGTTTGGCAAGAAAGTGCTGTTTGTACTTAGCTCCGCTCAGACACGACGAATGGAAGATGATCATACCTTTGCACAATGAATCGAGCTCTGCAAATAGCAGCTTCTTCTGGAGGTCATGGGCATGCAGCATTTGGGACTCCTCTTTAGTCAATCGTGTCTTTCGTCGCAAGTTGCGGAGATTGATTGCCCCCGTCCAGGCTTCCTTGCTAGCGGAACCGACTCGAAGTAGATTGGAGACACCAGCATCTCGCAGGTCGGCAAGAAAACTGTCCAGGGCATGATTCGTGAGACACACCAGCAGGATAGGTTTCTGTGACGGGCGGGAGTCGAGAAGCGTCTTGGCCAGCTGGACACCAAGAAAAGTTTTGCCGCATCCAGGTGGACCTTGTGTGCATGCAAACTCCCGCAGGAGACTGTCTCTGAAGGCTACCGCTTGACCTTCATCCAGAGTGGTTTCGCGGTTGAAGATCTCTAGAGTGGAGGGGCGCGACAATTCCTTTACCGATGCAGAGGCAATTGGGCATGTCGGTGGGACAAGCTTCGTGAGATTGTATGAGAAATCTGATGAGAGGGCATAAGGAGGGGGACATGGGAACTGGGAGGGGATGCCGGCGATAGAGTGCAGCTGTGCGGCAGAATAGGCCTCGGTGGGATGCTTATCAGGAGCGACATAGCTCTTGAAAGCAAAGTCTGACTCTCTCATCTGTTGCAGCCGCCTGAGACAGTTGTAAAGTCCGGCGAAGAGAGCCTTGGGGAATTCTATGAGGTAGAGTTCGCTTCCTCCGCAAAGACCCAGTGCATGGCGGCAGAGTTGAAGGACGTCATCGGGGGTGGTTGTTGGGAGGAAAGAGAGCTGGACTGCTGCTCGAGTGCCACGTCCGCCAAAACATTCCATAGAAAAGGTGGTTTGAGCTTGATGAACCTCGAGGAAGTAGACAGCCAACTTCATGGTGGCATGGTCCAGTTGTAGCAACGCAACAAGCATGCCGTTTTGAAAACGGCCGGAGTGGTAGAGCTTCTGCGCCCTCATGAATGGAGGGCAGTCGTAACTGACACGGACCGTCATCGCCATCTGCTCATGGGAAAGCAATTCTTCGACTTTAATATTGTTGTAAAGGAAATACCGGTTGCCAGACATGGTCTCGCGACGGACAACATGATCTTCAGGAGCGGTACCGGTGCTCAGGAAGGCGACTTGTGAGGCTGAGTAGCAAATATCTCGAATGCTTTCAATGCTGTCATATCGAAGTTGCCTGAAAAGGGTATCCAATAGCCTGCCAGGCCCGTTTTCCAGGAAGTGTGGTGTGTAGAGATCTTTCTTGGGCATGAACGTTGGTCGATAGACGGCGAGGATTTCATCGGCAGTTGGGAGGATTTTGATCTTTCTGTAGTCTTCATGATCGTTGTCGTGGCGCGGACCGGAGATCGAGAGCTTCCCAGGGCCATCATCTGTGAAGGGGAGGCGAGGGCGCGGATCTGGAGAAAGGACGTTCATGGAGAGACAGCTAATGCTTTGTTCTGCTGAAGAAGCGGAAATATAAGCCTTCGCGGTCGCGGCCATGATGTAGTCGCGGCGTTGAAGTCATCTGCGCCGCAAAATCGTGCACAGCAAGGAGGAGGAATAGATTCAACGCCACGAAACTGTGAACGGCAAGGACGAAGAGGTCGCGGCATCTCTCATTCCTTGACGGGGATCTTTCGTGCGAGCTCAATTGACGGATCTCGTCTTGGCGCGCAACAATCACTTTCGATTGTGAATCTAGAAGACTCAGTGAGTCTTCTGGAATCATCGAGGTGGCTGGGGCGTGACACGCCGTCGTTGAGTGAAGGTGAGGCAAGAGGTTCTGCCAATTTTTAATTTTTTTTTCACGGCACCGCGGCCAGGCGCGCGCAGCTAGAAGGCCAGCGCAGTGGTCCTTGTTGATGATTGAAATTTCACGTTCTGAGAGTGCAACCTTTGCCAATTTATATCCAGCTCTCTGCCTGTTAGCTTCAACAGCAGCCATTCAGCTTCACATAGCCGCGACTCTGACACGTTGTCACTATAGCCCTTGACCTTTGCATGATCGTCATCTACCGGCGAACGAGAACGACAAAGCTCCAACCATGAAACAGTAAGCATATGATACCTTTTCCCACTCCAAACCAATGTCCTCATACTATGCGCAGACTTGGACCCCCATGATTCTATAGCGTGATGCAGAGAGAACCCCCCTCTCCCGCAGGTCGCTTCGGAAGACGCCAGCCGCGCATTGAATGCGCTATTCCTCTACAGACCAGGGATTGGGATATGCACAAGAGAACTGTACCATTCTGAGGAAAGCACGCTCGTGACATTAGTTCGAAGAGGATATTTTGCGAGTCCGTTTGTGGTCAGAGACAGGATCAGAGGACGCGGCAGTTTCAGACCGACACACGAGGAGAGTCGTTGGAACTTGGGGACAAGCCACAGTCTGTAAGAGGCAACTATAGCGAGTACGGAGAAGATATCCGAAGTCCCTATTCTTGGAGAATTGGAACAGTGGGGCTTCAAACACTTAGGGAGTAATATTGATGAATCTAAGTCTGCTCACCAGAGTCTGTACACTGCTAACCACGTGTGCCCTAAGCATCAGTAGATTGTCGAAGAAATGTTCCCGGATCCGCTGAACAGATTTCCCTGCGTTCCTTTCACCCAGTGACTAAAAGTTCTGCTGCCTTTGCCCTCCAGCAAAATATGTAAATCCTCGCTCTCTGGTGGCAGTTGCACTCCATTTCCGGGTTTGGGATACAGTGCGGCGAGCTCATCGAAGTAGCCGTCATACCCTTCATCTACCTCATGCTCCTCGCCAGCATCTTTGTCGCCAAAGGAAGGAACTTTCGAGACTGGTGTTACATAGGTAGAAGTGAACTGCGCTTGGGGCATTGCCAATTGTGGAGGCGCCGGGGTTTGGAACAAAGGCAAGTCCGGTGCCAGGTCTGAAGCCTGAAGAACTAATGCCACGAGATCATCCAGGGAAAGGGTTTTCAAGTACGCTTGTCGTTGCTCGAGGCGGAGGAAACGACCTCCTACTCGTGGCCCGGTGAAAGTGGGTTTTGGCTCGACGACGGGAGATGCCACAACTGCGGACTGGGTGCTTCCTTTCCCATTTATCTTCTTATCCTTCTTTTTCCCATGCAGAATACGGTCACATTCAGAGCAGAACCACTCGGCTTTGGAGTCAGTAACCGTGTGTGTAGAGATCCGGGGTTCATGACAGCGTTGATGCCAGCACTTGTTACACGCATCGCAGAAGACAATCACATTTCCCGGAGGACCATGCCCGCGCAAACAATGCTCACAAAGCGCAAACTGCTCACGTCCCCGGTAGACTCTGCGTTTGATCTTTGGGTGAGTTTTAGTGGACGCAGGAGAATTCGACATCGTATGGGCTGTAGAGTTGTTTCGAGACGGTTTCCTTGAGGGACTCGCCTGCACAGGGGTACCGTCGCCGAGAGAGACAGGCTTCTGGACTGGCCTTCCGGAGCGAGTATGTGCAGAAGGATTGTATTCTTCGGAGCTCTCTCGAGATGGGGTAGCTGTGGAATTTGAAGTCGATGCACGTAGATTAGACGCCGAGGTCTCGGACACACCACTCTTTCTTTTCTTGCTAGGAGGTCCAAAGTGATAAGAAGGCTGGTCCGATGAGTTCGTGGGTACCACTTGGGGTGAGCTCGGGTCAGCATCTGGAGTTCTGATGCTTCGTGGCCCGCGTTTGACGCCTGGTCTGCCTCTACCAAGCCCCTTACCAGAGACCACAGAACCGTCGGAAAGAATATATTGCTTGTTTCTGCCTGATACGTTGTTTTTATTGACTGCTATTGTCGATGTATTCACATCCCTCACAATATTGTGGTTCACACCACCACCCACGATAGTTATTGTGCCATTTTCGTCGTCGTCGGTGTTAGTAACAGAAGAGGGGTTATGTGTTTGACTCATGCTCGAAGCTGGTAGGGAATATCGAAAGTCAGGGTCGGTTTTGGTCTGCGCATCGACGAGACCGGAGTTGACATCTGCAGGAAGGCTGGGCATGCTGGTTCTTAAAGCAGGTATGCTTGAGTTGATAAGCGGAGGCGGAGTATGACCGTGAGGTAAGATATCTGAGAATGGTCCCTGGCGAGGTCCCGAGCCTGAATGAGATGCTGGATTGAGACTCACTTGTGGAGAAGGCTGCTTGGCGACGTGCTGAGGAGCCAGCGACTCGACACTGCCATTCAGATTGTCGTGAGTGACATTGAAACTTAGGGCTGGAGCAGCAGCGGGGATATTGAAGTAGTTGGATTGTGTGGTCGAGTCGTTATTGTTGTCATCATGTGTAACATGACTCTCAGGATCATTGGAGGAGTCGGAAGGAACAAAGGTATTCCTGGGTGGGGAGGCCATGCCAGCTGAGACCGCGATTTGCTAGGGGTTCAGTTCGACATTTGGTTATGGGCCTTGATTGGAAGAAGCCAGGCCGAAAGATGGAGGCACAGCAGCAACGTCTGGCATCAAAAACGCATCAGCCCCATGTTTGACAATCTGTCAATTTCAACAAGGGAGACGAAATGGCTGAGCGTTAGGCCTGGTATTGTTGGTTGGAGGAATGTCGAGTTCGAGAAGAAGAAAGCGACTAGTTTCGTTAGAGGTGAGGTCGCGGGATTGCTATCAACACGTGATCATCTCGGAGACAGATGCACGTGATTGGCCTGTGTCATCCTGGTGCGTGCCTTCTCCACCATTTCTATGACATTCTTGCACTCGGTCGTCATTTAACGCACAAGTCGCGCATCCTGCTCTCATCCACCGCATAATCCACGACTTCTCGACCTATCATCAACCCAATGTCATGTTTGATCTACATGAAGGTTTTCGAGTGAAATCTGCTGAATCGCTGTACGCACAAACCTCTCAGTACCATATAGGAGGGTAAAGACCGAGCCACTTCAATATGTCTGCTTCTGTCCTTGTATCGCATCTCTTTCTCCACGAAGCCCTTGTACTGCCTGCCAATTTCCAGACCGACCAGAAGCCTTGAGTGTTACACGTCTCTTTGCTCCTGCATCCAGCCATGGCCTACACATCCACGTTCTTAGTGTCAAACATCCACTGCCCGTCCTGCGTGTCCTATGTTCAAGATACACTAAATGGAATCCCAGGAATCCAGTCCATCCAAGTCTCACTTATTGACCAAACCATCCGCGTCAAACATGCACAGGACTCCACGCGAGAAGTCATTGTCAGTGAACTAATCAAGTCAGCTTTCGAAGTCGAACATGTCACAACCATCCGAGCCGACGGGGTTCAGTCTCACGACTCCGATGTGTCACCACGCCCCGCAAACGCCCAGCTCTCTCGATCCCGCTGGCTCATGTCCCGTGCCCAACGCAAACACATAGAAAACTGCAAGGCGTGTCAACGCGAAAAAGGCCAACAATCAAGGCCAAAACTATCATGGTCTTCTCTCATGCGACTGCGCCGCCGGCAAGCGCATCCGAAACAGACATCTACCGACGAAGAGGCCGCAATTTCAGACGACACACTGGCAGAACACAAGCTGTCAAGCAAACATGTCGATGGCGCAGGAGAAGAGAGTGCACCTTGCCACTATGTTGCCACCATATCGATTGGCGGTATGACATGCGCCTCTTGCACAAGTTCAATCACAAAGGGCCTTGACAGTCTTGATTTTGTGGATTCAGTAAATGTCAATCTAATGAGGAACGATGCAAGAGTGGTTTATCAAGGACCCCAAAGCAACTCGGACAAACTCGTTGAAGCGATTGAAGAGCTAGGATATGAGGCTGTCATCGATGATACACAGCCATTAGTGCAGGACAAGCCTCTCTCTGACAATGAACACGAGAGCCATAAAGTTACCCTCAGCATTGAAGGGATGACCTGTGGAAGTTGTGTCGGCACGATCTCCCGGGGACTCGAGGAGCTTCCGTTCATCCAAGATGTCAACATTGACCTCGTTGGGAACCGCGGCCTTGTGATCTTCCGCGGAAAACAACATCTTGAAGCCATCCTGGAGAAGATTGACGACCTGGGTTATGAAGCGACTGTTGTCAAATTAGAGAGCACTGACAAGTCGGCTGGGACCCCAAGGGAAGAGAGGACAGTACAACTCAAGGTCGACGGCATGTACTGTGAACATTGTCCTCAGAATATCACAACCGCTATCCAGTCTGCACTGTCGGGTGTTGATGGACCGAGTTATACCATAACTCAACCGCCCACGCTGAAAGACCCAATCATTACCGTCACCTACCGGCCTTCACGTCAAGTCAATGTACGGAGCTTCATTGCCGCCATCGATGCGTCGCATGATGCTTTGAAGGCAAGTGTATATCATCCGCCAACGCTAGAAGAGCGATCGCGACGATTACAGCGGAAAGAAATGAAGCATATTCTTTGGCGGCTACTGTTCACCGGCATAGTGGCTATCCCCACTTTCATCATCGGGGTCGTGTACATGAGCTTGGTTCCAAAATCCAATTCTACGAGGCGCTGGTGGGAACAACCCATTTTAGCCGGTCAAGCTATGCGGCTCGAGTGGGCACTTTTCTTCATGACCACGCCGGTCATGTTCTTTGGCACAGATCTCTTCCATTCTCGCGCATACAAGGAAATCAAAGCGATGTGGAGGCCGAACAGCAAAATACCCCTTCTACGTCGATTTTACCGGTTTGGCAGCATGAATCTTCTGATCAGTGCAGGAGCTTCGGTAGCCTATTTCTCCTCGTTGGCTGTTCTCATTATGGATGCTACGACTAAATCAACCGACATGAACCAGCATCGTTCCTCGGATACTTATTTCGACACAGTAACATTCCTCACCTTCTTCATCCTGATAGGTCGCTTCCTGGAGGCCTACAGCAAGACCAAGACTGGTGATGCTGTGGCGATGCTCTCCAATCTCAGACCTTCAACTGCTCTACTTGTCAAAGATGACACGGGCGACAATGCATCCGCTAGCACCGAAACCATTCCCGTTGATCAGCTGGAGACAGGCGATCTTGTTCAGATCCCTCACGGAACGTCTCCCCCAACTGACGGCGTCATCATCAGTCAAGGCACATTTCTCTTCGATGAGAGCTCGCTGACTGGAGAATCGAAGCCAGTCATGAAGACTGCTGGCGACGAGGTCTTTACGGGATCTGTGAATGTATCCGACCCTGTGCGAATCAGAGTGACAGGCGTTGGTGGCACATCAATGCTAGACCGGATTGTGAGCGTTGTCCGCGAAGGCCAGGCCAAAAGAGCACCCATTGAGCGCATTGCAGATATCCTCACAGGGTACTTTGTCCCAGTAATCACGCTCATTGCCATCACAACCTGGGTAATCTGGATGGGTTTGGGCTTGTCCGGAACCCTTCCTCAGGCATGGCTTGATGTGACACAAGGTGGCTGGCCCTTCTGGTCTCTTGAGTTCGCCATCGCCGTCTTCGTGGTGGCTTGCCCATGTGGCATTGGCCTTGCCGCACCCACTGCACTCTTCGTTGGGGGTGGATTGGCCGCGAAACAAGGCGTCCTCGTACAAGGTGGTGGTGAGGCATTCCAGGAGGCATCGCGATTGGACGCTATTGTCTTCGACAAAACCGGTACGTTGACTGAGGGCCAAATGCGGGTCACCGACTTTGAGTGTATCCAGAACGGTCAGAGCGGTGACGCGATACTTGATAAGAACATTATACTAGCGTCATCTCGCATGCTCGAGGAGGCAAGTACGCATCCGATCGCAAAGGCTGTCGCAAGCTACTGCACGGAGAACTCGGGAAGTGTTTCGATTGACCTTGAGGAGATCAAAGAGATTCCCGGGCAGGGAATGACAGGTAGATTTCTGGTCAAAACCGATTCCTCTACCTCACGATATGAGATTGCCATCGGAAACGAGAGACTTTTACAGAACCTTTGTCCAGCTGAAAATTCGGACTCGGAGTTCTCGACCACCAAAGATAAAGTCGCCGTAACAATCAAAGGCGAGGACTTCTACCTCAACCCGATACTCAAGAAGCACCAATCTCTCGGTCATTCAACCGCTATTTTTGCTGTTCGACAGGTACCGGAAGACACTGAGAAGTCCAAGTCATCGTCATCTTATCAGGCTTTGGCTGTCTTTGCGATCGCAGATCCAATCCGCCCTGATGCACCCCAAGTACTCGAATCTCTACGCAGCGTCGGGCTCGATATTCACATGTGCACAGGAGACAATCAAACCACGGCCTTGGCCATCGCTTCCCAGCTTGGGATTCCCGCCAGCAACGTGCGTGCAGGCGTCCTTCCACAGGACAAAGCCAGCTACATCCGCGAGCTGCAAGGCTTATCCTCTGGCGAACCCACAGATGGAAAGGATGGTCGTAAGATCATTGGGTTCGTGGGTGATGGCACAAATGATACCCCTGCTCTATCTGCCGCCGATGTGTCCATTGCACTCTCTTCCGGTTCTGACGTGGCAATGACCACTTCATCGTTCATCCTCCTCAACTCCGAGCTCAACACTATCCTCTCGCTCGTTAGACTTGCCAAACGAGTGTTTTTACGGGTCAAGTTGAATTTTGCCTGGGCAGCGGTGTACAACCTGTGCTTGGTCCCTGTTGCGGCGGGGGTATTCTTTCCTATTGGGGCGAACGAGCACCATGGTGGGTGGAGGCTGAACCCGGTTTGGGCGAGTATCGCCATGGCGGCGAGTAGTGTAAGTGTTGTGATGAGCAGTCTGGCGCTGCGGCTGCCTGAGTTACAAATCAAGATGGGGAAGTGGAAGATGTGATTCAATAGACCGATGTGAGAGTCATAGTCTGCAGCAATGGTAGCGTGGATATGTTCTAGGACGTATAAACAGAGCGGTTATTTATTTGATATCAGAGTGAAGTTTCGCAGTCTGTCGCAGTTTGGACTCCCCGCACGCAGCCTTGCCAAGCATGACTCAGCCTTGTCACACTCTCCAATCACTCCAACTTAATGACTTCCACCCCCAATCCTCAGCCTTGCTGTCGCGGGTATCGCACACAACTTTGTTCCTCATTGCCGAGGCTCTCTCCAACAAGGCCAGTGGGAGTATATGCGTGGCGCCGGCGCTCGAGCTCGATCCGTACCCTCTCTCTGTTTTCTCAACGAATGCTCGGGCTATATTATTTGTTACCTACATAAGTAGCTCCAACCGATCCGGGCTTTATCCGTCCTCGATCCCATTCATTTACTCCAATGCCACCCTCTTTCTGAGCTTGATTTCCTTTTGATTTATTTCATTTGTGCAAAGAGAGGGAGCGCCCAATAGAGCCAAGACCAGAGGAGGGAGATACAATTGTTCCAAGACCTTGCACGAGACTACAGGACAAGAAAAAGACAATACAGCCACAACAGCAGTGGTTGTGCAACTGGCGTATTTGATTGATTGCCCGGAGGTCACGATTACTGCACCTTTGGAGAAAGGAGTGGCACCGAGAAAACAATAGCTCCTACGTGATCTAGGTTCCAGTTCGCAAGAGGCAGTCAAGGTTGTTCGACATAGAAAGAGACCCAACTGGTAGAACGCCTGAAAGAGATCGGGAGAAGCGGGACTTCTTACTGAAGCCATAATGCCTTCAGAGCCACCAGCGTCCTGTAACGCAGTCGGACTGCCGATGAAGTACTGCTCCAAGCAGTATCGGGATCAGGCCAAAAGGACACTCCACAGTCCCGGAACATCCTCCTCGTCTTCGACTCCATCTGGGAACACGAATCCCAGTTCCAGTCCAGACTCAAACAGCACATCCCCGCCGACGCCGCTATGGACGCCAGCAGACCCCGAGGCGCCGCCCATGTCTCGGTACCGCCAGCATGTCAACACAAAATTCTCACAGTCGCTGCGTGACTCGCACGAGCTGCACGGTTGGACGGTGCAGAATCCGCACCAGTTCTGGATCGACCTGTACGAGTACTGCGGGATTGTGCCCTCGTTGCCCAAGCACACCAAACTGGCATACAACCCGAAAGCACGCCTGCGTGACATTCCAACCTTCTTCCCGGGCCTCCGACTCAACTACGCCGAGAACGTGCTGGTTCCTAACACGGCCGCGAATCCAAATGCCGTCGCACTGGTCGGGCTACGCGAGAATCGCCTTGACGACCCAGAGGAGATCACTTGGGCTGAGCTGACGGAGCTGGTGCGCGTGGCGCGGTCGGCCATGGTGCGTCGAGGGATCAAGAAGGGCGACGTGGTGGCCGGGCTGATGGCCAACTCGGTCTGGATCATCGTGCTGTTTTTGGCCACCGCGTCCATAGGCGCCATCTTTACCTCCGTGTCCCCGGATCTGGGGGTCTCGGGCTGCGTCAGCCGGTTCGCCCAGGTCGAGCCTAAGTGGCTGTTCGCCGACGTCGACGTGGCGGTGCGCGGCACGCGGCCATCGATGCTGGGCAAAGTCATGCAGGTGCTCAAGGCACTGCCGGCGGCCAAACCAAAGCCGCGCCTCGTCTTCGTGCCCACGTGCCACCGCCCGCACCGGCAGCAGCACATAGACTACATCAAGCCGGTTGGGGGCGCCATCTCGCTGCACGAGTTCCTCACCAAGGCCCGGACCGGCGACAAGCTGATATACACGCGCGTGCCGACGGACCATCCGCTGGTGATCGTGTACAGCTCGGGCACGACGGGGGAGCCCAAGTGCATCGTGTCGCCGCACATGTCGGTCCTGAACTACAAGAAAATCTCGCTGCTGCACAACGGACTGGGCCCGGGGTCGACCGTGTTCCAGTTCTCGTCGACGAGCTGGATCCTGTGGAACGTCATGAACGGCCACCTGTCGGTGGGAGCCAAGGTCGTCTGCTACGACGGCGGGGCGCTGCACCCGGACCCGTCGACGATGCTGCGCATCTGCGCCCAGTTCCGCGCCACGTACTGGGGCACGTCACCCCGCTACCTGCTCGAGCTCGAGCAGTCAGGCATCCGGCCGAACGCGTTCGACCTGTCACGCCTCGCCCTGGTGACGACAACGGGCGCCACGCTCACGGGCGAGCAGTTCCACTGGTTCTATCGCGCGTTCCCGCGGCGCATCCACCTGTCCAGCGTCGCCGGCGGCACCGACATCGCCTCGTCGTGGATCGCCACCAACCCGGCCGGGCCCGTCTACGCCAACGAGATGCAGATGTGGGCGCTGGGCCACGACTGCGACATCCTCGACAGCGAGACGGGCCGCTCGTGCGCCGCGGAGGGCCGCCCCGGCGAACTCGTCTGCCGCAAGCCTTTTCCCAGCATGCCCTGCAAGTTCTGGGGCGACACACCCGACCACCAGAAATACCGCGAGGCATACTTTGAAAAGTTTCCACTTAGTGACAACAATACTGACAAGACCGCCGCTGCCGACGGAGAATACCTCGACGTGTGGGCCCAGCATGACTTCATCGTCATGAACCCTCTGACCAAGGGCCTTCAGATCCTCGGCCGCAGCGACGGGGTGCTCAACCCGAGCGGGATTCGCTTCGGCTCGTCCGAGGTGTACAACATCGTCGAGGGCCCGCAATTCAACACGCTGATCTCGGACACGCTGTGCGTGGGCCGGCGGCGCGCACACGACAAGGACGAGACCGTGTTCCTCTTCGTCGTCATGGCGCCGGGCCACGACGCAGATTTCACCCCGGCCCTGGTCGAACAGCTCCGCGCCGCCGTCCGCGACGGCCTGTCGCCGCGGCACGTGCCGAAATTCATAGAGCAGGTCCGCGAGATCCCCTACACGGTCAACGGGAAGAAGGTCGAGGTCGCCGTCAAGCGCGTCATTTCGGGCCAGGTCGTCAAGACGAGTTCCACCGTCAGGAACCCCGCGTGTCTGGCAGAGTATGAGCGCTTCAGGGACTTAGAGCGCGCGCCGCAGCGGCAGAAGCAGACGGGTCGGAGGGGAATGGCCAAGTTGTGAGACAGCGAAGGGCGCGGGAGTGAGAGGGAGGGACACAGGCAAAGACCGAGACCGAGAGAGGGATGGAGAGAGCTAGAACATACACATGCTCTTCAACTTGCCTTTTTCCCACACCAGAGCTTTTCCGGGAGCCGGGAGGATGTCGAGTCGAGTCGAGCAGTGCATCGTTCCCAGCGGGTGGGCAGACTGTCCAGCGAATGGTTTCCTTTTCCTAGAACAAGAGCTTTGACCATTCTTAAGATGGAGTCGATAGATATAGATAACTAGATTACCTAGGCCGGATAAAACAAGACAAGACAAGATGACACAGAATAAAACAAGACAGGACGGGACGGGAGAAGGAAAAATGCTCGTACGCTGATCACGGGTGGTGGTTAAAGAATACTGTGCTCTTTCTCTCTTTCTTTGGGTATATAGATAAATTATGTAGGTACGATATATACAGTTCCGGGTCGGTCATGAAATCTTCTTCTTCTTCTGTCACTGTCCGGACTCCGTTTCATCTCTTCGGCAAACTTCTCGAACTTCTTTTTCGCACGACCCCTGACCCAGCGTGCTCACTTTCCATGCTGGTACCGATCCCCGAGTCGCCTTCCAACCGTCTGCCGCGGAGGTCTGACCCTTCAAAGTCTCCTTCGTCTTCGTCTTCGTCGTCGGCAGCCTCGTCTGGTCCCATGGGCCGTCTCAGACGGTCTTCTTCCGCTTCAACGTTTTCTCTCCCTTCTGTCTCGGAGGGTGGACGCCCGGGATAGGACAAGGGCGGTCGGCCTCTCCCAGTGGGAAACTGGGTCGGCGTGTCCGAGATATTGGAGAGGGACAGGCCACCACCACCACCAAACGGACCGGACGATTCAGCCTCGTCTTCTGTCTTGATTTTGGCGGTGGCGGCGCCCGAGGACGATCCCTGCTCAGTCTTGATAGGCGTGCTCATCGTCGTGCCATCTTGTCCCTCCATCTTGATCATCCCCTGCCTCGCACCACCGCCCGAGAGCATATGCGAAATCAGGGCCCATCCCAAGGCCATGCTCGTGACACTGACGCCGTAAAACAAGGCCGTGAAGACCACAAAAGACGTCACTCGGTAGTTGTAGATGAGATACCTCATGCCCTGAAATTTTGCCCTGAACGCCAATTTCGCATCGTACACCTGCAAAACACTGCTGGCTTGCACCTCGAGTCTGGCGTGGGTCGGCACATTTCGCGCACCCCTCGGAAAGACCAGCATTTCGAACATGGGCACGACCAAGCGAGAACGATCCAGATCGCGGAAGTTGAGCAAGTGCCAGGGCAAGTGGAGCACGGTATGGCTGAGCGACAGGATGGGCGACGCGTAGGGCAGGATCGCAGGCCGCCGGGAGTGATGAAGCACGTTCTCGACCGTGATGTTGCCCAACCACGCGGACACTGCGTCCGGCACGCCCTTGGAGCCCAACAGGGACAGATCCAGCATGAAATTGCCGGCCTGCAGGTTGGTCGGGGTGCGAGGCATGTCCAGGATCAACTCCACATTGTACGCCTGCTGCGAGACCAGGGCGTTTGTGTCCAGCGCCGCCGTCGCATACGGAGGGAAATCTGTGCCATACTGCAAGTAGAGGACGCGTTCAAGACTGATCTGTGGAATGTAGTTGTAGTAGAAAAAGGCATAGGCGGTGGAGGAGAGGGCGAGGAGGACGGTCGAGGTGCCCAGAAAGAGGATGGTCGAGAGGTAGGCTTTGATGGCGGCGCGAGAGGTCAGAATGCGTATGGGAGCAAGGCCCAGCGACTACACAGAGTGAGACAAAGCCAGTACATGTCAGTTCATCAATGGGAAAATACATACCAGCACTCGGCGAATGAGTGTGTCATTGTTGTCCTCGTCGTCTTCGTAGGCCGGGTCTGCCATGTTGGGGGCATGCCTAGAATAAGTTGCCCTGAAGAGCGATCTTGATTCATGTGGTCATTGTCGCAGTGCCATTAGAGGGATTTACAAGACGCATGTAGTCAAGGCACCAGGAGCGTAGAAGCACGTTGCGATGGGAAGAAACAAGCTTTTGCGATATCGACGCTTGAGTGATGGTCAAGACGCGTTGGAACTTTGAGTTGGAAATGACGTCGATAGATGCACGCAGGTATTAATTATTTACTACACAATCCAAGTCACACTTCTACCATCGCTACCATCTGGTATTATCTATCACTACTTCCTTTGGAATCTGTACATATAACAAATGAATGAATTAATTACTGTGACAAGTCCTATCTGAACCGTTGTGCCACATGTTCGCAATGCCTAAGGGGTATCCCATAATAAGGCACAGCATCAAGTGTGCGTAAAGACCATGGTTGCTTTTGCCTTGTCCCTTTCCTTTCCCATTTCTTTTCATTGTCCCTTATTGCCATTTAACCTTCCATCATATTACCCATAAATATCAGGACAGTCCACCGGACACAAACCCCCGTGCCTCAATACCTAACCCATCTTCGCCACAAGGGCATCTCTTTGACTTGCTCCTCGCTCCAAACCAGCTTGTTCTTCTCATCCAGCTCGGCTCGTTCATCGGTGCTTTGAATTCCCGCTTCTCTGTTTTCGGCAACCATCAATCCACTGACACCAGATCCGTCCCTAGCAAGCCAGATGACAGGACTGGGGTCGGTGATCGCAGGGTTCAGGTACGCATGTTCGTATTCCTCCGAGGTGTATCCTGGGATCCATGTCTCTGAATCCGCCGAGTCGGGAATGATCTTCTTGTTAGCTTCGTAGAATTTGAGAGCTATCGGCTCAATGCGCCGACTCAAGAAATTGAACGGTGGCGATTTTGACTGAGCCTGAGATCCAGGGGTATCGCCAACACTTTCCTCTTTGGCGAATCCTGTCTCTGTTGGAACGGAGTCCGCACGGACCGACGACTCTGCTTCGATGTCTCCATGGCTGAATTGTTTCTCATCGATCAGCTGCTCCATGATGGTCGTACTGTACTTGTTGCTGTTCAACAGCTCCAGCGGCATATGTTGTTCCATGGGAGCAATCGCGCGGTCGAACAAGACCTGGAAGATGATGACGACAACCAAGAACACCACCATAATAGCCAATGGCCCGGCGCTACTGGCGCTCTTACTGCAGCCAATTGCAAAAAGGCCAATGAGACAGATAGATGCGAGGTACACTCCGGTCATAAGTTGTTTCAAACCTCGAGAATAGGCCTCGCCCTTCATATCGACCTTGTTACCCAGGACGAAAAGCCAGTTGTATCTGAACATCAGATAGAGAAGACAGAATCCAATCGTGGCGAATCCCAAGATCAGCGGTGCAATGCACGCATATGTGATGGCAATGACGCCCAAGAGGACAAACTTGGGATATGTCGAGCCCCAACCCATTCCAGCAATGTTGGTGAATCGATTGTATCGCTTCCGCGGCGTCTTGTCCAACAACTTGCCCACCACAGAGTACATGAGCAGGGGCACAATGTTCAGCAGTTGCAAAGCCGCCTGTGATAGACCGGTGAGGATGAAGTAACTGATGTAGAAATTGGATGCTTTGGGTAGGTTTTTCGCGAGCAAAGTTGGCGCAGAGCCAGGATTCTGGATGATCTGTGTGGTCACGGCGCTGGCACCTAATTCCATGGTCAGCATGGTTCTGGTTCAATAATTTCAAATGGATGGAACGCACTGGACGTGAATGTGGTGATCAAGAAGACCTGTACCACCTGGAAGATGAAGTACCACGACTGGACTTTGAGCTCAATCGCTGACAAGGTAGGCTCTCCAGCAAATTTTGCCAAAAGCCCACAGAATATGGGGACGAGAGCCATCAAGACTGCCAGAAGCACCACAGGCAGTAGACCCGTGACAACACCCAAGATGACCTTGGGGATATCATTGATGAAGCTGAGGAAGTGCACCTTGTTCGTCAGATAATTGATGTTGGACAGAGCGCCCACAAAAGCCACGGGAATTGCCCAAAAGATGACCATGACCCAGATGACAATGGTTGCGATCAACATCTTAGACTTTCTGGAGGTGTAGCTGACACCCAAGTTTTTCCAGACTACCTCGTTGGGCTGGACGCCGATGTATCGAGGGGAGAATTTGGTCCGGGATTCGCGTGCGACCGACTGGTAGGCGTTATGAGCAGCGGTCTGGTTGTCAAACTCGATGAATGCAGCAGGTACTTTAGTGTGTTTCAGGTCGAGGTGCTCAGTTTGCTGCTCTGGAACGAAACGATTGAGTTCCTCGAGTTTCCCACGCGACCAGTTGATAGTATCCACCTTCTTCCAGAGCTGGGGCTTGAGTCTGTGTGAAGGACGCTTCTTCTGGTTGATCCAGCGTTTGGGTTCCAAGCCGACCGCCTCAGCAGATTCTGGAGTCTTGTTCTTCTTTTGACTCTTCAGGCGGTTGGCGTTGGCCTGCTTGATCAACTTCATCTCGGCGCCCTCCAGTTTCAGAGCGGTCTTCTGCCGCTCTTTCACATCGTCTTCAAGCTTACTGCAGTCTGTCTGGAGCCAGATCTTGCGAACACGGGGGCCGAACATCTGACGGAGAGCCTTCTCCTCCATGTAGTCGCTGGGGAGACCCATGAGCAGAATGGTCCTCGAGGAAAGGCGTTGGGCATGCGCAGCAGAGAGAAAGTACGCTCGTCGCAAACCGACAAAGTTGAGCCTCTCGCGCGCGATCAGAAGGGTAATGAAACCGAGATAGATCCAGGCAATGCCAGCGTGGGCGTAGTATCGGTTGGGATTGGCCACGTTACTCATGCTCAGTATGTCCAGTTGCTCTTCGCCGCCATGTCCTGTCGCATTGACAGGAAACAGCACAGGCCAAGTAAGGCAGCATCCCACGAAGCTCACCAAAATCAAGACCTTGAGTAGGCGCAGCCAGAGATAGCCGTCAAGGGAGTTGTGGCCTAGAACGTAGGAATCGGGGAGAGACTTGTAATTGCGCAGGAGGCCAAAGAAGCCCGAGCCGGAACGAGGAGTGGTCCATCCCTTGTCCAAGATCCTGTCGTCGGTTCTAGGTCGATAGACGCGGCTATAGCGACTGCGAACGAAGAGAAAAGCGGTAAACGCGACGACCGCAATGACCAAGGTAGGAACGAGGGTGGAAATGATGCCCGACAGTGAGTTGGAGCCCTGATTTCGATTGGCCCCTTGGCTCTGTAGGTGCAACAGTCAGAATAGCCATTAGAGTGGTGTTGGATAAGATACACACCTGTCGAGGATACAAGACGTGGGTGAATGTACCCCCGTCCATCGCAGCTCAGTATCTGGGGGTTTCTGAAGCTGTTAGAGGATGGGGAATGCCAGCCTTGCCAACCAGTACCAAGCCAAGGCTAAGGATCGGTCTTTGTTTAAGCGAGAAGGATGAGATCTGGCTCGCTGGCGAGACGGAGAGAAGCGAAAGAAGGGGTGGAGAATAAGCGAGAAGGAACAGAAACCAGAGGATCAAGGAATTTCGCTTGAAGAGGATGAGCGCGGCGGACTGGAGGATGGATATTTATTATGATGGACCACGGAGTGACGCGAGGGAGGACGGCAGGGTTACTTGTTATGTTGGTGTGGGTGGTGCGTCGCCCGCAAGATGAGCTCACAGATGACGAATTGTGTCTTATTAGGCCTTGGAGAGGTACAGGGGGGAGGCAGATGGGCGCTCACCAGTCTCAAGAGGGACACCAATAGCCCATGCATGGAACGTACTCGTACTCATTGAGGAGGGCTCTGACCAGGTGCAGATGCCCCATCTGCCCAGTTGCCCAGTTTGAGCCGCCACAGCTGAACTCTGAACCGTCACAACAGTAAACATCCGGACAAAGCAAGCTGAGGAAAGTATCGGACACATGATGTCAACCAGTTAGAGCCTCTCTTTTATACCCAATGGGCACTAGCTCACCCCATTTGCGGCCACTAGTGACTCGCCAAGTCAAATCTAAAGCTAATTGTCCTCCGATCGGATGATGTCACTCACTTCCCCCTGGTCGATTCACTTTTTCTTCCCGCGCCCAGGCTACATGTGATACCATCCATCACACCTCCACCAACTCCAACACCAATACCAACACAACCACCAAAGATCTGCCATGGGTGACATCCGTCCCGCCATCCAAACAATCCAACACCCACCTTCTTCTGCCACCACCACCAGTGTCCCTCTCCCTCATTTCTCCGTGCCCAAGCCTCGACCCTCCCCCGTGTCACTCTCATTCCTTGACAAGTAACCAACGAAAATAGTCCATGCGCAAGGAACCACGTTACTCAAAACGAAGCAGGATCAAGAAATACCAACAGAAATACACTCGATTTGTCTAACGTTCATTCCAAAGCTTCTCTTTCTATGATACACAAAAATGTTGGTCCGGGTTGCCACAGGTGCTTTTCAGCCAAAGCAGGAAGATCCCATGGTCAGCTCGGTTCATCAACACAGCCTCGTCCCGCACATGTTCCCTACGCTGCCTTTGTCAACTTGATCCTCCTCGCCCAGCTCACTCTCCCTCTTTCCTGCCCAACTAGTCGAGCATTACAAAATAAAGAGTCTTGCTTTTTGGTCCCTTTCCAGACGCAGTAGTTTCCAGTCGTCAGAACTCCGGTCATCCCTTCATGCTTTGATTAAGCCCCCCGGTTTCGCCTGGTCGGCCCCTTTCCTTCCATTACCTATAGCGGCCAGGAGCCCACCCATTGTACTCACATCCCGTACCATGCCCCTTCCTCGCTCCCTCATATGCATGATGTAGCAGAGGCGACAACTCGCCACGCCCGATTGGGCATCACTCCAACAAAATTGAGAGGTCAAGTGTACAAAGAATAGGAATTGTTCAAAATCAAGGTCGAGTTTCCACCACTCGACCATCACCGTCATCATCTGTACCTTCTTTCCATTCCTTCAGCAGAATATGCACAATCCGAATCAATGTACCCCCACAGAGAAATTACCCCTTACTTGGGGTTAGTGGGCCGTCCGCATGGCTTGTTGCAGACGTTGTTGCATCGCCGCGTCTGGCGCCAGATGCTCCCAGAAGCCATAGCTGGTGTTTTGCTGCAATTCGAGGAACAGAATGGTCATTCCCCAAACGTGGGGCCGTGCAACCGTGAGCCGCTCGTATACCACCCGCGATATTTGTTCCCGGAGTTCGCGCTGTTGCTCGTCTCCACTTCCTGTCCCCCAAAGGTTGAGCATCACCTTGCAGAAAAAGTCCGTGTGTGTGTTGGGATAGCGGATCTGGTCGGCAATGGCATTGAGGAGTTGGTAGCGCGTCTCATGGCTGACGCTGCTAGCAAGCTTGCTGAAAAACGTGACCGGCGCCGTGCCAGAATCGAACCTTCCTGGAGAGGAGCTGAGCGCGTCGTTGCCGACAAATGGCACTAGAGCATTCATGATTTCCACGCTCTTCGCAGGAGCCATGGCAGAGGACTCTTTTTGTCCCTCATGAAGAGCCTGCTTGATCTGCTTGAACGTGCTGTCCAGGTCACCTGATTTTCTGATCGCGTTCAGGACAACGTCTTTGAGATCTGCTTGTTGAAGGGGTAGGTCATAGTCCCGCGCTAGAATCGGATTTTTCTTCATCTCTTCGAGTCGTTCAATTTTCAGCCCTGGCGTCATGGGATCCGGGAGATCGTGGTATGCCGAAGGCTTGGCTGTGAGTATCAAGTTCCTGAGCTGCGGGATCCCATATGCTATTCGCGAGCAAAAGTAGGTGTGGTTTTCACACAGAAATTCGGGGTAGTCGTGGAGCAGGATGAGTATGTTCCTCAGTGTTCCCTTGTACAGGTCAAGATTCAGAAGGTCGAAACCAGGCGTCTGTGACAGCTCCGAGATGTAAAGAAGCAGCAATCCAATGAGCTCACGGTAGGTATCCCATCCAACGTGATTGTTCGGCTTCAGCATGCCAGCGACGAAGACGCGGTGCACAATGAGACTGTACCATCCGTATGTGAACCCCGGGAACCACGACGGCTGCAGAGACTTGAAGCACTTGGCAAAGGCAGACATCAAGTCGTTGTGGTCGGTAGTGGTGTCCAATCGAGCTGCTGAATACTCATAGAGCATGTTGGCAAACAGTCTGGTGAAAAGTCTCTGATGGAAGGTCACTCCGCGCATGATCTGGTGGTGGTTCAAAATCAACACAAGCATCGTCAAGATCGTCTCGAGGTAGGGTGCCTTGCTAAGCCGGACTGCGCCATTGGTATCCCCTTGAAACTTGACCAGCATAATAACTAGGCGACCAAGGGCATCCGCATGCGAGAAAGCGACGTCCACACTGCCTCTGGGACTCTGAGCTTCTCGGTCGTAACATTCGATGCACGAGTCGATGCACAATCGCAAAAACTCTGCCAGATCCTCCGTGCTGTTGATCGTCTGCTCCTTGTGGAGCTCTTTTAGGAATGCTGCGCAGGTGCTTTCATTGGGCCCAATGCTTTCAAAGATGCCTACCCATTCGTCAAACACGTAGCGCATTTGGTCTTGCTTCGCTTTGGCTTTGTCCGTAATCTCGACACTGACGAATTCGGGCATGCCGTGAGCCTTTAGCTTCGCGTTGATTTCTGGGGCAACAGGAAGGTCTGGTTTCTCCTTGACCCAAGCTGCCATTGCAACGAGACTGTGGGCAAAATCCGCCCGGAGGGCTGTGGGCTCATCAGTAAAGAGAGTCTGATCCATGATCTCAGCGAGGACATGAAGTCCGTGCACGTTTCGACTCATGATGACTGAAGCAATTGCGACGTCGACCCGAGCAAACTCCATCAAGCCTGCCGTAATCAGTGCCACTACCACGTTGGAGCTAGCCAGTAGCAAGTCTTCATTAGCTGTCATCCATCTGAGGACATCCCGCACAATAAGGTCCGAGAGCTGGCATAGTTTCGAAAGCAAGAAAGCTAAGACCTCAGCCTCGAGAGGCCCTTCTGGCGGCTTGGTGACAAAAATGTGGCAGATCTTCTCTGCAATCTGGCGAGCTAGGAGATCAGCTGCTGGGCGGGTAGAAGAAGTGAGCACGATCAGGATTTGGCGGAAATCTTGGAAGATGGAGCTGTTCTTCTCGAGATCCTTCAGCCGTGTCGCATCGGATGCCCTAGCTGCCTTTTGGATATCTTCGATGAGAATGGTAATCCTATCATGAGGTGGCAATGTCTCCGGGAAACCATTGACCCTCGGCTGCGGCATTGCAGATAGCATTCGGCTTTCTTGCTGGACCAGCGGACTTTGGTGCGGGATCGCAGGCTGATCAGCAGGCGTGGACAGGTTTGGCATCGTGAGAGGGTCCTGCAGGACGTCGGGAATCTGACGTCCAGGGGTGTCAGCGGTAGCATTAGGAATATGGCTGGTGTTCATTCCATGAACTCTACGGTCGAACTCTTCGTAGACAGCCCGTTGTGCCTCGTTGAGACCGCCAACTGTTTGTTTGTAGGGCTCGGGAATCCATGCTGACCACCGATTGATTCCTTGCGGAATGAAATCCCGGGTCCCTCCTTCGGCGAGGAACCGACGTCGTTCTTCAAGATCAGCTTCAATAACCTGGTCAATTTCTGTAACAGCGCGCTGCTCAGCAGCTTGCTCAACAAACGAACATGCAGTGTCCAGATTATCATTGACGCACATAAGGATGGCTCCCTCAGGCAAAAGGTGCTCCGGCAAGTCATCCTGGGCAGGACGGCGAATGTAGTTGGAGATACTCATACGCAGTGGCTCCTTGCACGTAACAAGAGCCAGACTACCCGCCAGGGACTTGACCATCTGCCTAGCGGCTGTCCGGTACTTTTCTGGGTCCGGCTCAAGCGCATAGTCCTTTGAGACAAGCTGAGCCGTTGAGATTGATGCAATTGTGATTGACCGTTCGACAACAGGGGCGATGATTTCCTGGATGGCTTGGTCAAAAGCACGGTAGATAATGCTCTTTACCATTGCTTGATCTGCAGGCGAGCCCGACGTTGGAGGATATTTGAGCACGTCCTCCAAACTTGGAAGTGTTGCCATGATCTCAGGGGCGGAAAGCCGTTCACGGACGGCCCTGCTTATGGCGCCATTCAAAGACACGTCGTCAAAGGTCTCTAGGCCGTCTGGCAATGCGGGAATGTTCGCCATGTCGTCTTCTGTCTGCGGTCGGTCTCGAATAACCGTAGCAGGCTCCAGCTTCTTGAAGTCGAGCTCGAGGTCTTTGCAAAGCACCTCAATCTCGAATTTTAGATTCAGTTTGAGCTCCGCGAAATGATAAAGCTCCAAGAGAACTCCCACTATTTCCATCAACCAAGGATTCGGTGGCACAAAGACCATCGAGTTGGCGCCTTGAGCCAGGACTTTGCACGTAAATGGTATCACCAGAATCAGCCTCTGAGTCTCATACCCTTCCACCAGGAGGTCGACGAAATAGATGTTTCGGTGCTTAATCGGTTTATCTTGTGCGAGAGTGAGAGATCCTAGCCAACCTCCAAGATTCTTGAGGTGGCTCCTTTCCGTCGCAGAATTGATTGTCGATTCGGCGCTCATGATCTTGACAATACTGACGTAGGTCTCGCGAATCACCTCCGACATGAGCAAATTGTCATCGATCATGCTGATAAACTGGAAGTACATTTCCTGGTTGTTTGGCTCTAACCTGGCACGCTGTTCAACAAGGTATGAAGCGAACCATTGATAGTGCTCAGGAGTGAACGACTCTTTCAGATCGACCAATTTGCTAGCCATGTTGTCTTTGGAGAGGTTGTTAATGACAAACAGGATTTTCTCTTGGATTTTTTGGTCCGGGTCTCGAAAATGGGCGGAAGCTGGAGGCGGGTCCGCACGCAAGGCTCGAAACCCACGGCCTGCGTCTAGCACAACGAGATCATCTCCATTCGTGGTGTGAGCACCTGAGACGCCATTCGCACCAAGCCCATTTCCAGCAGCTTGCTGTGCACGGAGCCCTTCTTCAGCGCGTTGTAAGATTTCTGGATGCTGAAGAGAAGGCTCCTGCAGAAGTAGACTGCAAAGTCCAGGCCATTCGGAGAGTTGATCGCTGATCTGGAGTAATGCTTCGATGCCAAAACGGTGCATGAGGCTGTCGGGTTCGTGATCGCGAACAGCCCGAAGTATAAGAGCAAGGCCAAAGTCTCGGGGGATTGAAGGGAGCAGTTTGTACTTGATAATGCTCCCAAACAGAAGGGCCGTTTTCTCGAGTGCATCTTCCGGATACTCATTGTAGCAAACATACTCATCGAACAATCCGTGGACGATGCAGCAGAAGAGATCCTGCTGATCTGGGTCTCGAGAAGTCTTATATCTCCGCATTTCGTTCACCATATCACGGATCGACAGCTCTGATCGATACATTCGACCGAACAATTCCGACATTTGCTTATCAATGACCTCGGAAAGTTTGTTGCCCTTCTCTTCACTGCTTTTCTCCAAAATATCATCGAATCCAGCCCCGTAGTTCATCAACCGCGGATACGTCTGCAAGCACGTAGTCTGTGCCGCCTCAACCAACTCGCGATTGTCCAAGTGGTCTTCGAGTTTCTCCAGGAGCGTATGTACGCTTCGCAGCGTGAGCGGAATAGACTGCGGCGTGGTTTCGCCACGTTGGACGCGAAATTCGTCGTCTGCCTTAATCCGCAGGTATTTGCAAAGAATCATGCCCAGATTTGTCTGCCCATCAGCTGCTTCAGACAGATACCGATCCAGATCGAATCCTGGGTCGATCTTGTTCCGCATGCAGGCTATGTCGAGAGCCAGGGGATTTGACCAATGTTTGAGAAATTCCTCGGTCCACCCGAATTCTTGAGCGCGTTCGTATATCACTTCTGTTTGTCGTGGATCGAGCGAAAAAACGATATGACAAAGCTCGAACAGGTATTGAGGATACTGAGACGCAAGTGTTTCAAGAACAGGACGATAGTCTGGGCGTTGCTTTTCGAGGAACAAGCTGAAGCACTCAGCAATGAACTTTTCCTGGTCTGGCACCCATGATTTTGCATTGGTCCTCGCTAGAAACAGGAGGAAGATGGCTGGGTGATTGTGGTATACGTCCTGCAGTATGTCGATTCGGTCTTCCCCATCTGCCCCTGTACCGGGTCCCAGAACGACTTCAAAAATAGCCTGACAAGCATCGGCAGATACATATGGACCATCGAGCTCTGGGGTGATCAATCGCGTCATTTCGGGAGAGAAATTGCTCAGGTCTTCTGCGGGTAAAGTCTCGCGAAGTCGGGGTATTGTAGTTGGCTGAGTTTCCGAGGATGAAGAGGCGAGAAATCCGCCAAGGAAGGAAATCTGCGTGTCTGGGTTCGCCCATCTGCCTCCCCAGAGTTTCTGGAGATCAAATTGCGGGTTATCCTGTGCCACATGCAGCAGAGATCTGTATAACCTTGGGAAATCGTTCCTCCGCATACGGAGACCCGGGATATCGAATCCTTGAATGACCAGGTTCCAGTCCAGCTGTTTTGCCCGGAGAGCCTCTACCAAATGTGAAATATCATACTGTTGATTGATGGTGAAGACGAGGAATAGTAGAGCATTGGCTACTTCTGCTTCTGTAACACTCGTTGTGGGTAATGAAGCTAGAAAATCCTGTGCGGCTTGTTCTGAGGCGACCGCCTTAGGTCCGTGCCGTTGTAGACCGCGAGCGATATCTCGAGCTTCGGCTGAGAGGCGTAGCAGCTGGTAGGCACCAAAGAATTGTTCTGGTTTAGAACCAGTGTATCGACTGATGACTGCACGCCATAGATCGTCTTTCTGCTGTTGCGTGGTCGTCGCAGCGGCTAGGGCAAAGTATTCGATCACAGAGCAGATGTTCTCGACCGCGAATGTTTGTGTGTTCTCACCGCGCCTCTCCGACAGGGAACGCAGAGAGCTCTGAGCGAACTCGGCGAGAAAACTTTCCGCTTTTGTTCTCAGGTCGACGCGGGCGCATTTTGTGAAGGCAACGGCCAGAATGACCTGAGGAAGGGTATCGGCGAAGAAATGTTGAATAAAGGTCACAAGGTCAAAGTCGCGGAACGAGTCTTCCTTGGAGGTATCAATGGCCTCGGCAATCTTTGATGGCTGTTCTGGGTCTGAGGCGACCTTTTCCAACTCTTCACGCAGTAGCTTATAGCTTCCCTGATCGAAGTCTTTCGCACCTTGGAAAATGGCGGCAGTATTCAGGGTGATGGTTCGCCTGAAGAATTGGGCAAAGACCTCCATGCCGTTAGAATCGAGCAGTCGCTGTATCTTCTCCCGCTTGGAGTCCCACTTTGCCTTTCCCTCTCTTTCACTGATGGTATCAAGCAGCAGGAGAATCTGAGTCGCGGATATCTTTGAAAGTGAGGAGGGGCCGGACGCGGCAGGACTGAGGATCATGGGAAGCATTCATGACCTTGGAAAAGGGCGGTGCTAGTGAGAAGGGTTTGCGGGGAGGTCAGCCAACGTTGTACACAGGTTTAGGTAGCTCGTAAGAGAGAGGTAACAGGTCAATCTAAAAGTAGTAAGAAGTGCCGGGTACAACGGGTGATTGAGAGAAGGAATAAGTTGATGGAAAGTGAAGATGCAGGAACAATCGGGGGGGAAGAGAGGAGTGAGTTTGGTGTTGGTGTTGGCCTCTTTGCAAGGAACATGGAGTTGGAGTCCAGCGGCCAGTCATTGGCAGGCGACCACTCTGTTTGGGCATGAAGCCTTGGCACGCTTCATCACGTGCGCAAACTCGAGAATAAGGACACGTGCATCCTTCCAAATACTTTGAGGTGTCTGGATTAGGGCGTCCAGGAGGCATATGTATATTAACCAAGCAGTTTTATTCAAAAAGTTAACCAGAGACAGTCTTTGAGACACATCTCTTGAGCATATAGGTGCGAACTTGAAGAAAAGATATTTCATTCAGGAATACCACCACATGCACGTCATGAGGAAAAGCCCCCGAGAATAGCAAAAGCCTTGCACGCAAAATAATGCTGGTAGAAGCAACACCACCTTGCTTGAATCCACGTCTGAAAAGCAGCCACTATTGTGTCCAAGACCACATCTTATACAATCCTAGTAATCCACAGTCAAGAAGAATTTGCTGTAGGCAACCAAAAGCAACACCATTCCATGCTGAGATGCACCGTCTCAGGTCCTTGACTTTTTGGTTTCGACACCTATGACCCCAACGCTGTCTTCAAACACATCCGCCGCGCCGCGCTTCTTTCCCTTGGGAGTGCCAGCCATCGAGCGCCCACCGCTTTTGAGTCTGGGCCAGGAATCGAAAGGACTGGCTTTTTGTGAACGACGACCGGTATCTAGTGACTTGACTTCTTCGGAAATCAAAAGGGCCGGACCACTTGAGCGAAGAGATCTCTTCGTCTTTGCCATTGGGGAAATGTCGCTTGATGTACTGTTGCCGATTGCCGCCGATGCATCTTCCTTCTGATCAGTCGGTTCCTCAATGTCAGTCAGAGCTTCCTCCTCGCGTTCTGCTTCCCGTGCTTTTTGCTGCGCTTCAGTCTGGAAAAGACGTTTGGGCTTGATTGACCGACGGGTAAGTGTTCGGAGCCGCTTGACATCGGAGCCTTTGGGCGTGTGTTCCAAGAGACCGAGGTCACCAGTATCAATGTCTTCTTCTTCATCCTCCTCATCATCAAATCGTCGGTAGACTTTCTTGCCGCGGCTTGAAGTAGTTAGCATTGAAACTTGGGACGGGAGAGTAAGCGACTTACAATACATAAACCATGCCATCGTCCTTCTCAATAGCCTCTTCGACTTGGGGATCAAGCTTCTTTCGCTCCCCACTAACCTTGCGACGTTTAGACGTTCCAGCGATTTTGCGAGTGGACGAAGTTTCTCCGTTCATGTTTTGCTCAGTGAAAGGGTTTGACTCGCTATTGTCGACATGAGGAATTCTATCGCGAGAATCGGTGTAAATCTGAACTTGCCCGCGGCTGTCATCGTTCTCAACAGAGAAGCTTTCAAGTGAGAAGCCATTGTGGCGTTTAGTCTTTCGATTCCTTTTTGGGCTCGGTTCAAAGTCCACCAAGTCGTTCACGTTCAGGGTATTGTCTTGGAAAAGTGCACGAGCGGGGTTACTTGTTTGAGGAACCATTTTCTTCCTCGGAGTTTTGACAGGAGTGGGAAGCATGCCGTCGGAAATCGTGGTGGAGGAAGATGCCAGCGGTTGAAGATGCGACTTGGAATGAGGTAGTTTGTCGATGGTCGAAGGAAGGGTATCGGGGGATGGAGGTGAGATGACTTGGACGCGACGAGGTGCCTTGTGCTTTGGTGTCGCTTCTGGCGATTGAATTCCAGGTGCGACTCTGGGTCTTGACTTCCTTGACGATCGCGGAGTGGCCACTGGGGCTTCAATTTCAGGTATGTTGTCGCGCCTGTCGGGGGTGGTGTGAAGATTGGCGGACGCAATTCGAGAGCTTGTTCTTGTAGCCCTTCGATTGGGATGGGTATGAGAACGATCGTAAGCGGCGCCATGTAAAGGAGTTTGGGGAGTTTGAGGAGTCGATGCGATTTGAAGAGGTGGTGTTGAAGTCATTTTGTGAGGCGCACATGCAACAGTGAATTCACCGGCAATTGATCAATGTTTCTGCCAGACCCAAGGTTCAGAGTGAAGAGTTGCAAAACCAATTCCAAAATTCAGCGCAAGAGTGTGCTCTCCAGATGCAATGCAGCTCAGTCAAAAGCAGTAAAGCAAGAACAAGTTACAACAACAATAAGGTGACTGCGTCGCAAAGGACGGTGCTAGATGGAGGTCGAGGAGTTTGTTGGAGGTTGGGCTTCCGTCTGGTGCAGTGACTGCTGGGTGAGTGGCTGGGAACAGCAACCCCCCGGCGCAGCGCAGTCGTGGCTTGCAGGTCTGGGCATTCAGGGTTCGGGTTTCTCGTCCCGGGCGAGACGCGCCTCGTCTCAGAGCTACGCGTAAAGCGGCTTATGTGTATCTTGTCATTGCGGGCGCACTTCTAGTCGTCATCATACCATGCAAACAAACGGCGTCCTCTTTGATCCAGAATCAGACGCTGCTCTTCTGCATCATGGATCACAACTCTTCAGCCCTCACGGACGATGACTCTGCGGACAGTCTCTGGCATGCCCCTGCAGAACAAGAAACAGCGGGCAAACAAGCCCATAGAGCGAAGCACACATATCAAGGCCAACAACAATATGAGGAAAGCCTGCGTCAAGAACTACAGAGCGTGAGACAGGTTAATGAGGCTATTGAAGGTGTTATTCAGAGCCTCCACAAGGCCAAAAGCAATATGAGAGTAAGGATTCAACCTGTGGTCCCTCCATATTTGATGGTCATCACTAACTCGAGTACTAGACAGTGAACAACACCGTCTCAGCTGCCTCAAGTCTCTTGAATACATGGACCAAAATTCTATCCCAAACAGAGCATAACCAACGCCTGATTCTTGACCCTTCATGGCAAGGCGCCAATCAAGATATCGCGGATATTGAAGAGGAAGCCCTGGAAAAACAGCGCGCTGCTGATCGACGAGAAGCTGAGGAGGAGAGAAAGAAGGCAGCAGCCAAAAAGGCTCAAGAGGAAGAGCGACATAAAGTTGAGACGGCCACCAAACCCACAAGAGGGACTTCGCGAGGTCCAGGCAGGATCGGTGCTGCCGGAAGAGGTGGTGCAACCGCACAGTCCTCGTCTTACGTACAGGTAGGAGGGTCTAATACCAGCGGTATAAAGCGAGGCACAGCCTCCGTTAGAAGAGCCAGCTCAGGAATTGGTCGAGGGACAACGGGTAGAGCCTCGAGAGGCCGTGGCTGAAATCTGCGGCTTCCATTGATGGATTGCCTTGTTTCACCTTTGCCGCTCGGGCGCACGACAGGGTTCTGTTTTACCCAACAGATGCCAGGGACGAACGCAAGCTCGTCAGGACCCTTGGGAGCCCTGGCGATCATAAGACCGACGGTGGGAATTTGAAAACGGGAGCCTCCCAACATACGAGACTATTTCTCACGGCTCACCCGTAAAATAGATTGTTCTGGTGTCGCATTGTCCGCCACGACGCGCGCGAGGTAGGTGGGAGTTCATCTATTCCCATCCTTCAGAGTCCGCCAGGGAAGCGAAGGTGAAGTGCGCTAAAGCAATCTGGCTCCCATATTTGCAGCTATTGACGAGGTCGAAAACGGTGGTCATGTCGACCAGTGTTTTGACCACTTTCGCCGAGATACACCGCGAGTCGGGGAGGGATCATATTTGTTCAGTATACTGTGGGCGGCCGTGGTACTGATGGGGCGAAATTACTGGGAGAAGGGTCAAATGTGCTTCGGAAGAAGCACACCTACGGAGCTCATGGCTGCAGAGACCACAGCATGCAAGCATATTCATCGCGGCGGTACCAAGTTGTCAGGTATGGGTTCATTCTGCTGGAGTCAAAGGCACATATCGGTGCCTGAGAGGAGGAGCCTCTGCGCAGCTAGTTCAGATGCAGAATGAAAGTCTTAGGGAACCCCAAAGTCGAACACTGGGCCATCTACTAAATCCGTACTGCCGGCCACACTGTTTTGCTTGTTTTCAAGTATGTCGCCCGAGTCAAACCTTGCCGCCAAAAGTGAAGCGTTGCAAGTATGTACAACAAAAGCCGGAAGGAGGTGTACCAATAAAGCACGGGCAGGCAAACGCCTAGCTAGGTATTCTCATCTCGAGTCATAATTTTACCAGGTGAGCGGTGAGTAACCGGAGACAAAGCACGGAATAGAGGGGAGGTCGTCATTGTAGAGCGGTCTAAAAGCAGCAAGGGGATGAGAGCACGAGAGCACAAGGCGGTCGCCGAAAGGAGCATCAGCTTGATTCTCCCAATTTCTTATGGTTTGAGATGTGAATGAAGCAACCTGGTCTGCGCAACGGACAAGGTTCATTATCGGGTCAATTCTAGTTTCCCATACTGTTCAAAGGAAGATCTTCTACGGAACCACTTCGCTTTACAACAGGCACAAGACAACTTGTCACTCGTCCTTCTCACAGTCCAGTCCGCGCCTGGAGACACGACCAACTGCGGAGAAAGTAAACAATGAATTTCGCACCATACCAGGATGCATCGCCAGAAATGTGAGTTGCTGCTACGACATGAATTGGGGATCAAGATGGGCGGACAAAGTTGTTAATCAAACGTATATAGAGAACGTGCTCTATCACCTCCTCCTCGCACCTCGATCGATTCGCCTCGCGTTCGGTCGCCTCCTCCGAACAAACCCATCCAGCCCATCACCCGTGCCAGCGCTGGTACGCAGTCACTGCCACCATTGCTTCCTCCCAGTGCATTTGCCAATGATTTCCCACCTAGGCCGTCGTTTACCGGGGAACATAGGGATCAGAGCTTGGAAGCTTTCGAGACAAGCCTGCCTTTAAGAGTGGATTATGAAGCAATGTTGGCATACCTGGTCCTTCCACCAGCCGGAGGTGTCTTTCTCCTCCTATTCGAGCACAAGAGCGACTATGTCCGATTCCATGCGTGGCAATCTAGCATGCTCTTCTCGGCCATATTCTTCCTTCACTTAATCCTGTCCTGGTCAAAGGTGCTCTCCTGGATGCTGTTCGCAATCGACTTGATCTTGATCGGCTTTCTCTCGCTCCATGCTTACCGAGATGTCGAGACTCTCGACCATTTCGAAGTGCCTTATTTTGGCAGGCTGGCCAACTCATTTGTCGAGAATGAGTGAATATAAGCGATGTGCATCTTGCGAAAGGGAATCTAGCACCGAGCTTCATACTCTTCTGGCATTGGAATTGCTGCGAAGGATAAGTTGACCTGGATCGCTCAATATGTCGAGCATTCTATGATGTCAGTACTCAAGCCGACCTTAACCGCACCTCAACAACTACTCAACTGGGCCATTTTTAAACAACGCCGGTACTGCTACATCTTGAAATGGTCCTTTCCATTGCCCGGGTCATGAAGAAGCAGGCAATTGCCGCTGAAAGGCGCACCCCGAGACACCGGAACCAATCATTCGCCTAGGCTGTAGTCGACATTCCTGAAGTCGATTTCAGACGGGATGTGTTCCATCTTGCCACAAGATGACTGCTTCGAACCCTGCGAAGAGTACTTCAGAAGCGCTGCCTTTTCAACGGGGCTACGTCTGTTCTTGATGGTTATGGGCCTCGCACTCTATTTTGTGGGGACACTGTCCCTGACGAGACCTGGTCCGGACCCTACATACCTTATTCAACCAATTTTCCACGAAGTGAGACAGTACAAGATGTACCATTTGCTGGAGCTGGAATGTCCCAAGTCGTCTTCGAATTCAGTGTTCTCAGAGAAACCATCAGTTTCTCGAATTAGCCAAGGAAGCTGGGGTGTGAACTTGACTTGACACTGATCCAAAACCAGCTCAGTCCGCGCTTCGGTATTGCAGAGCAGGTATACATCTACAGCTTGCGGAGGAAGCATACATCGATGCGGCACCTATGTGGGGTGGGATCAACGATTATGAGGACGAGAGACTCTAGTGAGGTTTTGGAAGGACTTTGAATAATTACTTGAACCAATGTGGTTAGGGAATATATGGTACCTCTCGTCGGTATGACCTTGCGTGTTAATAATGGCACCTTAAACTGATCCGTCCCCTTTTGTCTCCCAGATTTCATGCAATTCCACTGAACAACCACGCCGTGGCGACGAGCACCATCATCTTCCAGCCGACCGTGAGTGGCGCAGCGAGAGAAGTCGAGGAGGACGGAGTCGAACTGGTCGCGTTGGAGGGCGTGGCGCGTTCGACGACGCTGTCGCTGACCACAACGGGCTTGTTGCCGTTACAGACATATTTGCCAACGCAGGCCCCGTTACACGGTCCCCAGTGGCCCGCGAACGCCCATTCTGTTCCCGTGTTCTCAAACTTGCAGACGCACTGGTTGACCTCGCCCGCATCCACGAGGGCGAGGTAGAAGTTGTGCATCAGGATCCCTGTGCAGTCGAACTCGCGGCCGTGGATCTGCCATGCGTTCCCGATCTCGTTCACCGCCAGGCAGGCACTCTTGTACCGACCCACGCGTGACGCGTCATAACACAGCGCGGCGCCTAGGTATGGAGCGGTGGTCATTGTCGGCAGGGTAGGGGGAGTGTGGTGGGCTTTAAGCGGTGAGTTGAGTAGAGACCAAGAGAAAGTGGGCACAAAAGAAAGCCCGGGCGTTGGAATTCTGTCAGGGTAATGGCCGAAGATTCAAGGGAGGAGCGGAAGAAGAAAATCGGTTCCCAGATCTGGGCCTCATGATGAATAAAAGGACATTGGAAACCACGTGGGACGCAGAGCTGAAGTCGGTTCAGAGTTCCTCTGCTGCAACACTGCCGTGCCCGCACATTTTCGGTGGGCAGCTAGAGCTCAGTGTCCAGCCGAGTCTCTGCAGGATCAAGTCGTGTCCAGTCGACCCGACGTTGGCCTCTGACTGGACTTGTGGTCGGTTCTACCACCATCAGGCTGAACCATACACAGCGGCACCTCCACCATCAACGTCGCCGTGTGGAAGTCTATCCGACGCTAAGAACGCTAGACCGCATCCTGGGACCGGTATAGACCCATTGGCCGAGATAGGTCGACCATGAACGCGGGTGAGGATGTAGCGAGTTTCGTGGGAGGCAGTTTCAGGATTGGAGGTGCTATGGAAATCGAGTCTAAATCCGACCTTACCAGTCTTTGCTCAAGCCTATCATAGTCTATCGCAGAGGAGTCAGACAAGTTGGATATGGGGAAAGCACCAACGTGGCGACTTGGGCTTCCCCAGGACGAGCTGAAGCTTGATTGTTAGCCGAGTTGCCGTATTGGGCGAAGGCCTGCGGTTTCTGGTACGCCACCATGGCACACATTGCCACTTGTCGCATTCCAGCATGCGAGGTGTGGCAGGTTAGTGCGTCGCTCAACAGACCCTGGCTGCCTGGAAGTGCCCGGCCTGGTGCCTTGCTAACAGGCCTCGAGTCTAGATCTCTTTAGCCTCGATTCATCCCATCCAACAAAATGCAGGATAGGAAGTACACGGTTGACTACATGATTAAGCTTGACGACAACAACATCTTGGTCAGGCTTCACTTCAATGGAAGGGTCTCCGACATTGAATTTGGACCAGAAGACCTCCATGATCCAGCGAATTCGACCGGCACACAGCCCTTGAAGCAGCAGTACCTTAATGCGCTTCAACATTCGTTCGGCGATGATGCATCTGTGGAAGCTGCTGAAGCCGATGAAATCGATGGGGCGACCGAACTGTGTGATATCAATGGCCACACCGATACGGCCACCTCCCCAATCTCGAGCGAATGTGGTTGGAAGAGGATCCTGTTATAGCCTTTGCCGTGGGACCATTTTTGACACATGGAACCTTCGAAACTTTTGCCCCGGAAGCATCAACGCTTTGTCTCAATACCTTACAAGACATTCTTCACCCTCCGCTTCTGTCGTTTACCCTACGTGTAGTTCAAGGAGATCTCGTGCCGATCGGCCGGTCTCCAGAGAAAACGGAAACCGCGGATCCACCCTGGGCTGCTGTCTGGAAATCTGAGCATTGGCTCGAATACCCTCATGTCAAAGCAAAAGATATCGCCTTGGCCCGGACTTCTCAGACATCCTCAAATACCAACCTCGTCATGTTCAACAACCGCATATGCTGGTTTAAGCCTGTTTTGGACTACGTCGATAGTCCTCCATATATTCGAGAGATCGATATACTCTCCAAGCTCTCTCGGGAAAATCTCAGCCACAGACTACGCTGCCCGCAGATAGAAGCTATTGTACTTGATGGCAAGGATGGTAACAGGGGATTTATCAACGGTCTTATTCTCACCGCCATCCACCCCAACCATGGGACCATAGCAGATCGAGTCAACAGACCAGAAGGGCCATCTCTCCCCATGGCGCTATGTGAACGCTGGTATTGTGATATCGAGACCATGGTACATTTATTGCACGACAAAGGTTTTGTCTGGGGCGATGTTTCGCCGAACAACATGGTCATTGATGCCAACGAGAATGTCTGCATCATCGATTTCGGGGGTGGATACACGGAGGGCTGGGTCGACGAGGAAGACAGGGAGACCAAGAAAGGGGATCTAGAAGGACTCAAGAGGATCAAGGAGTACTTGTTGGATATGGACCGGACAGGAGATGCCACAGAGTGAACTGCCTGGAGCAATAGTCACATCCGTGGGTGTTCTGCAGAAGCTAGTGCTGGTGAGGTGCGGTGGGAACGCATTCCATTTCTTGAATGTAGGAGTCAGTGTGGCGTAACCATGTATCAACGAAATGTCGAGGAAATTAAATTCGCTGTCGAATATGGCAATGAAGTTGCATAGTTGCATAGTCGTGTACCGAGTAGTTCTGGCGACTTGATGTATTGATGGCGCGAGGCTGGGCGGCTGTTCTTGGCAACACCGCGAATCCCAGAATCTGTTTCATTGTCCAAATTCGACTTGTCTCCTTCGACCACCAATCGATGCATTCTTTCGGAAATAAAATGTACTCCCAAATCTAACATGGACCTTGAGACTGAAAGCAATGAGGGCCCCAATCCTGCAGCAGATGCCAGATCCGAAGTCCGCCGCCCCGGAAGGCGGTTCAAGACCCCGATAGCATGCGTCCCTTGCCGAATGACCAAGACCAGATGTGTTTCTGTCGGTGACCTGGATTCTTGTGAAGCATGTCTCAGGAAGTCGCGAGCATGTGTCCGGCCTGGACCAGCGAAACCGCGAACGAATCCATCGCAAAAGATCAGGGAGCTCGAGGGCAAGATTGCGTCCCTTTCACAAGCATTGTCGGCGAAACAGCATCAAGACCAGCCAGGAGAGCCCACTCTGTTGGCTACACCGACACAGTCAGTGTCATCCGGAAGGTCAAGAGACACTTCAATCCCTGTTGTACGTCCAACATGGCAAATCTTCCGAGAGTCGCAGTCGAGGCACAGTTCCGCGTCAGTCGATCAAGATGTTGTAGACCAGGGACTTCTCGACATGCCAACCGCCGAAGTTCTTTTCAATCATTGGAACGACTCCATGCGACCCATTTTGCCTATTGTGCTACTCTCGGAGGACAACTTGCGGGAATGTAGGAGAGGTAGACCGATGCTGTTCCTCGCCATTCTGAGCGTCGCGAGCGGCTCGATCTTGCCGTCCTTCCAATCACCGCTCGTCAAAGAATTGAAACGTCAATTAGCCAGACAGATCCTTGAACAGGGCAGACGAAGTATCGACCTCATCCAGGCATGCCTCTTGTATTCTCAGTACTACACCCATGATCCAGAATCACCCCATGCTTTGCCAACTCAGTTTGTCTCTGCCGCCATTACCATGTTGTGTGATCTTGATATGGTGGAACATATTGCGCCTAGGCCGGGTTCTTGTACAGATGAGTCGAAGGAAGCCGTTCGAGCATATTTGGCGTGCTGGTATGCCGCATCAAGGTAATTTGACTGCATGAGCTGCGGCGTCTTCTGGCTGATATTTGCGTCTTCGCCTGCACTAGCAATGCCATATTATTCCGACAGCAGACTCTTATGCCTCCTTCGTCCAAGGTTGAAGCTTGTATCAGCGTCTTGTCGACTGCGGCTTCTGTGCCGACGTCGGATGCCCTGCTCTGCAGCCTGGCACGACTGCAACTTATTTTGGACAATGTCTCAAACACTTTTGACACAGGAGACAAGCAGACGATTGGAGAATTTGACAGTCTGACCGTCCAATACCAGTTGAAAAGGTTTCAGGAGCGCCTCGCAAGCTGGAACTCATCCGAGTCAAGCTTCGGTGACCGTTAGTATTGAAGCGCCTCACTATGCTTTGTCACTGTCAGTGCTAAATAACCCCCAGGTTTGAAAAGATGCTCGTCCGAGTTTGCAAATATCTGTGTCCACCACATCGCGCTCAAATGCTACATGCAGAGACTGTTCGCAGGCCCTGGGTCGGAAGATTACCACGCGAGTGTTGACATGCTGAGCTCCGGGCATCTCAAGGCACTTTTCTGCTGCTGGGACTCGAGTCAAGCACTACTTGACGCATACATATCTCTCGACATTCGCCTGGCTCGATCGCTGCCCAATCACTACCTGATGTGGACTCTGTCTGCCGCGGTAGCTCTTATCAAGCTGACCCCGTTTAGGGAGGCAATGAGAGCCGGGACCGCGACCACGACCATGCACTCCGAAGAAGCCTCGGCCTTGCCCAGTCTAGATGCAATGTTGAGCAAGATCTCTGAGATTGTCCAAGACGGATATCTTCCGCAGGCAAAGACCTGGGGTATGGCGCTGGCTAAGCTCCGGTTCTGGTATCTGCACAAGAAACAGGTGTGCATCACCGCCCATGGACGATGTGACAGCCACAGCGACGGGCCTGTCTACAGTGCATTTGGCGATCGGCCTGAGCAGTCACCGACCGAGATCGATGTTACGTCCCATTCAAGATCAGTATCTCAGCCGTTGTCTGACCCGAGACAATCTATGAATACACCTGTTGTGGTCGATGTCGGTGCATTCGGTGTCAACTCCACCCCGTCGTCCACATCTGCCAGACAGCAGAGACAGGCCGTCGACGTCGCAGCCACAGCTCCAGTCGAGGCGGCGTACGACCCTCTCACCTACGCGGCGACCGACTGGGATGATCTGGTCCTGGACGCCGACTCACTCCGAGAATTTGATTCTCTCATGATGGACGACTCGGATTTCTGGATGAAGAGTTTGATGTAAATCAGGCCAGTGAACCTGTTCCGTACTCAGTCCCAGGCCAAGGGAGGGACAGCACGTCCCGATCCATTTCCTCTCCTCACCTCATTAGGCATTCTATTCGCGAACCAAATGGAACGGAGCAGAGATGTACCCAGCAGCGAGGTGGCGGGAGGGGGGGG